GCGTGCCTTCCTTCCGCAGATTCGATATTGAGTCGAGAGAAGCCACGCTTGATGGCCCCCAACTTGTGGTCACTTACTCTCATTTACATGCCGGGAAGGCGGGACTCGTGCAGTCACCGAGGAAGGAACAAGCCCTGGACATACCAGGTACTGCATAGGACAATCAGTTAGAGTGTGGATAATACCAGCCTGAGTTATGCATGGTATTGCTCGCGAATACTATCTTTCATTTCGTTTCTATCAAACTCCACGGTTCGCTCAAGTGATGGCCTGCTTGAATTTCTCCATGTCAAGATCTCCCGCGACCTCTCTCTCACATGTCTGTGGCTCGTTGCAAAATTGCTGCCAGGCCACCCGACCGACCTTACGTTTAGGGCACCAGGACACCAGGGCACCCCAGTCCCCTGGACTGCACTGGCACACCACAGGTACGTATCACGCCTTACCTCCTGCATGGAACGTGCGGATGAATGGCACAGAACAGACCAGGAGGCTCGCTCCTAGGGGCGACTGGATGGAAGAAAGGAAGCGATGGGATGTGTCCAGCGCGGCGCACCGCCGCCTGGTTCGCGAGCAGGCTTGGCTCGAGCCTGGATGATCACCATTGCTCACCATGGGTCCTGGCCAACAAGGGTGTGACTGCGAGACCGAGATGCACGGCGCCGTCTTCAAGCTTACCTTATCACCATTCCGCTGCCCAGACCTTGCAACGGCCTCGCCTCCACTGCCTGTCATCCCAGCAGCACGCCAGCGGCACGCACTTGGAAGCGGGACTCTTGATATTGCACACGCCCGGTACGACCTCGCGCTTTGCGGGCCCTGCAACAGTGGCCACACCCCCGTGGCCCTTCTATCCAGGATTTCAGCAGCCGAGCTGCGAAGTGGTACCACTTGCGCGGGAGTTGCCTTGGATGAATGACATACGCTCCCCAGCAGCGTGGGGAGGAAGTACAGGGGCAATTCCACCGCAAAAGAGCTGCCGTCTGCACCCAAGCCCTTCCCTTTAATGTGCAGCTTTGGGACCAGGGCAATGCAAGGCCAACTGGCCTGCCAGATGCCACCCGCCCGCCCAACTCTACCACAAACCTTGACCGTTTGGATGCCGGCACCTCCATTCCATTCAGCGGGATCCGCTCCTGGCGCTATGGTGGCCGGCCATGCTGGTGGTCGTGCCGCTGGTGCAACGCTTGCACACCCGGTACATGGCACCTACATTCGCGAACTTGCCAGTTGGAAGGTCGTCTCGGGGGTAGCGGGGCGAGACCAAAAGCTCAGTAACAAGCCTCCATGGAAACTTCTCTCGAGGGTTCGCCTTTATCATTCTCGTCCAATTTCCTTTCGAGCCTTCCCCAGCCAAGCCATGCACCCGTCAGATTACTCATATTTGAGGCAAGCTCCTGCCATTTCACTTTCATATGGCAGGCTTCCGCAACTCCTACATGTCTTTTATGGCTTCCCTGGAAATTGAGACCCCTTCACAGTGCCGGATCAGTGTTTCATTGGCCTCCTGGCGGGGTATCTGCACAAACCGCACGCCCACAATGCGTGGAAAAACGAATGAGGAACTACAAGACAGCGCTAATTAGAAACTAGTGACGGTTGAGCATCTGTGGGTGCAGAGGGCTTGCGTCAGTCTCCGAGAAGAGACCTTTCAATATTATCGCAGGGGAGGTCTATATCACCTTCTTATCCTGGTCTTACACGAATACATGTAAACGCATGTAGCCTGACAAAACTCTCCTGGGTGTTGTGGACGAGCATCACTGTGTAAGAGGCACCGGACATACGCCTCTCAAGCTTGCCAGGTGTCAACTTGGACAGCATTCTTGCCATGACACGCACTCTGGCTGCATATAGCTCTCGGCCGTCACATAGACTACCGATATGGTCTCCCAACCAAGCGCCAGCGCGAGCAATCCACTGACCATGAACTGATTTTGCAAATGGGCAGCACCATGACATAATGTCCGTACCTATAATTGTGTTCGACAGAGAAACAAAATTCTGCTGCTTTACCTGACGCAAAGCATCTCATTCCTATGATGCTGTTTGCGATGGGACCGCTTGCCTTTCTCAGGAAGTCCGACGGCGATGGAAAATTGCCGGAGCGTATCTGTTTTCGGCCCCGGAGCTTCTCCGTACGAGATGGATCTTACGCAATTTCAAAATGAGTATTAAGAGACTTGAGCCTCGGTCGTGGCAGCGTCGCCTTCCCTCCCGGCACGCAACATCGAGCAGTGAAAAGCATTAGACTTGGCTCTGTTGGTCCAGGCGCCTTCAATAACAACAGACATCCAGACTGGTGGCTTTTTCTCGGCAGGCTGCCCGCAGCCAACCAGCACGGACGTCACACTTGTTGGCGCCTGCAATATCTACAGGGTTGCACAGGCATTTTGGAGCCGGTACAAGGGCCCCTGCAGCACCTGGATGCAATTGGTCCTGACCAAGATCCAAACATCAGCCGGCTAGGTAGCCCAAGTTCTAGTGCGCTGTTGCGCTTTCACTTAAGCCAACTCGGGGAGGTGAGAAGTCGACTATGCTCATTGCCAACTTATTCAGCGAGTAAGACATTATTCCAAACAGTGTCACCATCCTTTGTTGGGATCGATACAACTTCATTATCAGGCTGCTTGACCGTCAGATCACATGTAAATCTAATATTCGAGTACGTAAATCCGACCAGACCCGGCTTAAGCCCCTAATATCCTTACAAAGCAAAAATCCCACGATATACCACAGGGATACGGCTATAGGCCACGCACTCTATGAGAAGAAGAAATTGCCAAAAACTAGATCACGAGTTCGCTTTCATCAATCCGCCTTTTCTCCACGGCACAATCGAAGAGAACGGCGCTCGAAGGATTCATTTCCTGTCCCTCACGTTGACCACAAATGCGCTCATCCTTGTGGACTACAGAAATCCATCGCTCGGCTTTCAGGGGTTCCTGGCCCTCTTATAGGCGCCAGGCGCGAACCCTTGGACCAATGTCTATAGGGCCAGCAAGGAAGCCGTGGTTTGGCGTCGACCAGGCTTCTGGTAGGGTTTCTTGTCGCTCATTAAAAGCCAATTCCACTGATACGAACTGACTTGATGGTGAGCAGGGAATAAGACGACATTTAGGATGTGCTTATCTCAATGGAGGGTACAGTAGGTTGCGGGATTGCGGCCGGGTAGAGATAGGGTACGATGAGGCGCCACCAACGCAGTTCTCTGGGGTCAGTGACTGCAAAACTACGGCACAATCGGAACCGTGATGTTGGGCGGCAGCCGGACTGGCCACCAGATCCCAGCAGACAATTGGATGCTACGGAAGCAGAGTGAAATGCTTGAACAATTTGCTGCAGGCCGGCACTTATTTCCGCGTCGGTATGGACGGCCGAACTGTGATGTACCTGGATATCTATCAGCTCATTCGAGGCATTTTGCCGGGTAAACCACGGACCCTGGGTGCCAGAGGCGTGCCCGGTATCCTAGGCCCCTTCCAGAAGCCTTCGCCGAACACGCACGTGTTGGCCGCGAAGTGCAGGGTGCAAAAGAAGCGCGCGGGAAGCTGATAGCAAGGAACCGACCGAGCAAACTGCCACGCATGGCTTCCACGGCGGCTTCTATGCAGGGGTGGTTGCCTCGAGGCTCGCCCAGAGGTGTGGGTGATTTCGGCAGAATTTCCAGTCCCCCTCTGGGCGTGCGCATTACATATTAAACTTGCCCATTTTCTATAATGGCCAATTTCGCTGTGACCTTAACTATCGAAAACTAAACCACGGTAATGGGACCTCTAGGGAAACTTGGTTGCCGACTGACAAGCCAACCCCGACACGAAAAGCTTCTAGAAATTAACAAAGAGCAATTACGATGATGGACTAGGATATACGTCTTGTCGCATGACGCTGATGATCTCACGAGATTAGATGTGGCTTCGATATGGTCCCAAAACGGATTGACTCTCAGCCACGGCCCCGTCAGCCATTCTGAAAGCGGGGAGGGAGTGGATGCAACATGACCGAAAGCATACAGTCTAATGTTTATTACAGTTATACGTACCCAAGCTTTCGATATGAGATGAGCAGGTCTCCAATCTCGTGGGCCCCTCTTCGCCGGTCAGACGATGTCAGGTCGGCAATCCCCCCAGGAGAGACGTTGCGTGTGTTCTTGCGTTGACCCATGCGTCCAGGCGTCGTCTCATCTTGGACTGAGCTTAGTATGCCGTGTGTACGCAGGAGTACCAAGCAAGCAGCCGGGCTGTGCTGCGCATCCCAATCAATCAATTAAGCTTCCCCCAGACCGCCGCACGAGTGTCAAGCCCTACAAGTACAAACAAGCCCGACCCCTGAACACCCACGCAACGCAATCGCAGCTGGCGCAGATCTTGGGCGTCCTAAGATCTGCTACTAGGGCCCTTCTTCATGCGTTACATCCAAAAATATCACTGCTTTGTTAATCCCAATTTTCTTCTCTCGACGAGGACCAGGGCTGATTGTTGCGGATCTCTAAACTGGTCGGCGATGAGCGAATACCGACCCTGTAAAGTGAGAAGCTACAATCATGACCAGTAATGAAAGACATGCTTAATAAGGGCAAATTACATAAGCAAACGGCGTGCTCCGCTAACGTTAATGTTAATTCCCCACCAGCACTAAGACTGTCGCCGATGACGGTCAGCCGCGGGACCATAGGTGGCGGCGTTCAGGCGGTCGAAGAAGAATTTCGGCTTACCTATCCAAGCCAGAACTCCGCAACACGAACTACCTGCCTTCACGATCTTTAGACCAGGCGTTTTTTGGGGGAGGCATCGCATTGATCCCTCATTCACCTGCAGCTTCCGTAGACGACGCAATCTCCATCGAATACGCCTTCCGCTAATCCGCGCGGCCTCCCATAACATTCGCATTAAGCGTCCGGCTCGCTAAGGACAAGCATCCTGCGTGTTTCGTCTATCCTCCGTCCACCCCGCATTACCGCGACATCGTCAACCATCGACAGGAAACAGAATACAGACAAGATGGACAAGCCCCTGGACAACGCAAACCCGACCATTCTCAACGCCAACCAGCTCCCCAGCAGGCGGCACAACAAGTCTGCTACGAAGCCCGGCCCCGAGTCTCGCTACGATGACATTCTGCTCCCGAAACACTCTGATCTGTGGGGCCCCTCCTCCCGGGACGTCTCATCTTGGCCGTCTGATGACGAGAACGAGGACGTGGAGGCTCCGATCGACGAGCAGGAAATCTATGGTGAGCAATCCCCTTCTGCACCCTTGCTACAGCATAGCACTTCAATCATGCCTCACGTCCTCATTTCACGATGTCAACCCCTCAATCTCTCGAGCGTGGCTTCTTGTTTCCGCCGATATTGAGGTGGGAAAGTGCATGTGTTTCAGACTCGGGCACCTTATTTCCACTCAGCCTCACATGGCACATCAGCCCCAGCCATGCATCTCAATGCATTGATCCCCACGCTGAAATGGAATGGCATTTGTTTCGTACCGCCGCCCCCAGGCTCTGAAAGGGCCGATGTCAATGATTCATTCTATTTATGTCATCCCTCAAGGTGATCACACTCCTGACGTCTCACAGATCTCATCTCCACCATCTCAGACCCCGAGCATCCTCACACCCTTGGACAGCTAGCTGTCGTCAACCTGCCCGACATCCACATCTCCCCCTCGCCATCGGCCGGATTCCACGACCCCGACGCCCTCACACAGGTCCTGGTGGAGTGCACGCCGACTATCAATCACTGTTCGCTGGCAACCGTCATCGGCCTGGCTGTGAGGGTCCGCCTGGAGCAGACGTTGCCGCCAAACTACAGGGTGGATGTCCGCATGAAGGACGGCTCCCACGCCCAGGACGACCAGGTCAACAAGCAGCTCGCGGACAAGGAGAGGGTGGCAGCCGCGCTGGAGAACGACACGCTAAGAGGTGTGCTCGACAAGATGCTCGAGACCTGCCAGCAGGCGTGGTAGAGTGTTCGTCACTATTACTACTGCATAGTACATCTCCTGATTGTTCTGTCCACGTCCTGCGCGAATTCGCCGGGATGCCTATCCATGTGCGCAAACCGCTCGTCCCGCCAGATATGTACCGGAACAAGTGCCGTGGGACTTCCGCCGCCGCGCCGTCCGCCGATCCTGCAACCTGCATGTGGCGTGTGCGCCAGTGCAAGAAGCAATGCCAGTAGCGCCGAGGTGCCAGCACGCAAAGGCTAGCAAAAGCATCTGTGTGAGCTCCCTACATGTGCCGGGGAAGCCACTAAAGAAAATGGGCTCTGCTACGAGTCAACTCTTGCAGCGGGGTAGAACCGCCAAGCCAGCCACAGAAGCTCTCGCTTACAATAACCAAGGACCGAAGAGTGAGTGATTGATTGAGTGTCAGAGAAAAGCAGGCAGGCACATGCCACCAGGCTGGACTGGACACCGAGAACTGGATAAGCCCTCTACCGGGGGGTGTGTGCCCCGGGTCGGCTCCAATTCGGCGGGTGGCATTGCGAGGCTGTTTCGAGATGGTTTTACAAACACTATTGTATCTACTTGCTGGAGCCACTTAACTACAGCTTTTGTGGTGGGGTTTAGTTGAGGTTCTACGAGAAATGATATCGACGAGTGTTGGCATCTATCATGGAGGACAGACTGTCTCTGCTTAGTCTCTTGCTCCAACTTGACTTGCCCCATTAGGAAAAGGTATAAGTCGACTCTGTATCCAACCTTCGAATCCCAGTTAGACAATGTCTTAGGCATGCATACACGCATGCATGCAAGCAAGCATGCGTGAGGGATTGAAGTGAGTGTGGAAACGCAACCTTAGATGAATCAATGTTCTACCATGTCTCCAGTCAGGAATGACGCCAACCTCGTGCCTTTCCAGAACTTGTTCCTGATATATCGGAATTGCACAAAGCCTACAAGCCACTCAACCAACCCACAATTCGCTCAACACAAAGTGAAAGTGGATAGTATCCTCCCTGACTTGCCAACTTTCCCACACCTTTCACCTTGGAAACAATACGAGCTGCCCTCACTAAAAGAAACTCCGCTGGCCACGTTGCCAACCTACAACGTTTCCTGGTTTTCGTACCCAGTCCTCCTCCTGCCACCGGGACTTGCCGTGCCCAGGCGTGGACGTATAAGTCAAGCTAACGGCAGGGAGGGGGGGGTCTCCAGTTCCAAGGTAATGAAAGTTTAGTGAGTTAGTAGTCCTCTGCTATAGCTGACAGGTCCACCAACCTCTCTCTACCGACTTTTTGGTCCCCCTCGCTCGGTCTCCTTTTCGAGAAGGATTCGGCAATAGTTCGGTGGGGAAAAGGAGGGTCGGGTCAGTAAATGGAGGTCCCAGCGAGACCCTAGCGAGACCCAGGACCCCTAAAAAAAGAAAGAAAAAAAAGGGAAAAAAAAGAGGAGAGATATAGGTACCTATGTTGGTTGACAGCACTCTGAAGTCTTGACTTTTTCTCTTCCACGTCACCCCGGTCGGGTATTTTATTGCCATGCCCTGCCATTGGAACTGGGGCGCATAGGGGGAAACATAACTAACTGGAGATGATGGATCCCACGGGCAACTAACTGATGGCATTAGTGTCAAAGGGTTGAATGAGAAGAAGAACGGGGGGAAAAAAACAGGTTTGCTGTTACACTTGCGCGACAAAACGGCAAGGCTTGTGGCCGAATCCAGCCAGCCCAGGCACGAAACGGGCTGTGAGGTATCTTGTTTTGGCAGACGAGGTGACAAGTGCCCCTGGAGTGGTACTGGACCCTGATTTTCTGTTTTGTTATTTGTTTACGACGGACCCTGACTCGAGGTGTCGGAAAAAGTGACAGGTCAATGGAATGGAGGGACTGTTGGGAGTTGGGCGTCCCTGACGTTTCTGCGCCTCTTGGTCACATACAAATAGTCTCTTGTCATAATTTGTGACGATGGGGAAGCAATGACAGCTAGCTAGATGAACGAGGGTCCCTTGCGTGTGAGCCGCTGCAGCACGACTCAGGGGCGGCAGCGCCTATGCGTTTCGTTCATGACGCTGTTGTTCTCGCGGGATTCGAGCAATGTCTCTGCATGGATAGAGCCCGGTGTGGAGGGCGCAGACAACATCCAGTCAAGTATGGGTCAAGTCAGATGAGATGATGCTCAACGTGCGGATGCCGGCTCTGCACTTTAGCCTCCTTCTACGTTGCTTCTACCTCTTTGACTTGGTTCTCGAACTGAAAAGGCCGTTATTTAACAGCCCGATTCTTCTAAGTTCTAAGTCTAGATCAGATGGTCTTCGATTTAGAACTCACATAGGTTACTCGCAACGGGGCCATCCGATGTGTAGAACGAGACTGCCAACCGTCAACCGTCAACTGCCGCTATGCTTAGCACGCATCAAGTAAGGGGTCGGAGAATCATGGGTGTCAGCGTAAATGTCTGAATCGAAACCCGAAACATTTCGGGTTTCTCCAATGACATGACTCGCTCCTCTCAGTAGGGACTACGAAAGTGACGAAACACCATGGAGGATTGACAGGAGGATGGAGCAAGGTGTCTAGATGTCTGATCCTCACCAAGGTAGGAAATCACAGGGACAAGTCACAGAGTAGAGTTGAGGTGAAAAGAAATGCCATCCGAAAGAAACCTCTATTTTTAGGTCCATCGTCAAAGGATATCGATACATACAATCAAAACATACATGCATTGAAGATGCCCCTGGCCAACCCTTGCCTACCTAACCCATAAACTCCATTAAACGTCCATCCGTCAGGGCAGGTCTTGTTTGTTTCAAGGCTCGCCCAGGGTCCCGCTCTCCATGAGGCTGTTGTAAAACTCGGGCTCCAGGAACTTGGCGACGCTGACGTCCTCGCTCAGGCCCTTCCTGCGGCGCGTCTTGAGCACAAAGTCGCGCGCCGTGGCCTGGGCGCTGGCGGGCTGGAGGGGCCGGATGACAATCTCCCTGTCGAGCGGGTCGCCGGGCACGATGTTCCAGCGGTCAAAGACGAGGGACAGCATGGCGGCGCCCTGCGTGTTGATGCGGAGGTCCGTCTCGAAGCCGAACGAGTCGATCACGGGGATCAGCCCGTTGACGCGGTAGAGCGGCGTGCCGACGATGGGGCCGTCCGAGAGGACGTGCCCTCGGCGGCGGGCCAGGAAAGTGTACACGGACGACACGGCGTCCTGGGGCCCGGTCATCGATACTGAGTACATGGGCTCCATCAGGCGCGGGGATGCCATGAGGAAGGAGCTGTAGCAGGCGCGCCGGGATGTGGGGATGACTTGACCGCCGCCCCGGAATATCGCTTCCGGGGCCAATGATATGTCGGTGATCTTGAACTTGGTATTGCGTATTGCTGGTGAGAAAATGTTAGCCTCATGATGGGTGACACTAACACCGCTTGCAAGGATTTGGGGAACGTGATGACAAGGGTTGTAGAACGCTGCAAGGGGTTGGGGGAATTGGGAGCAGGGGCCCCAGGCGAGATCCCGTCATTTGAGCGTCCGCGGAATCCGTAAGAACCAATTCTGTTTGGATCATGGATACGGGACTTCCATTGACAGGCTCCAGAATCTTGATGGCTGCATGCAGTGATCGCGGTGGAGCGGGACGACGCAAGACCAGAGATAAAGAAAAGCCCCTGGCTCTGCTTCTCGCTTGTTATCCTCTTGCTGCTTTAAGCAGGTAAGCTGAACCCCAGCAGCCAAGGCGGCTTGCTTCTGTGCGGCACTGAGGTCGCAACGAGGCCACACCGCGCGAGAGGAACTAATGCATCGGCAGAGGAGCAGGAGCGCTACTGACGGTCGCGATCTCCGAGGAAACTTGAAAGGAATAGAAAGCTTTCGCAAAGTGATGCACTTACGTTCTTCACACAGGGGGCCTTCTCTGGTTGCCCAACTAAATCCTTGGCGGATAGACTCTTTGACGGTGTTCAGGAGTTTCTTGTCGACCTGCAAATGGTCAGCTGGCAGGAAAAGGACCGAAAGCACACGCAATGGGCCTGGATGAATCGCTCACCGCCCTAAGGCATCGTGACAATATGAATGATCTGACTTACCTCGCCAGGAAGCGTATCGTCCTGTAGAATATTCGGTCCCATCTCGTCCGGACCGAAGGCCCATATGCTTCGAGCCGCAAGCAAATCCCAGCCGTGCTTTTCTTCAAAAAACTTGGCGGTTTTCCGTATCGGATCTCTTATCCTCACAGCGCCAGACTCAATATCCTGTGCAATGCCGTCTTCCAACGGCTCTGCAACCATGGTAATTCTGTTCTTCTTGTTCGGCGTGATAGCGTAGCATTTGGTCGCGGACTGCTCAACAACAGTCTCACAGAATCGCGTGACAGGGTCGGAGACCTTGATCTCCATATCTGCGTATAATCTTCGCAGATCATGGAGAACACAATCCATATAGAGCTCGCCAGTGCCCAGGATGATATGCTCCCCAGACTCTTCAACCTTGGTGGTGATCAGAGGATAGCTCTTGTTGATTTTCCGGATACCATCCAGCATCTTGGGGAGTTCTGAGGGGTTGATGGGCTCGACTGCAACTTTTAGAACAGATTCTGTGAAATGCATGATTGGCTTGAAGATGTACGCATCTTCATCATCTTCGAACCGTTTGTCCACGATAGTAGCTGTCTTAACAATCGAGTTGTCAATACCTCCAAGTAACACCCAGTTACCTGCAGGAACGCCGTCTGTAGGGATGTTGTATCTTGTTTCCGCGATCCAGACGTCTGATATCCTGGCCATGGCCATATCTTCCTCGTCGTCTATTGAGTATCCTTCGCCGAGAACTCGCACCTCGGTGCCTGGGCGGGCAATACCGCTTAGCACGCGGCCAAAGGTATAAAAGCTCTTTGCATCGGGGGCATTGAACAGCTTTGTCGCATGAATTACCAACGGTCCGTTCTGATCGCAGGCCTTAATGGACTCGGCAACCTTTGTGTCTAAAGGGCCAGTAAAATGCTGTTGTAGCATCTTCTCAGCAGCTTCAACCGGAGAAGGGACATGCTGAACCACCATATCGACAAATGCGGTCGAAGGTCCGAAGAACTGCTCGCATACAAGCTTCAAGATGACCTTGGCGTCCATCTTATACTGTGAAGGCTTTAACGAAATGCCTAGTGATTCGAGTGTGTCTTTGAGATCTTCTGGGCTCTCGCTGATAGTATGGGAGTAGAGCTTGTAGATAGGCTCCATCACGAAGTTGACGAACGAGCGCTTTGCGCGCTCCTCAATCGGTTTCCTTGTGAATGAGCGTTTTTTGGGGTTGTAGTAGATGTCACCCCACAAGCGACGGGAAAACTCTTCGATGTTGACGCCTCCAAAACTGTCCGAGTACATCTTTGCAAAGGATTGTAGTGTGAAGCACCATCCCATGTCTGTGCATGCGAAAAGAACATTGCCCTTTTCTGGGCTCAACCGCCTCTCTTCACCCTTGCCGGGAATGGTATTTTCGATGATTGTGTTGACTTCCTCAATGACATGTTTCAGCTTGAAATAAGCATCGCTTGGGGGTAGTTTCAGCTCCAAGATCAGCCGATCCATCTTGTTGACAATGAGGGTCAATGGGATATTTTCTAGAACGGCATGTTTGATGATCTGCTCAGTGTTCACCTGGACGCCCTCGACCACATCGACCACGAGACAGACGCCGTCAACAAGCCTAAGGGCAGATGCGACCTCATCAACAAAATTGACGTGGCCAGGGGTATCGATGATGTTCACCAGGTGAGATTTGCCCTTGGTGCCCTGCAGAACCAGACTCATTGGCGCCGCCTTTACTGAAAGCCCTCGTTCCCTCTCCAGGACGTGTACATCGGTGTACCTGAGCTGCTCGTCGCGATTCTTGCCTGTGCGCTTCTCGAGTCTGTCCGTGATGTCGTGTGTCTCCAGGACAAGCATGTCCATAAACGCTGTCTTTCCATGGTGGAGATGTCCAGCTAGCGCGACATTTCGTATTTGCTCGGGGAAGTTCATGAGGTCTGTCATGAAGTTGCGATCGAAGAACACCGGGGGTAGGTCTGCTTCCTCGACGGTGAACTTCTTCTGCTCGACGGGAGCGATGATGGGTTCGGAGAGGGGCTGCGCATCTTCCTCCTGCACCATCGTCTCGACGCCCTCTCCGTACACCTGCTCAGCCGTGGGGTAGTATTGCTTGTCCTCGTGGAGCACGATCGCATTTGACGGTCCATCATCTGGCAGAAGTTAGCTCATATGGCAGTCTTGAAACCCATGGCAAACAAACCATCTATCTCCATGAGCTCCTGGCCTCGGCCCTCGGGAGCCTCCTCGGGATACTCGTCATCGTAGACGTAGTTTCCCGCATCAATGCCATGTTCGGACTCTTCCTCTGATGCTTCGGGCTCCTCGCCAATAAAATTACCGAACCTGAAGAGATGGATGTCAGTAAACAGCGAGCAAATGCTTGGGGGAGAGATTTCTTACTCATCATAGAGGTCATCCATGGCTGTAGATGCTTGTGCGACTCGGGGATAGCTGCTTGTTTTCTTGCGGCGGAGGCAAGCAAGCAGGCAGTTGAGATGGCAGCAAAAGACGTCAATTCGCGACTGGACTGGAGCTTGATGTCCAGCCTCGTGGAAAATAAATTTCATGTGCCACACTTTGGACGCCACAATTCGATTCGAGTTCTGGCTGGAGTTCCGTAGTGGGGTCGGCATCAGCGCAAGCCAATGGCAACGGGGGGGCTAGCAACTTGGAAGCTATTAGCGCAAGGCCCCTGCAGCAGCTGCACTACAGCATACTATGCAGTACAGCAGCCGTGTCTCCCCTCCAAAATGCCCCTCCTTTCCAGGGCCAGCACAGCACAGCACAGCACAGCACGCCCAACCGCCAAGCTGGCTCACCGCTCCGAATCGGAATCGTGGGGCAGGCAGATCCCTAGAGCTCTTTTGACTGCCCGCCAGAAACTCCTCAACAAAGATTTCTGTCCGTGTGTGCTGTGTGTCGTGTCGGGTCGATTATTAAACACAACTTCATAAAAGGGATCTTCTCTGAGTCTTCTTAACAGGTGCCTTGTTATTCTGTCCTTGAACAACACCTACGAATCCCCCTCTCTCACACACACAAGATGTCTAACCTTCCTCCCGTCTACATCGCCGCCGTGGCCAGAACCCCTGTGGGCTCCTTCTTGGGGTGCGTTCTACTGAAAAGGGGGTTGAAGAAACTCCTGCATAAAGCCTCACACAACAGCAGCAACATATATGCTGACTTGAAGTTCTCTACAGGCAACTGTCCAGTCTCAGTGCTACTCAGCTGGGTGCCCATGCCATCAAGTGTAGGTAGCCCTCAAGAGTCTGCCCCTCTTCTCTCTCACACGAGCTGACGAGTCCTTCTCCAGCTGCCGTTGAGCGCGTGCCCCAGATCAAGCCCGAAGATGTCGAGGAAGTCTTCTTCGGTAACGTCCTCTCAGCCAAGTAAGCGGCCCAATTGGTCCCCTGATCGACCTCTGCGAGCGATTTTGTCTCTTGTCTCTAACAACACCTCTCCTCTCTCCAGCCTCGGTCAGGCCCCTGCCCGCCAATGCGCGATAAACGCCGGCCTCTCCAACTCGACGGTCTGCACGACGGTCAACAAGGTGTGCGCCTCGGGCATGAAGGCCATCATCCTCGGCGCCCAGACCATCATCACCGGTAACGCCTCCATCGTCGTCGCCGGCGGCACCGAGTCCATGTCCAACACCCCCCACTACCTGCCCAGCCTGCGCAACGGCGCCAAGTACGGCGACCAGACTCTCGTCGACGGCGTGCAGAAGGACGGCCTGCGTGATGCCTACGGCAAGCAGGAGCTCATGGGCATGCAGGGCGAGCTGTGCTCCCAGGACCACGAGCTCACCCGCGAGCTGCAGGACGAGTACGCCATCAAGACCTACCAGCGGGCCCAGGCCGCCACCGAGGCTGGCGTCTTCGCCGAGATTGCCCCCATCGAGGTCAGCGGCGGCCGTGGCAAGCCCGCCGTCAAGATCACCAAGGACGAGGAGGCCAGCAAGCTCAACATTGACAAGCTCAAGACCGTCCGCCCCGCCTTCATCCCCAACGGCGGCACCGTCACCGCCGCCAACGCCGCGCCCCTCAACGACGGCGCCGCGGCCGTCGTGCTCGTCTCCGAGGCCAAGCTCAAGGAGCTGGGCATCACGCCCATCGCCAAGATCCTCGGCTGGGGCGACGCGGCGCGCGAGCCCGAGCGCTTCACCACCGCGCCCGCGCTGGCCATCCCCAAGGCCATCAAGCACGCCGGCCTGACCGACAAGGACGTCGACTACTACGAGATCAACGAGGCCTTCTCCGTCGTCGCCCTCGCCAACATCAAGCTGCTGAGCCTCGACCCGGAGCGCGTCAACGTCTTTGGCGGCTCCGTCGCCATCGGCCACCCCCTCGGCTGCTCCGGCGCCCGCATCGTCACCACCCTCACCACCGTCCTGCGCGAGAAGAAGGCCAAGATCGGCTGCGCGGGCATCTGCAACGGCGGCGGCGGCGCCTCCGCCCTCGTCATCGAGAACCTGCAGTGAGTAGTCGCGCGTCCTCGTTAGATCTAGCCTTTTGTCTTTGAACAACCCCCTTTTGCTCCCTTGTCTCTATATAGATGGGGAGTCTGTTGCTTGCCGCATCGAAGAAATCGCGTTCGCATATATAGGGCGTTTCTCGCCATCCCACGTGTCATGTGCGTGTGATGGTGGTTGGAAAAGGGGGGTAGGCCAAAATTGGCAATAATAATTCAGATGATGCGTGTTCTAATACAAAAGTCTTGTCACTTCGTCTAGACCTCCGGCGCTCGGGCGAGCTGCTAGCAAGTCGTATCTTTAATATAAACCACTACGAATTCAAATTAAGGTTCAATCCGAGAGAGCACCAGCTTTGCTAGGCCTGAATAACAAGGAGAGTGAGTTCTCGTGGATTATCAAGTACATGATGGCGAACACTTTCAAGGTATGGGCCTAACATACTGATTCACATTGCGTATCTGAAGGCATAATCACATATCACGTCACATAATCATCCAGGATAGGGAGCAGGGCCATTGGTGAAACCAGGTATCTATTAACGATCATAATGTACACTCAAGGAATTTTTGTGTGATATGGTGATCATCCCTCAACGCCACCTCGAAAGCCAGAGACCATTTCTTCATGTGTGAGCATAAAAAGCAAAGCAGGGTGAATTGGGGAAAACCGAGATCATGTGTGTGTATGTGTGTGTGTCCTGAAACAACAGCCTCGAGGGGTTTCACTGGCTAAGTTCCAGAGATAGCCAGCTACTTCTCCTCGATACCGTCGAGATGGACGACGCTGAAGACAGTGTAGTTGGGGGAAAGAAAGTTGAAAACGCCGGTAAAGATCCTGGGATGCCGCATATCGAAGGTCGTAGGACATCGATAAAACGTGGAACATCCGAGCCTAGCCAGGTCGCCTCCTCGCATACAGAAGCGGGGGACAACGCAGCAGACCGTGGAATTGGGGGGAAATAAAGCAACAAAACGCCGGGGAAATCCTTTAGATGCCGCATATCGGAGGTAGCAGGACATCAATAAAACGTGGACATCGAGGTCCAGCCGAGATCACCACTAAGGGCTACTCGTTGCCAACTGCCAAATCACCGTGGGCGGGAGTGACTGCATCCTCCTTCCACTTCTGATAGCCCTCGTTGGCCTTCTGCACCTCTTCCTGGCTGAGATCCTTCATCCAGGCGTTGTTCATGATCATCTTCTCGTAGAAGCGCTGGTTGCGCGCATCCGTGAGCGTCTTCTGGCGCTCCTCATGCTTGGCGCGCTCCTCCTCGGTGCTGGCCGCGATGTTGTAGATGAAGTAATTAGAGGTGCCCTTCTCATAGATGATCTTGGATGTGTTAAGACAGATCTTCAGAATGAGACCCTCATTGAAGGAGAGCGGTTTGGGCGCGAAACCACTGTCGGACTCAGCATCATTTGCAGGAAGATTGCGCGCGAGCACAACCTTCTGCAGTCGAGAACGGTTGATGCCCTCGGTGGGCTCAGCGCGCGTCCAGGAGGAGATGTAGTATTGCCAACGCTCGCGCAGCTCCATCTCGTCCATGTGGAACGTCGTATCATCTCTCTGAAGCCAACGCACAGTAGCCTCGGCCTTTGCGGGGAACTAAAGTCATGTCAGCAAAGCCACATATCAAACAATGCAAATGGTAGTTGGAGCTTACCCAGCAGATGACAAACATCTCTCCATCCTTGATGCACTTCTCCGCATACTTGCGCGCACTAATCTCGGTCTGATAGCTGGTCTCCTCGGATTGACGGCTGGTCAGATATTGCTGAATCAGGTCAGGGGTCTTCTCCTTAGAATCGTTGTTGTTGCAGATGAGCGAGAGGCGGCAAAGAGTCTTCAGAAGGTCCTGAATGGTGTACAGAGTCCAGCCGTTCTTCAGATAGTAATGTCGAAGAACATCTTGGTAGCGGTTCTCGTCGATCTCGCCAACAATGTAGTCCTCAATCAGTTCAGCAGTACGAGACCAGTAGGTCGATGCGTCGCAACCCTCGAAGAACTTGATGTCATCATGGACGAGTCCCAGCAGTTTCGCGGGCTTGTCAGCGCTCTCTCGGCTGATCTCGGCTGCGACGCTATCCGTGTTCTCCTTGACTTCCTTCAATCGCTTGTAGAGGGTCTGGAAGACACTGAAGAAGACATAGATTGTCTGGTTGCAAAAGAAATTGTACCAAGGACGACGGAAGAATCCATCAGCCTTGAGCTCTCCGTCCTCATCAATCAATGGATTTTGTCCAGTAACAACAGTTGGCATAGGGACGGTAGAGAGCCAGCGATCGTTGGAGACCTCGGGAACAGAGTTGTCCTCTGGAGCATCGGGCATGTCCTCTTCATTAGCTGAGGTCACATCAGGAGTGGTCTCCTTGCTGCCAGAGGCGGCGCTATCCTCCTTCTGGTGGCGAGGTCGGCTTCCATTGCGGCCCGGATCGAGAACACCTCGAAGCAGGTCGGACTTTTTGGCATTGCGGCGCGAAGTACGTCCGTTCGTCAACTCAGCTGGTGGAGCATCGTCGGCTTCATCATCACCAGACTCTCGGTCGATGTCGCCAAGCTTGTGATGGACCTTGTCATCAGGTAGGTCAAAGAATTGGGGAATGAACGTCTCGAAGAACTCGATGATGCGCTCCTTTTCGGACGCGCCGTGCTGGCCGCTGTTCATTGCGTACAAGATCATGAAGCGCAAGAGATCCAAGATGATGTCTTGATCATCGAATTTGTACTGGAACTGGAAACGGGGGACTCGAGCGTTGCCCTTGACATATCGAGCACGACGCTGCTCCTCGTGCTTCGTCTTGATAACGTCGACCAGGTGCTTGGCAGAAAGATTTCGCTTATCGTTCTGCTTGACTTGGATGCCCATGTGATCAAGACTCTTGAGGTACATAGCCTCCGTCTGGGACTGCCAGACCTTCTCCCACTCCCGCTGTGTGAAGCGCCACTCTTCATCTTTTTGCTTCAAGCGAGCCAAAACAATGGGAACCACTGAAAAGGGATGAACGAACATGTCGTTGACAACTTGGATGCCATTCTCAGCTCCGTAGACTTTCTTGAGAACACGCTTATAGATGGACGAGCTCTGTCCACCAAGACCAGGGGGCATACGGAAATGCTCACGCTCAGCCGGGCTGAGCGTGAGCATCTGCTGGGCAATAGGTTCCAGCAACTGGATGCACTTCTGGTTGGCCTCAATGTAGAAATCATAATCATGGCGCTCTTCCTCGATTCGATGCAAGCCTTCCTCGAATCCGTTCTTACGATGAGCGACAAAGCCCGAATCTTCAGAGGCCCAGGTGGGGTGGGATGCCCACTCATCATTCAACACTGAATTGCAAAGCTCGTCACGACCACTGCAAGGCTTGAGGCGCTCCTGAAAAAAAAGTTTCATCAGCAACGAAGGAGAGGAATATGTCAACCGAGTTTTTAAAACTTACACGCTTGGGCAGAAGACGGTAGCTGGGACCGTAGCCACGGCAGTTGCTGAGGGAGACTCGGCCCGTTGGTGGCTCAGGGCGGTTCTCGATAGTCTCATCCATTCCGTTCCACTTGATCAAGTGCTTCAAGTAGTTGAACAACTCATGATGCCCGCCGATGAACTGAGAAGCTTTGTGGATGAACACGTTCTTATCGACCAAATCCTGAGAAAACAGATTGCAGAGCTTCATGAACTCGGTGGTCGCGGTCTTGTTGTTAAGGAACTTCTTGACTTTATCGAAGAAGTTGAAATCTTCCGGGAGCGCGACTGATTCGGCGTTCGGAGCCAACGGCTCAGGCAAGACCGGAGTGAGACTGGGCTCGACGCCGGCTATATCTACCGCGCCGGCCTTCGCATGAGTGGTCTTGATTCTCTTGTTGCTATTCGGGGGCGGGGCACCGCGGACAGCTGAGATCGATGCCTCAGCAGTAGCGGTAGCAGGAGCAGGGGCCTGCTTGTCGTTGCGCGGTCGCTTCTTGGTCTCCTTGCCGGCAGTGGCAGGAGGCGCGAAGTTACCCACGGGAGGCATCTTCGGGCCGTCCCTAGCAGCTTGATTGGTTTGGTTGGAGTTGTTCATGGTGAGATCTTCAGAAGGTCGAGCTCCGCCTCGAGCTGATGCTGCAGACTCGGGGAGAAATTGCTTGAAATCCTCCAGAAGGTCGGGCGCGCTGTTAAAGAGAGTAGTCACTTGAGCATAAACCTCTTGAATAGGTTTCTGCTCTCGCTGATAGGTCTGGAGGATCTCCAGGAAGTTTTTGTAGATCTCTGGCTTGTCCTGGAATCGGTTCTGAGAAAAGTTAGCTGGTTGTAAAATAAATAATCAAGTAAAAAGAAATGATAGGAAGGGGGGAGGGAAAAGGGTGGAGGATAGAAAAGAAGACAATGGGACAATAGGACAATGGGCGCGAACAATAGCTGGCTTACCTTGATTTTGTTGACATAGCTTATAGCGTGGTTAAACTCAACTGGGCCGCGTTTTTCTAAATTTGCTTGCTGTTGTGCAGCACCGTTGAGAACTGCTGAGGCAGCCGCCGGAGTTGGTGTGTGTGCGTTACGCGGAGCTGGAGGGTGAGGTCCAACTGAGTTGTTCGAAGCGTGAGGCGCCCCACGTTGTTGATGGACGGGACTGTGATTCTCAAACGGCGCACCTTGGCCTCCTGCCTGACCGAACACACCAGGGCCGTTCTGTGCTGGTGCACTAAATTGCGCCTCCGGGCTCTCGACACTATGTTGCACAGCTGCCTGCCAATTCCCAGATCGAGGTTGATCTCCAAATCTCGGACCCGACCCTGAGGTGGACGACGGACCATCCAGTTGAATCCCTCGACCGGCTTGGCCGATAGAGTGAATCGTCGAGCCAGAAGGAGTGGTGACTCGAATGCTGTTCGGGTTGTCTTCTAGACCACATTCAATTCTATATCCAGGTGGTAGAAACGTATTGAACCCCTGGATAAGGTTTGGGTGTCCCGCGAACAGCTCAGAGACGCGACTAATCACACCAGGAGTATCGATACTATGACACAGTCAGTTCCCAAGCGAACCTGATCGTCCAAATTACGGCAGTAGCGGCTTACGTCTGGCTCTTGAAATCTTTCATAATGTCGAGGAATCGGTTATAGACATCTGGTTGCTCCGAGAATTGCACTTTGACTTGGTCAAGATAGCTCAGCGCGTCCTGTTTAAGATCGCAATCAGCTTGGTTCACAATTATTTTCTTCCACAGCCTGTCTCGCTGGATGTGTCTAGCGGTCAGAGGGTAGACTCACATTCAGGATGGGTTGTTGCCCTTGAGCAAGTCCACCCTGTGCAGGTATGACATGAGCTCCAGCCATGCCACTGTTGAAAGGACCCGTGCCACGAGGACCATCTTGCATCAGAGGCCCGCCAAAGACAGCTTGGGGAGCCGATGTGGGTGCCATGGAGCTGTGTGGCATCGACGCGAACATCTGATTTGCCGCGGATGCGCCGTTCTGACCACCGTGTGTCATCTGTCTGCCCGTCTCACTATGGATTGATGTGCCGAAAGCCCCTCCCGGACCAGCAGGGGCGCCCAGAGGAACAGGAGCCGCCGATCCGCCGTGGTTTGCGAGGAGCCCGCCAGGGCTGATAGCACCAGGAACTCGACTTGCGACGGGCTGATGTATGGGGAGTGACCCGGCGCTGCTGTGGTGCGGCGCGCCAGGCTGGTAGGCATCGCGATGCTGCCTGTCGTTTCGTTCGCGCTCTCGCTCGCGACGATCCATCTCGTCTTGCTCTCGAAGAGCTCGAAGGCGTTGTTCGTCCATTTTGTGGTCGCGCTCGACGGCCCGCAACTCCTTTGGAGCGAGGCGTGGATTTTAACTTCGAGGGAGCTCAAGAGGTCTAAAAAGTCATCAGAAAAAGTTTTTCTCGAGGTCGAGGAATTTAGACAAAGCGCAGAAGAAGCGGGTCAGGAGGGACGGGGCGGGCTTGACTGCGGCTGAAGCTTCACGATGGCTGCCCAGAGGGTGACGTTGTGGGCTCAGGAGAGGTCGAGCAGGGGCGCGCGAAAGAAAGCAACAGGAGAGCTCACCAATGTCAAGGGCATCAAACGGGCATTCACTAGCATGCAGGAGTCGAGCCTTGGATCAAAAGAAACATGATCTGGTGCATGCATGCATGCAGTGGGCATTCAAGGTGAAGAGCGGCTGGTCACAAAGAACAAGCCTTTGGTTGAAGAGGAGGGAAAGGAAAGCAGTGCCAGTTACGGAGCATGATGCGGCCAGGATTCTTCTGCCGAAGCTGGGCCAACCCAGCCAGTCCAGCGCCAGCGCCAGCGACAGCGCCAGCCAGCTGAGCTCACGTGGAGATATGATAAGGGCCAGCCAATAGTTGTCTAACAGATCTGCTCTATATTGATGTGGGTTACGCTGGGAATATATCCTGGGCTGTGTTAGTGTAGGATGAGAGACTAACAAGGGGCTGGGACTAGCAATTACGTCGGGGCTCGCTGGCTCTGATGACAGAGTTGCCTGCCGGAAGCCAATGGTCCTAATACGGATCGGGACGTACTCGGATGATACTCTTGCAGAGAGGCAAACACACAGACACACGTGTATATCTGAATGGAAAGAGCTGAAGAGAGACGCTTGAGAAACTTTAAACAATCATTTTCGATAAAACGGTATAAGGCTGCATACACGGCAGTGTTCGTTACAATTTTTTATTTGGTAGACTAAGAGCATACATGGCCGTATTTGTGACGTTCCTTTTTTGCGTGGACTATGCGTATACATGGCCGTATTCGTGACATTTCTTACCAGAGTAACAGCGTGGATGGCCGTGATTGTTACGTTTCTTACTAAATTCACAGAACCTTAGGTACGGTACTGCCATCCCCGAGCTCATCCCTCTAAGCTTAATACTTATAGAGCAAAGAGGTTTGCACAAGAACGCCTCCCCTAGAGCTGCTCGCTAGGAGCATAAATCATCCTTATTCAATAAAAGACATATAAACAATGACCAAGGACTTTCTGAGACCGGCTACTAACCATTGCTATTGAATCTTCAAGTAGAGCCACAACCAAAACCTACTCAGGCAGGATGGCGGATTGCAAGCAGCAGTCCTCGTGTCTAGGGCCTCTCCGAAAGTAATATCGCTCTCCTAAGTCCTCTGATACATCATGTGAATTGGCGGAGGTCCTGATTTTCGTTTACACGCGCAAGCAAGTGCCTCCGTCTCTTCTACACTTCACTTAAAGCTTATTAGGAATCGATAAATAGCCAAACAACAGACTCGTAGCTGAGCGCTCCCCCACCAGCCCACTTGGTAGTGCCCCACTGTCCTCTCACCGCCAAAACTTTTTCTGCCGCCTCCGGTCGCAAGCGCCAATGTGGAAGACTTAGTCTAGATTCGAGAGGTAGGTTTCGCCAGCATCCCACGAAGAACTTGTTGAAGTAAAGAAACCACTGCACGACAAGGCCTCATAATGTCGCGCAAGCAAGTGTAAGTTCTAGTCACTCTGTCTCTCCCGTTGACAGCAACTAAATTGTCTCTAGGGACTCGAGAATACCGGCGCTCATCCGCAATGGCCTCCAAGAGAAGAAGCGCAGCTTCTGTCAGTATCCCCTTAACTCTCACATGGTCGAGATGGCCAATCAGTCTGCTTCGAGCTAACCGATTAAATAGTCGTGGTGGTCGGTGACAGAACCAAAGATGTTATCGTGAGGCTGCACTATATAATGTCCCACATGGAGGTGAAGCAGTACGTCTATGGATAGACAACTGTCGCCAAACTTTTGTTGCTGGCCAACGCGGCAATTGCCTACCATGTTACATATACTAACGTGTTAAAAGGAACAAATCCGTCCTCTGGGCATACAAAAATAAGCTGCTTGGGTTCACCAGGTATGTCTTGAATTGACTTCACCATGCTTAACTGATTTACTGACTGGCCTTGCGCCTACAGTCATCGCAAGAAGCGCGAAGAGAAAATCAAGAAGGAGATCAAGCGCGGCATCCGAGAAGCGAATTCCGAAGACCCCTTCGAACTTTTCGTCTCGCTACACAATATTCGATATGTTTATTATAAGGAGACAGAGAAAATTCTGGGAAACACATATGGAATGTGCATTCTGCAAGACTTCGAGGCGATCACTCCGAACATCCTGGCGCGGACGATCGAAACAGTCGAGGGAGGTGGAATGGTCATTTTGTTGCTGAAGGGATTGAATAGCCTGCGTCAGCTCTATACCTTGACGATGGACGTTCACTCCAGGTATCGTACGGAGGCACACGACGATGTTGTTGCGCGCTTCAACGAGCGATTCATACTCTCACTCGGCAGCTGCGATTCATGTCTCGTCATTGACGATGAGCTTAACGTTCTGCCGATATCAGGAGCCAAGGGAGTCAAGCAACTACCGCCTCCTGACTTGGATCAGCCCAAAACCCCTGCTCAGCAGGAGCTTGATGGTTTGAAGGAGTCGCTCCAGGACACACAACCGGTCGGCTCTCTTGTCACTCTAGCAAGAACAGTCGACCAAGCCAAGGCACTCTTGACTTTTGTTGACGCAATTGCCGAGAAAACGTTAAGGAGCACTGTGGCATTGACCGCTGCCCGTGGTCGTGGAAAGAGTGCTGCTATGGGTGTCGCAGTTGCTGCTGCAGTCGCTCATGGATACAGCAATATCTTCATCACATCACCGTCCCCCGAGAACTTGAAGACTCTGTTCGAGTTCATTTTCAAAGGATTTGATGCTCTCGGCTATATGGATCACATCGATTACTCTATCATACAGTCAACGAACCCTGACTTCAACAAGGCCATTGTCCGTGTTAACATTCATCGTCAACACCGTCAAACGATCCAATACATAAGGCCGCAGGATGCTCATGTTCTTGGACAAGCCGAGCTCGTCGTTATTGATGAGGCGGCTGCTATCCCTCTACCACTTGTGAAAAAGCTCATGGGACCATATCTGGTCTTTATGGCTTCTACTATCAACGGATATGAAGGAACGGGTCGATCACTTTCGCTAAAGCTCATCAAACAATTGCGAGATCAATCAAGGGCCGGTACCATTGTAACTGACGGGGAAGTAGCCGACCGGACCACTGGTAGAGCGGCGAAGAACCAAGACTCTCCCTATACAGGAGGAAGATCTTTAAGAGAGATTACCTTGTCCGAGCCAATTCGTTATGCTCAGGGCGATGCGGTCGAGAAGTGGTTGAATACGCTCCTCTGCCTAGATGCAACTCTACCAAAGTCAAAGCTTCAAACTCAAGGCTACCCAGACCCCTCCCAATGCCAGCTTCTCAACATCAATCGCGATACCCTCTTCTCGTTCCACCCAGTATCTGAGAAATTCCTGCAGCAAATAGTCGGCCTTTTCGTTGCCGCGCATTACAAAAATACCCCCGACGATCTACAACTGTTGTCGGATGCCCCAGCACACGAACTCTTTGTCCTCGTTCCTCCAGTCGATGAGAATAGCAATCGACTGCCCGAACCGCTTTGCGTCATCCAGGTCTCGTTAGAAGGCAAGATCAGCAGGCAAAGCGTGATCAACAGCCTAAGTCGAGGTCAGCGACCCGCGGGTGATCTCATCCCGTGGCTTGTCTCCCAGCAGTTCCAGGACGACGAGTTTGCAAGTCTCTCCGGATCAAGGGTTGTAAGGATAGCTACCAACCCCGATTACGTCCGGTCAGGCTATGGATCAAAGGCGCTGGAACTGCTCATCGACTTTTACGAGGGCAAGTTCGCCAGTCTCTCAGAAGATGCAGAAATGATTGGTGATCAAACAATGCCTCGTGTCACCGATCCTGCTGAACTAGCCAATGCAAGCTTGCTGGACGATGATATCAAGGTTCGCGACATTAGCAAGATGCCACCCTTATTTTCCAAGCTTTCCGAGCGTCGACCTCAAAATATCGACTATGTTGGTGTCAGCTATGGCTTGACTGCAGAGCTACATAAATTTTGGAAGAAGAGTGGTTTCAGTCCTGTCTATCTACGACAGACAGCGAACGACCTCACAGGAGTAAGTGATCTCCATCATATTCCAAAGACCCTTTCAAAATAAGATACTAACGCATCGAAGGAGCACACGTGCGTTATGTTGAGGCCGCTTGAGGTCAGTGGCGATCGTAGCTGGCTCGGTGCCTTTTCTAGGGATTATCATCGCCGGTTTCTCTCCTTGCTGTCCTACCAGTTTAGGAAATTCCCCGCGATCATGGCTCTAAGTATTGATGAATCCGCCAATGCTGGAGCGGCGCTGGATGATATTCAGCCGCGTCCCGTGAAAAAGGAAGATCTCGATCAGCTTATGACACCGTAAGTCAGCTTTATCAATAGCCTCCAAGCTGGTAGCTAATCAGCATCGTTTAGATTTGATCTCAAGCGTCTTGAGAGCTACGCAAATAACATGTTGGATTACCATGTGGTTCTCGACCTCGTCCCTACCTTGGCCAATCTGTACTTCACCGGCCGCCTCAGGTCAGATATCAAGCTCACTGGTGTACAACAGTGCATTCTGCTGTCGATTGGCCTCCAGCACAAGGATATGGACGAAGTCTCTGAGGATCTAACACTTCCCCCCTCCCAACTTCTTGCAATGTTCATCAAGATCCTCCGCAAGATGACAGCTCACTTCGGGACTCTCGTCTCGGCAGCAGTCGAGTCCGAGTTGCCCAAGGCGGAGAAGCTTGGTGTGAGCCAGGAGAACGCCACTGGCGTCCATGAGGACGAAACCGTTGACACCAGATTCGCACCGCTGGAGACATCGCTCGAGGATGAGCTTGAGGAAGGTGGTGATGAAGCTCTGAAAGAGGTCCGAAAGAAACAGAGGGAGTTGATCGACTCGCTGCCGCTGGACCAATACGAGATCGAGGGCGACGCTCCAGGATGGCAGGACGCCGAGAAGCAGGTGCTCAATGCCACGAAGCAGGGCAAGGCGAACCCTGTAGTTAGTGTGAAGAGCAGCAAGACGAAGCGGAAAGCAGGGCAGACTGCTGCAGAGGTGTATGAAGAGGCTTTTGGGGAGAAGAGCCACAAGAAGCATAAGAAGTCAAAGAAATAGAGGCTGGCAGATTCTTGGTTTTAAAGGATCCGGCGTTAGGAGACACAAAATATCATGGTCGGCGCTTTGCACAGTAGCATGTAGGATCAGCTTATTATGTAGATAATCATGAACCTATGAAAGCTCAACAAAGTCTGTGTTTCTTGCATATAGTAAAGGTTATTTTACTCCTCCACCAACGTAATAAACGTTGGTACGGTGAGGGTATCATTATCTCCTCAACTGTAAAGCGATTACTACCTTTATAGCAGTTGACAGACCCATCCATCCCTAGGGAGTGATAAACAGAACCTTCGAGATCTTCATGAGTATTATGACTCTCAACACTGAGTATCTTCACAATTCATGAATGAACGTTTACTACCCTGGTGGAGGAGTAGATACCCAATCTGCCAATCTATGAAGTTCAATGCCAATCACAGGTGAGGCTTTTACAATGATTCCATAGTGGGGCACCTGCATATCCATACCCCTGACCCGTAATCTCGGCAGCGTGCAGCGGCCCCTGGCACTACGCGATAGCGCGAGTATCTTGGCCGTTGGAATGTCAACTTTATTCTTCAACTCTAATCTTTAGCGACGCTCCCGTCCCAGGACGCCATTCTTTTGAACCTCACAACCCAAGTCATTCGTTTACCTGGCCTTCACTCATTTCACATTGAGCCAATTGATTTGCCTCCGTCTAAGGCGGTGCTGAAAAGAGCCACCCGAGATTCTACATCTCCAGACCATCTTTCACATACACCAAAATGCACGCGTCCACAAGCTTCTTGACAGCTATGGCGCTGCTCTCCGGACTCGCTGCCGCGTTTCCCGGAGGTGCAGGCCGCGTTCGACGAGAGGCTGCATCGCCCACCGACCTCTGGGTGACCGTTGGTCCGGATGGAACGCCGAAGACAGTGACGCCAGTGCTTACGACCATCAGCGGCACACCGACGGTCATCTCGGGGGCACCGAACGATCTCACGGCGACCGTCTTCACGAGGACATCACAAGGTGATGTCAGGACGAGCACAGGAGACGCCCCAATTCCAACTGCCACAGACAAGGCCGGCGCGGGCTCGTTCTCTGTTTGTCACAACAAGGATGGCGTGAACGCCCCCTTCTGCCAGCCATCGGCGAACAGCACGTTGAATCCAGGCAAAACCTACTATAGTAAGCATTGTTGCCAGATATATGTCCTACGAGGTCTGTTACTAACGGCTTCCTAGTCACCTGGGATCCTACATTCTTCTCCGCTGCAAATACATCGATTCTCGTTCAAGGCGACTACATCAACTCGACCACCGGCGAAATCGAAACCCAAGCATTCGCCTCCTCTAAGCTATCTGCGGCATGGGCATTCTACGCCCTTGCCGTCGACACGCGACTCATGCAAGGCAAGAAGTCCGTCAACATCAGCCTGACCATTGCCGCTCTTGCTCCCGGCGCCTCCACGATGACTGCATACACCGGCCCGACCATCCGTATAGCAGAGCCTCAGGCGTACCAGCAGGAGAAGACGAAGGCCCCGACCGGCCCCGCGCTGTACATCGGCCTTCCCACCGTTCTCGGCTTCGTGGTGGTCTGCCTGATTGGCACATGCATCTGGAACCGCAAGACACGCAAGATCGCCCTAGGGAACATTATGGGCAAGGGGCGCGATGGGTACGGGGTGGGCAAGAGCCGTGCGCGCCGCATGGCCGGCGGAGGACGAAGCCGCCGCGAGAAGAAGGAGGCCATCCAGCTAATGAGCCGAGAGGTTCCGGCTGAACAGCAGTACCACGACGACTTCCAGGCGACGCGAGGCTCAGAGCACGACTGGGACGCTCATAGCAGGAACGAGTTCGAGGGCCTGCCGAGGCGGGACAGCGATGCGCTGGGCAGTTTGGCGGGAACCCCGACCGAGGACAGGCATATGGAGTTCCAGCGTCCCGGAAGGGGCAATGCTTTCCGGGACGAGTTGAGCCGACAGGAACGTGAGAGATCTTAAAGCCTTCGACCGGCAAACAACGGGAGGATAAACAGCTATGGAGTTGAGCATGTTGTGGAGATGGGATGGTTGACAAATCCGGCTCAGCTCACATAGTGCTGAATTAACGGGGGTCGACTACTATCGATCACCGCCCATATACATCTGTGACTACACAAGCACTTCGATGGCAATATTCAAGTAATATTGAACTTGTCGTAGTTGACGCAGGTCACGCACTAAACATTAATGACGAATACAAGAAGTACCATGAACTTGTACAGTTGTTACAACGTGACCTGTCTTGGGGTGTTGATCCTTTCCGTCCAAAAAGGGTTCCTATATTGATTTTCATAAGTTTGCTGCACTCGATGTGCTGGCGTAGCCAAGGGCAAAGATAAGACACAGCGTTCGTAGTAAATGGTCCTAGCAGAGAGATGTCTCAAATGTAAGCCGCGCTTGGCAACATAGACAGACGATCAAATCCTGGATAGGTGATCAACGTGCGTGTTGCTCGTGAATAGTCATGTAATAGGGGGCCAATATACAAAACGACATGTACTGAAGTTGACCGCGTGTTTCAAAAACTTCTGAACCGAGAGCCTAGCACATGGAGGCTTATTATTACGACGACAACTTCCATTTAAGCTCCCAGGTCTCGTTGAACGCCCCGTGAGGCGTCAAGTCCGTTAGGCCCGTCAGAGTCAACGCCTTCGTTGTGCTGTTCCACTTCGCCGAACCGCACTTGAGCGGCTCTCCATTGAAAGTGATTTGGGATACTCGGTTGGATACGCCAAGCACTGTTATATTTGCCAGCGGGTTGAGCTCTGTAAAATTGCCTGTTGGTTGGGCGGACAGGGAGGTATTTGTTGCGAGAAACTGTGCGACATCAGGGTCAACCTCACCATGAACCACACAACTAAAAGCGGGAAGGCTTACCTCAACCCATGTTGTAGCATTGGGCTCCACACTCTCACCATCATCCAGATATAGACGTCCTGAGGCCGCTCCTTGCTGGTCAAGCGCAGCAAGCACTCCCCACGGACTTTCGCGGGACTTCGTGGTTGTCATGGCCGGCTCTTGCAATGGCAGGACGTAGCCGCCGCGGACGAACAGCGGAATATGTCCCAGGGGCGCATCCAGAGTAATATTTTGGCCTGGAGTAACATCCACAATAGCGCTGTGATTGTACCAGTCGTACCAGACCGTTCGGCCATCGCCAACGCCGGGGAAGACACCATCGACCGTCTCGGCCCCCTGGACCAGCACCGGCGTCACCATGAGCGCGTCTCCCAGTAGGAATTGCCGATCGGCATTAGCCAGCCAAGGCTCAGAGGGGAATTCCCATGCCAGAGCCCGCATCACCGTTGACCCGGAGTCATGCGCCAGTGCAAATAGCGTGTACATGTACGGCAGCAATGCGTACCGAATCGCCATCGCAGAGCGGCTCGCCTCCGCAACGGCACTCCATACGTACGGCTCCTGGCTGATTGCTGCCAAGACATTATGATTACGGTAGAAGGGAAAGAAAGCGCTCAGCTGCATCCAGCGGCTGCAGAGCTCCATGTCGCTGTTGCCGTTGAAGCCGCACGTATCCACGCCGAACATTGGGATGCCGAAGACGGAGAAGCTGAGTGCTTGGGAGATCGAGAAAACCATATACGCCCAGAGCGACTGGTTGTCGCCGCCCCAATGTCCTGCCCATTTGCCGCTGCCGGCGAAGGTTGAGCGCCCGATGATAAATGGCCGTTTTGTTGGCGCTAGGCCGATCAATGCTTGGTATGTAGCGTTCAAGATCTCATATCCGAAAAGCCCATGAAAATCTGCAATGTCTGAATTAGTAATTGCTTTGAAAGAAGCAGAGGGCGGAGGAAAGGCTGCGCACCGTATTCTTGCGTCCCGCCGTGGTGCGTGGCATTTGGTGATACGGCATGTACTGCGAGGTCGCCTTGAACATTGTCAATGACATAGGGAGGGTGGTTGATCTCACGAACTCCCGGCGTTGGTGTTGTGCGGAGATACGTCGTGGAAGTCGAGGATGAGCTCGGAGCAGGAGTGGCTTGAGCAGACTTAGCTGACGATGCGGACGAGGCCTCCGTGGCGTTGGTCAAATTGAATCCTTCTGGGTAATCGAGCACCAGATTGCCCGGCTCTCCTGGCAGGCTGAAAGGGGGGTGAACCGGGTTCAGGGTGCGGTTCTTGCTACCGCAGCTCCCCACACAGAAGGACGACACTTCAGACATGTCTATCCAGATGCCGTCAAAGGAGACGTTTTGATACCAGATACCCATCTCCTTTACCCGCCACTCAATCGCGCCGGTACCGTTTAGTACGGCTCCAATGAAATCCGGGAAGACTGGATATCTGTTAGTGTTTTTTTTTATAAAAAGACAAGCAAGATGCAGATTGACCTGTATACCCTGGCCACACTGCTCCAATATACAGTGATCCATCAGGATTCAGCATGAAAGCATCGGCATCAATGCCACGATCAAAAATAGGATACGCATCACTGGCGTTCTCTGGGTTGGGAGCATAAACCGCAGAGTCCACAATTGGGACATAATGCTGACCGTTGGCATGTAGCTTAGCCAAGAACTCGGCACCTTCACTGTAGCCAAATCGGAGTTGATCATTTTCAAAGTCACGGTACTGGTTCATATAGTCGATGTCGGCTGTCACATGTCAGCATATTGCATGAGAACAGCGTGTGGATGGCGAACTTACTCCAGATAGTCTCTAGGGGAATATTAGCATTGGCGAAATTATCCACAACCTCTTGTAGTCGTGTCCAATCTTTGAGTTTTGTCGTTAGCGAGTGCTATATTGAGAAAGCGAAAGAGTAGAATCAGGCTTCATGAGAGGTGGCTGAGAAGCGTAATCCCGACCACGTGGGCACGAGCCTTCGTGGTACACACTCAGACATCAGCAAAGTGCAGAATTTACCTACTTTCATAGCCCCATCTGCACTGGTGAAACCCAAAGGTCCAATACTGCTGCATAGCAGGCAGGCCAACGGTGCTGAGCTGGTACGACGTGGTGACATCCTCGGCCAGGGGACCAGAGTAGAAATAGAGGTCAACAGTGCCTCCCAAAGTCCGCCAGGTGATATTGGACGGCCTCAAGAGGATCTCTTGCGCATGGGCATTGCGAAGGAACACGCCGTGGGTGTATGATGTGTACGAGGCTGATGTGTTCGTGGCGTTTGCTGCATATGTTTCCTCACCATCTTCACCGGTGCTGTAGTAACGCGTGTCCAAGTATATTGGATGCTGCCCGTATATATTCTGATCAATCGGGTCACCTACGTCAGCTGCGAACAAAGTTCCTGTATAGAGGTTAGTAAATTGCGTTTATTACCCTAGCGTTACTCACTCGTGAGGTTATTTCCCAGCCGAAACCCATGAATCACTTCGCCGAGCCCGTAAAGATTATACTCATCCGGCAACGCCGACACAAATTCAATGAATTGATCTGCATACACGAGCCTTGTGCCATTTGTAGTGAACAGCACATCGGCATTCGACTTCCTCGTCACCGTGAAGCCAAAGGTGGGTTCGTTCGTCCAGCTGAAGGCAAAGTCACTGGCTGCCTCGGTGGCATTCTCCTCCTCAACAACAGGCTTTGGGACGAGCGCCTCTGGCAGGATGAACCACGTCTCGTTCCCGGCGCCGATGTACCGCGGCTTGATCTCGACATGGAGTCTGCCAGAGGCCTGATACTCCACGCTCAGGGTCAGGTTCGCGATGTCGTTGCCGTACACATTGCATGCTGGGCCGGCAATGTTTAGGTCTGCTGTCAGACCAGAGGCATTTGTTTGGACGCTTGATGCTAGATATCCGGGGCAAGCCGTTTGGGAGTCAACAGCCTCGGGATCCCGGATGTTTGGGAGGAGTGTAGCTCCCGTGTCAGCATCAGAGGGCACGGTGAATATTTCCCGCCAGCTGGTCGTTTGACTTGGGCTTGAAAGAGTCGAGGTCTGAGCAAATGCTGAAGGGCAATATGTAGCGCCGATCAACAGTGCAGAGACTGAAGCTAACAGCGCCATTATGAAGAGCGCAAGGATGATTCGAGACCCCTGCTCCCCCTTTCTGAAGTGACGATATGTGAAGAGCCCAGCAGCGATGAAGGAGCAACAGAATAAGAACTGGGCAATTGATGTTGTTTTAATAATATCAAAGGAATATTCCTGCCAGACGGGCTGTCCTATTTACACCGAGTCAACTTAAGCTCTGTCACTGCCTAAAGCGCCGCGGGATATATTGGGTTCATGCACGTTATATAAACTCTAGAGAGAGGCTCAACTCAATCGACCCATCGTATCCACAGCATCCGGCCCGTATGCAAACGCAAATCACTCAACACTTGTGAAGTTTCCCGTAAGATGATGTCGGAGACTCCGCTTGCGAGGCGGGACCGCAGGATCAACAAGACGAGAATTACAGCGTGGATGTCGTTGAGGTCATGATACGAAGGGGAGGCTTTCCGAGCTACAAAGCAGAGGAGTGCGAGGACTTACCGCCCGGGCTCCCGGACAAGGCCATCGTGAGTACCGCCTGCGGCTTAATCCCGCCTGCTCGAGAAAGTACCAGTCGATGTTGACGACATCCTGCGCACAGCAGTGCACGGCAGCAAGAAACACTCGCCAAAGCTCTCGGTGATACTCGAGCTGTTCGTCATAAGCATCATGCCCGGGGGTGGGCCGCCGAACTCCACTGGATCGGCGGTTTTGCGGGCACCAATCAGTCGCACCGCGGGCGTCGTCTAGCCACAGCTTTACCCCAAGATCCAGCGTACAACAACGACCAGAGGGACAGAAAGCTTGGCGGCGCGGAAGGGCCGGTTGCCAGCCCAGACCAATGCGCTATCCATGGGTTGATCTGAATGTCATCGCGACGCTCTCCAGAAAAAGCAACCTCCAGAGACCGTGGCTCGACGACAAGCGCGAGCTGCTGGACTGACTAGACGGAGGGTGCCGCACTACTCTCCAGAAAGTCCTCGCTACCCCAGACTTTGGCGCCATGTGGAGAGGAGCCAAAGTTCCTGCAGCGAGCTCTCCTCGGCATTACTTTGGAGGTTGGAGGTTGGGGGGACCTGAAAATGGACGCCATCCTGCAAAGTCGTTCCGAGAGAACGGCCGGGGCGAGCCTTCTCCAGTGGAGAAGCCCTTCCGACAACCTGCCAGACAACTCCGACCGTGCAGACCACAAACAGGGCATCTCCAAGATGTCTCAATGCGACGTTGGGGAACGGAAGGCAGAGGCATGGACCATCCTTGGGTCGGTGTGTTGTGTCAGATCGGGCTTTTGAGCTCTTTTAAGGTTGTGACGGCAACCCGCAAGGATAGATCCTCGTGGAGAACACCTCTTCCGACTCTACGGGCCGGCGTCAGTGCGTCCACACCCTTCATGCGTCTGTATGTGTGTAGATGTCACCGTGTGGATCATGCAGGCACGATCGGTATGAATGGCAGTGAGTGATTTAAAAGCTTGGCTTTTTTGGACATGGATCATGGCATAGGAAATAATTTTTCATGCTGTCGTGATTGATGTATTGCGTATCAAGAGATGAGCAAATGGTCTCAGTTCTTCCACATTGGCCATTCATACTATGATATGCTTGAGGAACGTAGTGACCAATTCTTCAAGTGGCCGTCCGATCTTTCCAACACTGGTCACTTCTCTGAACGTTGCATGCACACTAGCCATCGTAGAGCGAATTGTACTTTGTACTTGACATTTAACATTGATTGGACATATTTGATTTTGAACAAACAGGCGTTTACACCTGGACGTCCGGCACGTCATCTCTCGCGCTCTCTCTACCTCGTCTAAACGATCGCAGCAGCGTCTGGTTCCGCTGGAGGTGCAATGTCCTCCGCCCGCTGACCGTCTGAATACATATAGAGATATATATGTCTTCGCGAGACAAAACACACCACGCGTGAATAGATTCGTTAGTCTCTTAAACCCAAAATCCCTGAGATCCCATAGACCTGCGATTCGTACGTGCCCTTGTGATAAAGAAAATAGTTATGGTATGATTTCCCCAGAGGCCCTTGCCTATCCACAAAAAAAGGAATTGTTGATGACCCCATAAGCCCCCTGCCTATCCAGGATTGTTTCCCCTTAAACTCCGTCACGTAAAAACTCCGACGCTGATAACCCGCAAAATGACAAGACCTGGAACCGAGAGTGATCGAGTACATCTGGCCAGCGAGATGGTTTTGGATTAACCAAAGGCGTGGCCATGATTGTGCGGATCAGTAACTAAAGTCGACATTACCCATTGTAGATATCATTTTATTATCCGTAGTAGACGCAGAAGATGTCGAAGACGCAGAAGTTCCTGGAACGGCGGTACTCGCATCCGTTTCGTTTGTTGAAGTCGGTTCCAACTCGTGCCCAGTTGGCGGGACGCCACTATCCGAATAACCCAAGTCTCGCATTTGCTGGAAGCTCCAACTAGGCTCAAAACGAGAGCTGTTCCACGCGTACTGCACCCTCTCGTACATCTCATCGATCTGCTCCAAACTAATCTTGCTGGTCTCGTACACCATACACCAGACAAAGATGACGGCAAGCACGCAGAAGGCTCCCCAGACAAAGAAGACGCTGGTGCCAAGATCTGCGTACCCGGTGCCCTCCTCCACTAGATACGGTGATCCGTACGAAATACCAAAGTTGAGAAGCCAGTTGGATGCTGTCGAGATGGACATGGACTTAGCTCGAACTTTCAGGGGATATATCTCAGAGGTGACAACCCAAGCGACAGGACCCCATGAAGCGGCAAAGAAGAAAATGTAAATGGAAACGAAGATGACCAGAATCTGGTTAGCCGTCTGTGGCATTTTATCTCCGACTGCTGCGGCGAAGGAGGCAATAAGAAATTGGCATATGGCCATGCCGATGGCTCCAACAATGAGGAGCTTCCGTCTACCCCAAGGCTCAATGACGAGCAAGGCAGGTAAGGTTGATACAACATTGACGATGTTGACGATAAGAGAGATAAGGAAAGGGTTTTGGATGTTAGCACCATTGAAGAAGGTCGTGCTGTAGTACATGATAAAGTTGATACCAGTGAGCTGTTGTAGCATTTGTAGCTTTTACCGCAAGTCAGTAAGTACCCAGTAAGAGGAGCTCAAGGAATTACATACCACACATCCCGTTAATGTTCGTCGTCCGAGATGAGGGGAGCCGTAGAAGATATCCTTATAAGTATCTGCGCCAAGCGCAAGTTCATATTCGTGGTTGGCCTGGATCTCAGCGAGCTCCTCGACAAGTGCAGGATGTAGTCGATCGAGACGGCGTAGACGGCTTAAAGAGATGGCTGCTGCTTCCCTGAAGCCACGTTTGATGAGGTATCGCGGCGTTTCAGGGAGGATAAGTAGGCCGAGTGATAACACCGCGGCCCATGTGAGTTGCAGACCCATAGGTATGCGGTAAGCGGCGGCTCCTTTCATGTGTTCGCAGACGATGTTGACGACAGACGCTGAAAGGAGTCCTAACGTGATAGATAGTTGATATGCACACACAAGTGTACCTCGAATCCATTTTGGAGCCATCTCGGACTGGTACATAGGGACCAGAACGGATACAGCGCCTACTCCAACGCCAGCAAAGAATCTAGAGCACGTCGTATCAGCAAGACCATATCACCCAATAGCACGCCGGGGAAAAAAAAAAACTCATCCAACATACCTCCCAACCAAGAGCAACGGTATATTCGTCGCGCAGACCTGGAAGATGACGCCAAAGCTGAAGACGCCGACGGAGCCGATGAGTGATTTGCGACGACCCCATCTGTCGCCAGAAGGAGCAGCAAGCAGTGAGCCGACAAAGGTACCGGCACTGAGAATTGCCACGATAATAGACACTTGGCTCGGTATAAGATTAGGTTTGCCGTCGTCATCGTAATGTCCGGTCGTGAAGTCACGTCGGAAAGAGTCCATGGCTAGGATGCCGTTGATCGTCCTATTTGCAGACCGTGTCAGCATTCACCCTTCCTTCCACAAGCGCTGTCCAACGCTCTCCAAAGCCAGAATCAAGATGCCTCCTCACCCTGTATCGTAACCGAAGAGCAGACCACCCGACGCAACGAACAACCCGACCATGATGGCGGGTGCCGAAGAGCCGGCGACATTGTCGGGCTTGTGCCAACCCATGGCGATCGCCACGGTGAGAGCGGTTTGGCCGTCAAGCCAGTTTCGAGGCGGTGTCTTCGAGTCGTGAATCGGGCCTCTGCGAGGGTTGAGGTCGAATACTGTCGTCGACCATTGATGGACAGGTCGTCGGACGTCGTCGCAGGTGAGGCCAGACGAGTCGGGGTGCGGATTCTGGCGATGGGTGTGGGTAATATTAGGGAAAAGAGTGGAGAACAGGGAGGAAGGAAAAAGGCGGGAGACATCGAGGATCAGCAGTTTTCTCGCTGGTATGGGGGAGGCGAGGGCTCATTGGCCAGTCCGGGGAGGAGACCGTGCTCGACCTGGGCTGCACACCCTCTCGCTTGAGAATCACCACCACTCACAACCCCCTTTCCGCCCTTTTCCCAATCCATACAAGGCCGCTGCCTCCAAGCGTCTCAAGCAGCCAAGCGGGCCCCGTGTCTAACTACACCCAGCTTGGCGTATGTTGGCGCGAAGGTATCTGTACAAGCGACATTCGAGCTGCTGTCGCTGCCCGTTTCCCGCTCCAGCAAAGCCAGGGAGCCAGGGCATTCATACTGCTCACGGCTGCAGGAGAGTGCCGTAAGTACCTAGAAGACGGAGAAACAGTGCCGTCCCTTCTCAGGGAGTCAAGGCCCCAGTGCAGCCATGCAGAGCCAACACCAGTAGCATTATTGCTCCCTCCCGCTAGGATTTCTGGCACATGCTGGCCCGCTAAGCAGGCAACTAATACACTACAGTGAGGGATCGCCAGTATGCACGTGTAAGGCGGCGTGGTGTCGTTTTCTGGCACGCTGGATCGCAGACCAACAGCCCCTCCCGCTCTTGTCCGGCCGATCACTCGATCAGCATCAGCAATAAAGTGAGGATGCTCACGGCACGGTGTGCACGCCCAGGCATTGCCCAGGGTTGTCGATTGATCGTTGCGTTCCACCGATGCTGATTTGATAGCTTACCACAGTAAATCATGGCTGGCAGTTCTTTGCGATGTGTCTTAAGTGGACACCCAATGCGCGTCAATCCTTGAAGGGAAACAGGGCCAGAGGTCTGGGGTGGACACTTGACCTTGAATCGACACTGACAGCAGTGACAGGACGCCGGGTACTGGGTACGTGCCAACGCCAGGGAGGTTATTGCAGGCACGCTGCCACGCTGGGCCAAGGACCAGGACCTGAGGGAGGCGTCGCTCCGTGCGGACAAGCCGGCGGAAATGCGTGCTTCTCCATGCGCCACACTGTCCGCAAAAGTACCGTCGTCGTATCGTCTACCCACTCGCAGTCAGGATGTTGGGGAGTCCGTGGCCGTTGAAAGGGGGTGCGCTTCCTCATCTGGGGATCCTCGGGGAAGGCGGTGGTCGGCTATGACATGACAGCAAAATGCCCGTGAAAACTGACAAGCAGGTTTGCCGATGACTAAACCGACAAGCGAACATGCTGCACGCATTGGACTGCGCTTTCGCAATGATTATGACTGTCGGCATTCGGTAATGTAATGTGAATGAGATGAGTGTCAAGAACAGCCACAGTCCTTCCCCCATAGCACTAATTCCGGAAGCCATCCTGTCCGAGCTAGTTTCTAAGCAGAGGGATTCTTCTGTCGGACGTGATGGTCTCCCAGCTGTATGCTCTTATCTTGGATGTTCAGGTGATTGTTGCTGCTCTCTCATCGAGCTGTTCACGCACATTCTGACAAGTGGACGGACGGATGACAGGCAGACCTGGAGGATGCTGGGGGCCTTGGTGTCGTGCGTGTGTAAAATTAGGAAGGTAACGCAAGAGAGGGCCAAGTGGGCTTTTCCAGCGTCGAGAGCGGGGCCAGCGAGCAACAACAGAGGCACTGAACTTGCGGGGGATAAGAATCAGTCCAGAACAGGTAGCCGCGACTTGGAAGAGTCCGTCAGCATACAGTACCGGAAACTGTGCCCTCTTTCCTTCCATCGTGCCTGCCCGCCAGCCAAGTGGTCACAGTCACAGTCAGCAATAAGCTGGAGGGACGTGCTACAGCCTGTTCACTGTCTCCCCCGCGAAAAGCAAGAACAAGACCATCTCAAGCTAATAACTGGCTGACTGACTGTCTAGCCTTCCAGGTTCCATTGTCTCAAAATGATGTCTCGTAGCGGCAGATTTTAACATGACCGCCGAGTCTGAAGGATCGGTTCTTGCCTCCTACATTGTGTTACTATGACATGACCAACAGCCCAGAGTGCCAATGCTCCTTCCTTCAAAGCAGATAACAGAACAAAGAGAGGATTTTACCAGGTATAATATCGGTGGGAAGGTAGACTGGCCTTGTATAGAAGGCATGTACAGTACCTACTACACAGTACCTTGCCCAGGTAGGTACATAGAAGTCATGCTGTGTCGCAGTTTCCTTTTTACTTTTGCGCCATGTAAACGCGGCCGATGACACGGCTCAAGGCCTCAAGGTTCAAGCCAAGTCAATACCAAGCAAAGACACTTGATCAATCACTTTCATTGCAAGCCCAAGCCCAAGCCCAAAACCGAAGCCCAAGCCGAGTCCGCCACGGCTATGACGGTAATTATTTACAATACCAAGAACCTATTTTGTGGTGACCTCCTCAACTCGTTACCACAGTCCACTCCGGCGACGCAGCGAGTCTAGTGAGGTCAGGTTACTTACTCCAGATTGAACAGAACTCTTCGTCATTGGCCGACTCTCTCGCTCCCGACGCTGCTTGGATAACTTTGCAAGCCATCAGCACTGAAGAGGAATGGTATGATACGATACTGGACAAAAAGACAACCGAATTGATAGAAGGCCAGCCTGGTTCGCCTGGTTCTTGAGAGCCATCTCTCCTCGGAGGAATCACCACGATGCACCCGGCCCCCCTAGCGCCCTCGACCTTGTCCTGGAAACTGTGGCGGCATCGCACAGTCGTAACCCCTGGCTTCAATCCTCCCATCATATGATGGGCATATGGTGGTATCGTCTCCTTCGTCCGTCGTGCTGCGCCAGTCTTGTGCCGACGACCTCCCCGGCGCCGGCAGACGCCCCCAAATGATGGCTTCGTCTGGTGCTGCAGGCCCCCAGCCTGCCCTCGTCCTAATGGTCCATTCGCTCCCTATTGCACCCGCCATGGCTTGCCTGCATCACCCATTTCTGGGCTCATTCCCTTACTGACTCCAAGCCACTAAGCCGGCCTTGGCCCCTGAGTCCCGAGTGCGCGCTGTGGGCACTGGGCACGACCTTGCTGAAGAGTGGATGAGCTAAGCAACCCGCAACTGCTCAAGCATTCACATCTGTCTGTCACTCAGGCTGCGCAACCCGACAATAGCCTGCATCAACACAAGACAGAGGCAAGTCAGACAGGTTGGGAACTTCACCTAACACATGCAGGGAAGCCTATAGTATCCCCCGCCAAATGTCTCGGTACCCGACTGTGGTAAGAGAAAGGAGAGAAACTCCTTACTCCTCCGACCCACGTAATTGGAAGTAATGGACCAAAAGCACCCTGCAGCCGACCATCCATAGCCTCGATGCCCTTACTAGTCTTCCCTCCAGCTCGTCCGATACAGACTCGCTTGACACACTTTTATTTTTAACACAGCAAATGCACGCACATAAGTTCTACCGCTTGTCTTGTTCCGCTAAAGCAGAGCGCACGACGTGGAGAGAGCGTTCCCGCCTGTCATGAGACGTCTATGGGGTTACTCAATTTCACTCGCTCTTCGAACGAGAACGAGACGAGGCGCCTATGCTGCGTATAAGTGATATCATGACGAGGATCCGGGCTGTTGTCGTGGGGTTTACCTGGTAATTGTTCAATTCGTGCGGCAATGACACTTTAGCCAAAGACGAGTCTCTCACGACAGGGGTAAGTAACGGCGCATATCCTCGTCGCTGCATTGTGTCTTTTAGGCTTTATTGTACGATGGCTTCTCCAGCCAACGGCAACCCGAGACCGGACCCAGACAAGAGGTTCGGTACACACGGCTTTTACGACTGCCGGATTGAGTTCGACCTTGCCTACCTTTCGCTCGATTTCTCCGGCTCCGCGCTTCTGACCAAGAAATCTGGCGGGAAGGACTTCGGCTTCGAGTTGTATCATGACTGTCAGCCGCCTTCGCTACCTCAGCGAGAGACATAGTTTGGTAACGAACAACCTGCAGGCCAGGCTGAGCGGGCCAATCCCGCCTGCAGGCTGTCAGGCATATCCCTTACAGGACCGGACTTGCGCTCGCTCAGTGTATGGCACCTAAATTAACAACACTCCCAAGCAGCTTGCCATGCGCACCCGCCGACCATACAGGTGGCAGCAACTCAGTGACCGAGCCTGCAGGTCGTCGGTCCCGCGCCGGCACAGCGAGTGAACGTGACCTGAAGATGCCGCCCGGCGCGTCTTATAGCAAATGCGTTAACCCTCGAGACAACCAGTTCGTGGCGTGGCGTGGGATCTGGGGTCCAGTGGCAATTATGCTTTGTCCTCTTGTCTTATACATGTCAATGCTTCGGCTTGATAGCCAATGCCACCACCTTCTGGCGAGCCATTTCGCTGCTCGCTGCTCCAGCCAGGGCACCGTTGGTTGCCCATGCCAGAGGACCCAGTCAGTCAACTTACGCAGGGCTCAGAGTGGTCAGAAATTACTGGTTGGTTGTTTGGTTTGTTAATTTATCAACTCCATTGCCTTGCCTTTGCCCACCCGCCTCGCCGGGCGATGGCCCAGCCCAGAAGACATGTGCAGCTGAATGCAACGCTGACCTTGCCATCTGCTACTCTCCTACGACTTCCTGCGCGAGCGAGCCTTGCCTTACCGGATGCCCGCCGTCCGACTACGTGCACCTGGTATTGTGACTGTCTATGGCTGACAGGCACGACAGATGACAGATGACGGCTCTGTGATGTTGACGTGACACCACTCCTGCGAGATTGCCCTTCAAGGACACCGGGGAACAGCGAGACGGCTTCCGGAGGGTCGCAAGCGGGCAAGGTAAAGAAAGGGCAAAGTCGTGTGATGACAGCCCTATCCAGTGTTGGATGGTGCTACTCCTATCCCGCGTCAGCTCTGTCCTACGTAGCAATCGATCCTCGCAAGGCAAGAAGATGCGACGTTTGTTTCCTGGCTTACTGTAGAACGCATGTGAAGAAGGGACATGTCACAGTCCATCTCACGTGATGGAGCAATTAGGAGCAATGTTTTGAGGAAATTATCAGTCTTTTTATCATCCCATTCGATGCATCCAGAAGTGCATTTAATCCAAAGAGGTAGGTAACATATATGGCTACAGTACAAAGATGTGTTTGTGTCATCACCCGCCATCGTCTCCCTAATCGATCATCTTGCCGGTCGGTTTCGACCTCCCTTTCGCCGTCAGACGGTGTTACCCCAGACCATGCCATTGCCCACTCAAACAGAATCCGTGACTCCGTGGAGTCATCGTCATCATTGTTCGTGGGCCGCTGCAATCACATCTGTCATGTCCAAACACACCCCTCCCCCACGCTATCGTATCTGTCGGTCTGTCTGTCTGTCTCAACTGCCTATTCACAGAGGCTGCATCAGACACTGGCACCACACACACACACACACACACACACACACACACCAGAAGTCGCTCTGCTCAAACCGCGGCAGCCGCACAGATGTGCCTTCTTTATAGCTCCAGCGTGGGCTCGACGCCCTTGACGCGGCCAATGACCTGCTCGGGGGCGTACTTGGGGATGACCTCGTCGTCGTGCAGCATCTCAAACTCCTCGGTGGCGTCGCGGCCCATGAAGTTCATGATGGCCTGCGGCCCGCCCGGGTGCTCGTCCAGCCACCCGCCCAGGTCCAGCACCACGCCCTTGACCACCACCCACAGGTCGTCCTTCTTGTTGTGCTTGGCCACCTCCTCCATGCTGTACTCCGTCTCCGGGATCTTGAACGCCTTGGGCTTCGGCTTGCCCGCCGTCGCCTTGCCCTCCTCCGACGAGGGCGTCGGCCCCGCCGAGGTGGAGTCCTGCTGCTGCTGGGTGGAGCCGCCGCCGCCGCCGCCTGACGAGGACGAGGACGATCCGGCGCCGGAGCCCCACTCTACGGAGATCTTGCCCGGGGTAGAGGGGTCCAGGTGCAGCGAGATCTGGCCGAGACGCTGGGCGGCGCCGCCGCCGGCAGCACCCTTCAGCGCCTGCTGGAAGAGGTAGTTGGAGGCGGTATCACCCGCCACACGGCCGTAGACGACGCACCCCAGCAGGGAGGAACCGCCGAGACGGTTGGCGCCGTGGACGCCACCAGCCAGCTCGCCGCAGGCGAAGAGGCCGTCGAAGGGCTTCTGCTCGGAGTTGAGGACCTGGGCCTTGTCGTTGATCTCGATGCCGCCCATGGTGAAGTGCAGGACGGGCTCCATGAGGGCGACGTGGAAGTCGTCGTCAATGTCGAGGGGCATGTTGTGGAAGAACTTCTTGCCCCAGGGGTCCTTCTGCTTGCCGTCGGCGATGGCGTTGTACGTGGTGAACGTCTTCTGCAGGTGGTCGGGCGAGCAGCCGATCTCCTTGGCCAGCTGGGCGCCGGTCATCTTCTTCATGAGGCCGCGGCCCGAGTAGTGGCGCGTGTGGAAGTCGAGCGTGTTGGACGCCTTGGAGTTGAGGATCAGGCGGATCGGGAACTTGCCCTTGTCCTTCTCCTTCCACATCATGCCCGACACGTAGTCGCGATGGCCGAGCTCGTCGCAGAACCGGTCGCCGTCGGCGTTCAGCAGCAGACCGCCCTCACCACGGAGGGCCTCGGCGGCCAGGAACTTCCACTTGGACCCGGGGTCCTTGGGGTCGACCAGACCTGTGGGGTGGACTTGGACCTTGTCCATGTCGATGCCGTTTCCACCAATGGCCATGACCATCTTCTGGCCATCACCCGTAGCGTGTGCGCCGTTGGTTGTGGCCAGGCCGAAGGTGTCTGGGCGCCACTTCTTCAGCAGGGAGCTGTCGCTGAAGTCGGCGGCGTAGCCACCAGTGGCCAGGACGACGGGGCCGTCGACTGTGGCCTCCTCGCCGCCAAACTCGTATGTGACACCGGTGATTGTGTTGCCCTCCTTGTTCAGCTTCGTGACGCGAGCCTTCTTGATGATCTGCACTCTCTCGGGCTCGGTCTCGGCCAGCTCCTCTAGCCTCTGCATGAGGGCGTATGTGATGGCCATGCCGGGGAACTTGGCATCATGGCCACGGTGAGTTCTCGGCTGTGAGTGGCCACTGCGAACATGTTAGCAAAAATGCCCCTAAAATGGCGAAAAATTATCAAATTGTAGAATTGCACGTACCCTAGCCGAGAGACCAGAGTCAGGTCTAGGTTGAAGACGTCCTGCAGCCACTCAACGGCGGCGGCGGACTTGTAGGTGAGGACCTTGATGAGGTCGGGCCGGGCCTTGTCACGGGCGGACTTGAGGGTGTCATCGTAGAACTGCTTGACGCTGTCCTGGATCTTGTGGTCGACCTGCGTCCTGGTGAGGGCGCCGTTGATGCCGGAGGTGGCCTTTGTGGAGTTTCCGCCGAAGAAGCCTGCAGTGGTGCCGGGGCGAATTAGACCGAGTCATTAAGAGAGAGAGAGAGTGCACCCTGCCGAGTGCAGCCGGGTGGTGATGTGGAGCACCACAGTCGCAAGCTAATTGCGACTTGCTAATTGCTGAATGCTTGATTTTGATTTCTGCTTACCTTGCTTGTCAAGAACAACGACGTTTCCTCCAGCGAGATAGATGGTGTGCGCAGCGCTCAGTCCGGACACTGTCGAGATGCAATTGTCAGCGGGTTGTTGTCTTTCGTTTCGTTCCACGGGCCACGGGCAACCGATGACGGCATGTGATCATGGCTGTTCGGCTTGCATTCTGTGGGGTAAAATGGTAGAGGCAGAGGGAGACTTACAGCCGCCGCCAACGACAATTACTCTGGGCGCCATTTTGGAAGACCGAGCTGAGTCCCCTGGGGTATCTGGTGGTAGTAGGAGAGAGAGCGCCGATGAGATGAGTCTGGAGAGAGAACAGAAGAGGAAGAGGAGAAGGAGGAGTATGGGGAGTGAGAGGGAATCTAGGAGAAGAAGAAGAGGAAAGGAAAAAGCTTGTGAAGAAGAGGCAGACGACAGGAATGTGATCGGTTGATATGTAGGGCCAGTAGCCAGTAGCCAGTAGGTACCTCCTCCCCAGGGCAGTGTGTGTGCCGGTGAAGAGACGAAAGCGGGCGGGTTGCTAGTGGGCTACAGGCGACTTACATGTACTTACGCAGGCACTTACAGGTGCGCTACCCCGAACTCTCCTTCCCTGGTTCCCTAATAAGCCGATTTGCTGGCACGCTGATTCGTGAGCCGAGGTCGACTTTTGGACCTTGGACCGGGCTTGGATGGGCCTCAGGGCTGCTCACTGCGACCGGACGGGAAGAAGGCCGGTTCTGGGGCACTGGGGGGCACCTGCTGGGTCACTCCGCGGCGCATTCAGGCCAATGGGGATCCAGCGCAGTCGTCGGTATGCACTCTGATGCTCGGCCCGGTTCTCGTGTCATGGATGCGAAAACGGCTTCATCCAAGTCCAGAATAAACTCAACAAGATTGAGGCATATAAGAAATAAGAAATCTCGCGATGCGCTTCATTGGAGTTAGCTAGTTTCTGCACTCGCATCTAACGTTATTCTGTATTCTGTCTTGTATTGTTGGGGCAGCAATAAGGGGACCCTCCCTGGCATTCGCACCCTGTTTGACCGAGCACCTGCACAGCACCAGCAAAGCACCAGCAAAAAGCACCTCGCAGTCCTTCGGCCATTTGGGCCGAGGCGCTGCTTGGGGGGAGTGTGTGGGGGTCAGTTGGGGGAGAGAACACTGCATTTTGTTGTTGTTGGGGGTCCGCTTATTCGCAGCAGAAGAAGCATCCTTACTATGCAGTAGCTTACCTACTTACTAACTGAAGGATTTATTAGGTGTCAACTTTTAGTCAATGTCGCCGATTGCGGCTTCGTCAAAACAGAACAATTCAATTGTGATGCTTCTCTTCAGATGAGAACATTTGGGAGGGAGAGCAAGTTTTCTCCACAGTCACAAGCCGTCCCCCGCAGCAGTCAAGTCAAGTCAAGTCAAGGTCAGGCCAGTGGAGGTCAGCCGCCCATCTCCGTCGTCCAATCCGCCTCCACGTGTAATAAATAAGGCAAGCAATGGTCATTCACTTTCACATGTGAAGCGTGCGACGCTGACGTTTGGGCAGGTTACAATTCCAGGGGAGGGGACGGCTACAGTCTGGAATCTCCGCCTAATGGATGTACTCTAATCAAACCCCGTCCGTCTCTTCTCCATACAGAACCAAATTGGCTGCCGGAAATCCCCCCCACAGTTTCAGTCATGTATTTAGCAAGTCATATGATGTGATGTCGTGGGTGCGGGAATCCGGGGTCGCGGATATGCTCTATGCTACGCTTTCAGCTTGTCGTTGGCATGTGAAAGCCGCCACGGTCGGTCTGTAGTACTCTGTACCCCTTCAGTGCCAGAGAAGATCACGCGCACACTCAAGTGAGAATCTCACACACTACTGAGAATAATGATAATTGATGATGTAAGTCAAGGCCACGTGCACGGAAGAGGCAACGCAATGCCCTTGCCTTGCCTCAAGCGATGGCGCACAGCACACATACAGTACACATACAGCACGATGCAGCTGAGCTCAGCACTGAGCCCGGGCGAGCGAGTGCCGGACCAACAATTCGGGAGTTGGATACTATCTTCCTCCTCTCTAGGGGTAGCTCTCTGCAGCCTCGCCGCAATTCAGTCTATTGAGGAGATTACATATCAATTGCCTCGGGTTGAACTGTCGTCTCGCTCTACCTGCGAGTTTGGGCAGCGCGAACGGCACTTACTATGCGCAGTATGAACTTTTCGCCCCAAACCTACCCCAACCTTAAGGACCAGGTACCAGTAAGTGCAGAGGGGCTGACTTTCAAAACCCATCCGACTTGATGATGGCTACTTGGAGACGAGTTCTGTTCATGGTTCTATCTCCTCCCTCCTCAACTTCCGTCGTCGAAGGGTAGATGATCGTGAGGTTCATTAAGAAGGTTGCCATCCCTCTTCCTGAGGCATGCTCTCGGGGAAGGGAAGGGCGGCAACATCGAATGTCCCTACTGTAGACTGTAGTGGGCTGGACAAGATGCTGCGAGGCAAGTCTATGCATCATTGTGCGGCTGTGTTGGCTACCAATCCTCCTCTAGCGGCGGCTAGGAAGGATCATAGAAGGGGTGCCACCCCTTGGTCTAGACGTTTTCCCGCGCTCTCCTACGTCTTTGCGTCGCCCTCCCAGGCATTCTGCCCCGTCTTTAACCACCTTTCCCACCAGTGCTTATCCGGCTTTCCTGGACTGGCGTCCTTGTGCGCTGTCGCCTCCTGTCACAGCCTCTTTGCCCAGAGCGCCATGGCGCGCTTAAGGAGGAGATCGAGGGGAGGAAATGGGGAGGAATAGTGTGACGAAGATGCCTGGGTTTCACTGTGGATTATCGTAGCTTGGTAGGCAGCGGACAGTGAGTGGGTGGTGCTCCCGGCCGTTCGTCGCGCCCCTGGCTTCGACGCCACCTACCCGTTTATTCTGCTGACATAAGACGCCTAAAACCCGGTTGTCCTCCCACCCAACCTGAAGAGCCCCACGGGGCTTCTATGTATTACCTCTCTCCAAACGCTTGGGGATGCGACACTATCGCGAAGGTCTCCAAGGCCCAGCAAAGAGCTATAGTACCTAGGTGTTGTATAATTTCTTCACGTTCCACTGACAGTGATCAAGTCGATCACCGTAAGGCTCTGGTCCCAGGCTCAGCCCTTGCTGTGGCTTGGCCTAGAACTGCTTGCAAGGCCCCCGGGGCCGCCCTAAGCACTGCTTTTTTCCTAATTTTGGGGGCGGCATCGAGAAGGATTCCTTCAGCTTTTGCGCAGTCCAGCCTCTGCCCACCTATCATCACTCTCCCTGCCACGCCCATCTTACTCCGAATGAGGGCACACAAGCCTGTCGCGCCAAACGCCAAGGTCATGATGGCCGGCTGCATGGGACAAGGGTGGCATCGTTGGACAAACCCCATTCGGGGCCAGCCGAATTGGATGAAGCTACTCTCCGTTGCAGCCACCTAGTGGCCATGCCCTTTAGGTAACTCGTAGAGAGAGTGACACTGAGAGAGACACTAAGAGAGAGAGAGAGAGACAGAGGTTGAAGAACCGCAAGCGCGCACGCTGTGTCAGTGAACGTCCGAAGTCCGGGGTTCGTCGGGCAGGCTGCAGATCCTTTTCATTTCTTATCAAGTCTGCGTTGGTGCGTGCGACCTTCTCTTCGTTCCTTTCAGAGTGAACTGTGTTTTGCCTGCCTGCCTGTCTGTCCATCTGTCGTATTATATGTGACCCCGTCGTAGTCTTCGGCGTCCATTCGTTGTCGTTGTCGTCGACCCGCCTCGTGATGGCGACCGATCCGCATCACCAACAACAGCCACAACAGCAACAGCAAGAACAATACACGAGCTACGACTGGAACTCGCCCGAGGTCGCCCCTCAACACCATCAGCATCAGGAGTACTACGGTGGTGAGCACCACCAGCCTCACCAGTATGCGGAGACAACAAAGTACGCTCCTCAGGTCCAGCCCTACCAGGAGGTAGCATACGACAGTCTTCCTCAAGTCGCACACGACAACTCCAATTACCCTCAGGTTGCCTACGACAAGACCCTGCCCGAAGCATTACCACCACACGCGTATCAGCAGCATTCACCACAGCCGCCGTACGACTCGCAACAGTACAACTACTATCAGCAATCACCGGCGGCTGATGCTCCCCAAGTATACGAGGGTGAGAAGAAAACCCTCGGGCTACGCAAACGCACATTGCTCATTGTCTTGGGCCTCATCATAGCCTTGGTGGTGATAGCTGCGGTGCTGGGCGGCGTGCTTGGTACACAGTTAGGAAAAGACAAGAAGAGCAAGGATGAGGACATACCGACCACGACGGCGAGCTCAACGCCGACCTCGAGTCCGACCCCGACGGCCACCCCCATAATACTCGACACGTCCAAGCTCAGCGCAGTGAACTGGACAGACTCGGACAACACGGACTACCAGGCCGTCTTCTGGCAGGACAACCAGACGAACCTGATCATGTCGCTGTCCGACTCGGGCGGCAAGACGTGGGAGACGACCAACATCTCCGACATCATGAGCTCGTCCTTCTCCGCCAAGGCCGGCACGCACCTCAGCGCCGCCGTGCGCGGCTACCCGTGGACGAGCTCGCCGTGGAACAAGGAGTTTGGCATCGCGCTCTACTACATCGCCGAGTCGGGCGTCATCGAGGAGGTCTACAGCACGGACATCCGCGGCGCGAGCTGGAAGCGCGGCACGCTGACGACGTCGAGCGCCAACCTGCAGGCGGCCGACGGCTCGTCGCTCGCGGCGTGGTGGAGCGAGTGCGAGGTCAACTGCACGGATATCACGTGGCTGTTCTACGAGGACCCCGACGGCTCGCTGATGTACGCGGGCGACGACGACTGGGCTGCGCCGCAGTTCCTCGTGCGGAACATAGTCAATTCGGCAGGCATCGCGGCAACTGCCATCCCGTTCAACAGCTCGGCGTCCCCCGCGGCGAATAGCCCCCGCGTCTACTACCATGACTCGAATGTGCTGCAGGAGCTGATGTATACCTTTGACCCGGAGCCAACATGGTACTATGGTAAGAAGACTGCCCTGTTTTCACGCTCTAGGGAAGTTGGGACGCTCACAAACAAACAGCAAGTACCATCTTCAAAGACCTACCAGCAAATCCACCGCAGATTGCTGCAGTCAATTATGAAGACCCAGCTGATCCTGGAATCGGAAGGGTGCGGCTTCTCGTTGTAGCGAATTTCGATAACGGCACGTTAGCTACAAATTACTGGTAAGTTGTTCTTGCGCAACTCATAGTCTTGAGCCATGACTGCCATGAGGGAACATCTAGAGACAAGCGTCTAGCTCTGCTGCACTGGTCTGTTCTTAAATATCTCTGGATCGAGCCAGCACTTTCATCAAACCAAAGACTGACTTCAAGTGCACAGGAATGGAGCGAGCTGGCACGAAGGTGCGGTCCCAAGCATGCTGGGGAAGCAGCTTACGAACTTCACGACGATATCCCTGATGTCGGCAACCGAGCTCAAATTCTTCGGCGTGACGCCGGAGGGCGAGCTCCATGTCTATACTGTTGACCATGACGACCCTCTGACTTGGACGTATGATAGCGAGATTAATCTGATATAGCGGCGTTTATCTTCCCGATTCCCCATTAGTTTCACTGCGAAGGAAAAGCTGTGATCGCCACGTAGAAATATAATCATAAGCGCGAACCAGAGTATATCTGTGATGATTTGGGGGAATTTATATACCCAGGACTGTTCACGGCAAGCGGGAGTTGTTAGTGGTTTGGGGTTAGGGTTATGTATGGGGTTTAGCTTGTTTCTCACGGGACGAGGCGGGATACGTCATCTGATAGCGTTATCGGTCGAACCACCCGCCTTGATAAATAACTTGACTTGTTTCATCGACGAAACCCTTCTGTGAGCAGTCCTCAGTGAACGTAACGGCCTTGACATTCCGGTTCCACTACAGAGAACCTTAAAATGAAGCCGTCATACCTGTACACAGTCGCAGCACTCACCTCCCTCGCACACTCACAACTCATGGTCCCCCTCCACAAGCACCGAGGAGGCCAGGCCATCCCCCCGCCGTTCAGCATGGAAGAAGCAAACGCAGACCAGCAGCAGCCCATGGGCCCCGTCGGCCCAGCCCTCCCGCCCGACGCAGCACCCGCGGACCCTCCCTCCGCTCCCGGCGGAGGAGGCGGCGGCGGCGGCCAGGGCCCGGTGATACTCTCGGACGTGATGGGCCGGGACAGGAGCATCAACATCTTCGCGGGCTTCATCCGCGACATCGAGACGGCGGCGCGGCGGCTGGACGACTCGGCGCAGAACTCGACGGTGCTGGCGCCGCTCAACTCGGCGATCGAGGCGCTGCCCCGCAAGCCGTGGGAGGACCCGCGCGACTACGGGCGGCTGGGCGCGGACGCGTACGAGGGCGAGGACGGCCAGGAGCGCGCGCAGCGCAACCTGCGGCGCTTCGTGGAGGCGCACATCGTGCCCAAGAGCCCGTGGGACGCCGGCGAGAGGGTGAGGGCGCTGGACGCCGGCGGTGGCGAGGTGTGGTGGGAGGACAAGGACGGTGTCAAGGTGGTGCGTCCGTCCTATCCTGCGGCGGCTGGCTCGGTGACTGGCTGCTTATGGTTATGATGGTTTACTGACGAGCGTGCAGGTCCAACCCGGGAACATCGAGGTTGTCAATGTTGCTAGCACGGTTGCGAATGGTCAAGTGGTATGTGGTCCTTTGGATGCCACCATTGAAAGCGATCACTTACGATCAAGATGTACTAACGATATACTACAGTGGATTCTCAAGGGCGTGCGCAACTACGCTTAACTGGAAGATGAAGTGTTATGAGTAATGAACCGTTCGCATGAACAACGAAGAAGGCCTGCTCACATGCAATATGAGGATCTCGAACAAGCACTTCCTGCCATCACTAATCAAGGTATAAGTGTATAAGGGTGTTGTTTCAGTCTCTGGGAGTTTCGGCTCATTGGGCTGGGCTACGATGGATTTACGAAAATACCGTGTTAGTTAATGGCGTCTTTACATATCATGAATATCATATCTCTTTACATGATATTTACTGATATTCCTTTGAGGCATAGCCGCAGCGGAATTAGCTATTGTGTGGAGAGTGGGTCTGAAGTGTACACTGCCAGGATCCAAACACGGGGCGAGGTCGATCGCGTGTGGCACGGTCTCTCGCAGGCACCCGTATTCTCCCCTGCCTCATTGGCTTACTCTTATTGTCTCGCCCTCCGTCGCAGCCGCTTGCCCACGCTATTACTGTTCCCAGCTGTCCTCATATCGTTGCCTTAAAGGCTACGGCTTATTCTAACCAAGCAACTACAGCATACCCTTAGCAATCCTCTGCAGAACGTGCATGAGACGGTGAGGAGTGGGAATTGGCTGGGAAGAAAATGCTCGCTCCCCCTTCCGCTTCCTACATATCTCTGCACTCATGATTTCCTTCCGGTCCTGGTTCAATCTCACGGGACCTCCGCCATACACGCCAATAGGTGAACCCCCATCCGACGAGAAATATCTTCAGGAGACGTCCAAGTACTGGTTCGGCAACATCGAAGGCTTCACAAAGTTCACTAGCCTCAGGAAGCCTAGCAACATGTCGTCGACCTCCTCGACGAAAGACATCATCATGGTGGACACTCGGCCAAACTCTCCGTCAACTGATGTTGAGGCAGAGCCTCTCATCCCGCAGCCTACTGTCCATCAGCCTCCCTCAGACAGCGATGACGGAGATAAGGATGAACCTGGGTTTGCCGTTTACGTTGACGCCGTCGGCTTTGCTCACGTCGTCTGCTTCATCTTAGCACTCGGCTCCCTCTTCACCTTCTCCGTCACCGGTGGCAGACTGGGTGACCACATCGGCGACTGGCCTGGCCAGTACGCGGTCTACTGGATTGCCATGGTTTGGAACTTCGCAGGGAACGTGCGCAAGCTCTTCAGAATCAGTCTGCGAAACACGCACATCCGTGTTGCCATCAACAGCATGGAGTGTTCCATTGGCGGTGTTGGCGGCGAGAGCCCTAGCGGCATGCTGCTTCGGAAATTCTGCTCCTCGATCATTCACCTGACCGTCGGCATGCTGGTTATTGGGTTCACGGCCCATGCTGGCAAGGAGATGGGGCGTTGCTATGGATCGTACTGGTCGTGTCGTGACTCGAACTTTAGTCCTGTCGTAATAGGCTTTGCTTCGGCTCTCGGGTATGTTTCTTTGTTTTGCTTCCTATTGATAATATGTTTGTGTGGATGCTGACAATATCAACAGGGCTATTCAGACCATCCTCGCCTTCATGGAGCCTTTCCCTAGGTTGGTGTCTAAATATGTGTGTATCCGCTTCTCTATCGGGACAGTGAATCGGAAAGATTTAGAGAGTGCCAACATCTACTTGGCCTGAGTCAAATAGAATGATCATATCGGTTCCATCGAGGTAGCTTCATCTATCTACTGTCTGATGTATCATATCACATATTAGCAGAGTACAACTAGCGAGGAAACAGACGGCGTTATGGATGATATTATGGTTTTGGTTTTGTTGTGTCAGTTTGCCCATTACATAGCAATTCATATGTCGATACCCTGTACTCAGTTGCTATGATATACTGCATCTATTTTACATATGGAGGCCATACCTATCTTGAAACTCGGTCAAAGCAAAAGAGCTCAATCGACAATCAGCCTTGGAATTCAAGAAGAGAGAAGTTAATGATCGACTCTTGGAAGATAAAAACATGTAGTCACCACGAACAGAGACAGTACTTGAAACCTCATCTAGATTGAACACCATTATGGCTCTCGATGATAGACTCTAATGCAATGACGAACGGCCCTGCGAGCCCGAGCAATGGAAAGCGGTATATACAGAGTGGGAGTGTGTAGGTTCTAGTTCCTGTCGAGCTTCCGACGCTCGTTGCGCGTCCTCTTGAGCAGCTTCTTGTACTTCTTCTTCTTCATCCTCAGCTTCCGCCGCCTCAGCACGCTGAGCGCCAGCATCGTGTCCTGATGCCTGCTCTCCCTGCCCTCCTCAAACCGGAGCTGGCGCTGCGCCATCCGCTCCAGGAAGCTGCGGGGCTCGGCCTGCTCCTCGATCAGCTGCGGGCTGTGGGCCATGACCTTGATCTGACCGTCGGTGTCGGTCGTCTCCTCGATGGTGAAGACGGCCTTGTATACACGGTGGTGGGGAGCGGCCTCGTCTACGACGTCCTCGACGCCGGTTTCAGCCGCGGCCTCTGCGTTCGTGCCCTCTACCTCGGGCAGCGGTGGTGGGCGGAACGGGAGGAACTGGCCGGACATGGCGTTCAGCTGCACGTAGACGCTGGACTCGGTGCCGTCCGGGTGCTTGAAGTCGATCTTGTGCATGCTGTCGCCCTCCATCTCGTGCTGACCGCCAAGTCCGAGCTTGGACATGGGCTGCTCCAGTTCTTCGACCGTTCTGGACAGGGTAGAGATGATATCGGATGCCTTCTGTCCACGTGTGCGCGGGACGAATATGGAGGCAAATGCATCTTCTGTTATCGCTTTCGGCAGACTGTGGGTAACGGACATGGGCCGGTGGAGCGAGAAGAAAGTCGATAACGCCAGTGCTACAAAACTGTCAGTGATCACTCTTAATGCTGGTAGGTCGGCATTACACACATTCTTGGGGCAGATGCTGTGTGCTTGGGACACTGGGAAGCTTGTTCTTATCGGAGGCGTCCTTTGCTCTCCTCTTGCGCTTCTCGCCAGAAGATTTTGCCTCACTCGACCGAGACTGCGCTGGGGCAGGCGCGGCGGGGATATCCTTGGGGCCATTATCTGGGCTTGACGGATTCGAGGAGGACCATCGTCTCTGGTGCCGATTGGGTCTGTAGGGCAGGCTGAGGGCGGTCGTGGCTCGCGGAACCGTTGAGGAGAGGCCGGACAGGATCGGTGACTGAGGTGCCGCCGACGCCACGCGCCGGACGGATGAAGGCAACATGGTGATGCCTGCTCTGGAGGTTAGAAATGAAGCTCAGAAACAGAGAGTATCGACGAGATTGAAGAGAGCACGGAGGATGGGGCGGTTTACCTCAGTCAGGGTGTGTCTTTGCTGGTCAGACTGGCACTGATCACGTTCGATGATCGGAAAGGCAAAGCCTTGTTTCGGAGGGCGGCTAAACGAGGTGGACCGACCTTGCCTGGCGCCTCTGTAGGCCTGAGGCACCAATTAGACGAGAACACAGACCAACACTATCACTTGGCCAGTGCGTACCTTTTTAAAGACATTGCATCTCAGTCCCCGAATACTGTTCTCAATCATGAGAAGGAGCTAGAACATGGTATACGGTATTAAATTTCTTGAGCTCAAGTCAACATCATGTTTCATCTATACATATCGAGTTATGATGGAAGTTTCCTTCAAATACTGGAAGTTGCAGTGTTGTCACAGAGTGAACTGTCATTTTCTCTGAGTTTCGTCAACTACGGTAGCGATACTTTGCTAGAACGGCGATGCGAAGTTCCAAGATGAGCCTTTATGAATACACCTGGACCCTCGTTATGTTCAACGGGGGGAAAAAAAACCCACACTCGTCTGTTGTCCAAAGAGGCCCAGGCGAATCAAGAGTAGGTCGATCTCGATACGTCAAGAGCTTCGGCATACTCGCATTCCCCGCAGTCTCCTCCGCTGTCGGTCCAGACAGCATGCTTCAATCCCAAATTCCCTTCAATTAAGTTAAGTGAGTGTTCATTCTGAGGCTATTGGTGTCAGTAACATTCTCTAAAACAAGTGATGTGATTGTCCACCGGCAAGTGGCCGCGGACCGTCTTCGCTCCCCACATTCCGCCCGCCGCCGAACATCCATCGGAACACTGCCCGGTCCATAAGGTACTCCTACGGCACTTCTCCTAAGTGCAAGACTTGCATTCGGCTTAAAGCCGGGCACATATATAATAGCAATGTATAAGTATACATTTCCGCTTCGAGCCTGCAGACTCAGCACGAAACGCACATCAGTAAGACTATTTGGAAGTACAGCTGCCAATATGGTATCTCGTCATCTCAAATCCCCTGCCGTGACGGCCACGGCGAGCTTTGCAGCATCTCAGAAGGTCTCGGAAATTGTCAAATCGGTCATCGATGACATTAGGGCCAACGGAGACAAGGCCGTGCGGACATATTCGGAGCGATTTGATAAGTGGACTCCAGACTCTTTCAAGTTGTCAGACGACCAGATCCAAGATGCCATATCGAAGGTCTCACCTCAGACTATCAAGGATATTAAGGAGGCTCAACAGAATGTGCGGACTTTTGCTCAAGCCCAACGTGAGAGTATTAAGGATATCGAGATCGAAATTCAACCGGGTGTCTTCTTGGGTCACCGGAATAACCCAATCAACACTGCTGGAGCGTAAGTAGTCCAACATTATATGAGGCCTGTCCGGAGGCACATTTGGCTGAGATCCTTGATAGATATATACCGGGTGGGCGGTATCCCCTGCTTGCATCAGCTCATATGACAATTCTCACGGCAAAGGTCGCTGGCGTCAAGCATGTTATTGCATGTACGCCTCCTATCAACGGAGAGATCCCGAATGCAACCGTGGCTGCTGCACACTTCGCCGGAGCCGACGAGATCTTTATTCTTGGGGGCACGCAAGCGGTCGCCGCTATGTCTATTGGCACGGAAACTATAAAGAAGGTCGAATTCCTTGCAGGTCCTGGCAACGCCTTCGTAGCAGAAGCGAAACGCCAGCTATTCGGAGAGATCGGCATCGATCTCCTGGCTGGACCTACGGAGATTCTTATTGTCGCAGACGAGCAGGCAGATCCATTCACGCTGGCGACCGATCTACTGTCGCAGGCCGAGCATGGGCCAGACTCACCTGCGGTTCTTATCACAAACTCCGAGAAGGTAGGGCAGGAGACGCTGAGGTTTATCGAGGAGCAGCTGAAGAGTTTGTCTACCGCGCCGGTGGCGGGCACGTCATGGCGAGATTTTGGCGAGGTGATTGTGGCCGACGACATGGATGAGGCGTACCGTCTTGCGGATGACTTTGCGAGCGAGCATGTCCAGATCCTTACGAAGAATCCTCGAGAAGCGCTTGACAAGATGACGAATTATGGCGCCTTGTTTTTGGGAGAGAAGACCTGTGTGTCATATGGTGACAAGGTAACGCCCAATCTTCGACCCGTAGAAAATTGTTGCTGAACATTGCAGTGTATTGGAACAAATCACGTCTTGCCGACTCGGAAAGCCGGACGGTACACCGGAGGCCTTTGGGTGGGTAAGTACCTCAAAACGCAGACATACCAAGAGGTTGTCTCGGAGAAGGCCAGTGGCGAACTTGGGAGACTTTGTGGGCGATGTTCCAGAGCGGAGAACTTCGAAGGTCATGCCCGGTCCGGAGACTTGCGGAGCTGGAAGTATCTACATGACGGACACGGATGGATTGAAAAGGCGAAAGCCTAATTGTGTCGATACTGTATAGAACTATGAAAATGTGAATTCGGCTTAGTAATTCGACTGCAGACTCTGCAGACTGTAGAATGATGCTTGATTGTAGGCTGAGACTGTGTAGCACACTTCTGCTCGAATGTTCCGCCGTCCTCCGGCTCCAAACATAGGTTCTTGAATGGCCTCGGCGAGCTCGCCGAACTGAATGCATGTGCCGCAATGCAGGACATAAGAATAATTTCCTCTCCGTCGGGACAACTATCTCGTATGTCTAGATCCAACGAGATGCTTTACAGAAATAGCTGGGTGTGAGTGGCTTAGCAATCGTCACATTTCCCTATGGTGAACTATAAATTTCTCGTCGTTCACTGACGTGCTGCCGTCGGCTGCATGATTGCGCCAGCTTCCATACAACAAAGACATCACCATATTTAGAAGAATGAAAATGATATAATGATGGGGAAAAAGAAAAAATTCATGAGCTAATATTTCAATTGATCATAATAATACATGGGCATTAAGATTCAGTGACCTTAACATTCAGGTTAACAGACTACATCAAGCCATCTTCGACCGGTAGAAATGGCTTTCAGACTTATCAAAACTCCGCACTTCGAAACCTATGACCGTATCTCTCCGGCCAAGCTCCGCGAAGAGCTAAAGGGCAAGTCCGTATTAATCACCGGTTCGGGCTACGGAATCGGAGCGGCAATCGCTCGGTCCTTCGCTGAGGCGGGTGTCGACAATATCCACATTTCAGGCCGAACAGAGAAGCCTCTCAAAGACACCGCTGAGGAGCTCGGAAAGGCTTTCCCGAACACTCATGTCGGCTACCATATCGTAGATATAGTATCCACTGACGATGTCAATAGGCTTTTCGAGGAAATCAAAGAGCCTGTAGATATTCTAGTCAACAATGCAGGCATGATGAACTCGGCTATGAATTTCATCGACATGAACATCAAGGCCTGGTGGCGCACTCTGGAAGTCAATGTTTTCGGAACAGCGCAAGTCATTCATACATATCTACGCCAGCGTCGCGATGCAGCCGCCAAAGCCAGCAATCCATTGCCCCAAGCCGTGGTGATTACCGTCAATTCTGGGTCGGCGCTGTACTGGCCGATCCCCAATCAGACGGGCTATGGACCATCAAAGGCTGCACTGGCCCGCCTCACGGAGCTTCTACCACTCGAATTTCCGGCCAGTGACGTACGATTCGTCTCGCTCCATCCTGGCTCCATCGCAACGGGCATGATAGAGAAGCAGGACCCGGTAGCCATCGGGCCCCTGTCAGATATCAAGTTGCCAGCTGACTTTGCGGTCTGGCTGACCAGCCGCGAGGCAGACTTCCTCGCGGGCCGTTTTGCGTGGGCAAATTGGGATGTAGATGAGCTAGTTGGGAAGAAGCAAGAGATCGCAGAAAAGGACTTGTTGAAGACGGACCTGAGGGAGGAAAGATTAGAGCGAGGGTTCGTACCAGGAGAAAGCCAGTTCAAGTGATGTGTTGCTGGAATGGTGTTCAGGGGTAAAAGGGGGCTCTAAGACGGTGGCGATGTAACAAGCCACTTTCTTTGAAATCTATCTTTATTAGTATGATCTAGCTTATTCTGTATTATTTCATCCTTCTCCCTGCCAATATCAACAACAACATTGCTGTGTCATGATATACCTTATAAATCGTCCGAATCTCCTCAATAAAAGGCTTGATTTGGTAAGCATAAGAGCGCGCGGCGCGTTGACGTTATGTGGAGGGTGAAGGATTTCCCGGAAGTGGGGTGGAGAGTGGGGAATTGCTTTGGGGAACAGCCACCAGGATGGTGTTCTCGACAGTGAGTTTCAACATATGTTATTGCAGAATAACGTGCACTATATAGCCTAGAATTCAGTGGGGACAGTGCCATCAGAGGCCATGGGTTAGGGAACGTTAAGGAACAATCGATAGCCATCCTGATGTCATCAAGATTCTTGGGGCTGCATCGTTCCTGCCCCGCCTCGATGAACGTGATTGCCCATCCCACTTACGGGCAGCCAGCCAGAGAATATCACCACCACTCATTCGACATGTTCACAGAATAAATTGTCTGCTGAGATTCAAAATCCAGGTTTCCAAATATAAGATCTTGGAATATCCACAAACAAAACATCACAACCACCACAGATCCGAAGTAAACAAGAGCAACACTCTGACAAGATGGCTATTAAGATCTTCTTGTAAGTCATCCCACTCTTGCATTAGATCTCACCCCGCATCAGGCTGAGCTGACCATCTGCATAGAACGGGTGCAACCGGTAAGCTCCCTCGTCTTGCCTAGGAAAGCTTATCATTTACTCACACGCACTACAGGATACATCGGGGGAGATGCTCTGTATGCCCTAAACAAGGCTCACCCCGAGTATGAGTACACCTTGCTCGTCCGAACTGAAGAGTCAGGGAAGCCCGTCGCCGAGGCATATCCCAAAGCCAAACTTGTCTACGGCACTCTAGACGATTCCGAAGTCATTGAGAAGGCCGCTTCTGAGGCAGACATTGTTGTTCGTACGTAGTCTAATAATGGATTCGAACTGCCAATTGAATTCATAAGCTCATTGGTCTTACAGACACGGCTGATGCTTCTGACAATGTCCCTGCTGCAAAGGCCATTGCTCGAGGCCTCGCCAAAGGCCACGATGCTAACAAACCTGGCTACTGGATTCACATCTGTGGAACAGGTATTCTGCAATGGGTAAGTATCTCCCCTCTAGCTATGATATCTTAGTCACGGGTCTAACAAACCTCAGTACGACGAGACCGAGAAGCGCTATGGTCAAGCGCCGCTTCCGGAGCAGAAGTACGACGATATCAAAGACATTGAGAGGATCATTACACTTCCAGACCAGGCGTATCACCGAGACGTCGACAAGCTAGTGCTGGCCGCCAACGACGCCGGTGGTATCAGGACCACCATCGTGGGCCCACCCACCATCTACGGACCAGGCCGCGGTCCAGTCAACCAGCGTTCTAAGCAGGTGTACCACATGACCAAGTTCCTGATGCAGAATGGCTACGCGCCGGTCGTTCCGCCGGGCGAAGTCGAGTGGGACAACGTGCATATTGACGACCTGAGCGACCTCCTGGTGACCCTTGTAGAGGCGACGCAAGATCCCAAGTTTAAGGATGATCCGGAGATTTTCGGCACCCACGGCTACTTCTTCGCTGAGAATGGTGTGCACAAGTGGAAGGATGTGGCACAATGGATTGCCGACGAGGCTGTCAAGCAAGGCTTCATGGCGGAGGCGAAGATCGAGTATATCCCGTATGAGAAGATTGAAAATTCGTCTTGGGGGACAAATTCGAAGAGCGTAGCCCAGCGCGCCAGGAAGTATTTTGGATGGAATCCCAAGGGAAAGAGCCTGAAGGACTCCATCCCTGAGATCGTTGAGTCGGAGGCCAAGCTCCTGGGGATTGAGCCGCAGAGAAAGGTTTAAAAACCATGCCATACCGCACTGAAATCAGAGTGATACTCCATAGGGAGTTATTAAATGCAAACCAATAGCTATTTTAAGGCATGTATGCTAACCAATCTCTATGCCATGCTTACCCGTGTGCCTATTTTCAACGCCGTTCGTGCCTCTGGTGTTTCTCATATGCTCACTGATCAATACTGATATACAGCTTGATCTCGACCTCATTGCTCCACCCACTGCTCAAATTCAAATCTTTCCATGCCTTTTCAACATTTACCTCTAGAACGTACTTGCTGGCCTTGCTCACCGACACAGTATCGGGCGGAATCGCTTGCCCTTGGATGGTAGCCAAGAATTCATTGTCGATACTCATCTTTGGCAGCGATGAGATGTAAACCCCTAGAACCCCCAGTGCCTTCACCCTCGTGTCCAAAAATACCCTTCCATTCTCGAGTAGAATTGCCTGGTTTGACGTGATTGCTGCAGAACCTGTCATCTTGCCAACCAGGCCGAGATTGGCGATGCTAACCAAGCCCAGCTCTTCACTGTGGAACGGCATGACGGGGTAGGCAGTGAAAACTTCCCATCCTCCGACAGGCAGGGACACGGTGAGTGATGCTGCTGGCGAATCCGGCCGGACGGGCTCTGTCACAGCGCCGGTGGTATGGGCTCGCACGATGTATTGTGCTGAGGGGATGACGCCCGAGAGACGGGATATGGGGATAATCTCGAGCAGTGGGCGGGTTGAGATGTTGAAGACACCGAGAATCGGCGTGCCCGTGACCGCAGCGCCTGGGTCCTTCATTAGCAGAACAATGAATATCGGGATCTCCTAGACAAGACTTACCGTGATAGCTTGCAACCTTAAGCAACGAGTCATCGTGATAGCCCACATACTGGTCGAGACTTCGACCGAGAACACTTGGGCGGAAGATGACTGTCTTGCCACGCGGTGTGATACCCGTCATTTGGTTAATCAGATCGACGTTGTGATGGCCTGGCACGTCCGTGATATAGACTGGCCCGCCGCTGACGCAACGAGCAGCTGCGTGGAAACCGGAGTAGTCGTGCACGGTCTGGAACATGTCCCAGTCGGGCAGGACGTTGAGATGCTGCGTGAACAGGGCGTTGTGAGCATTCGCCCAAATATGCCAGGGGTGTGACTCTGGAATTTCCGGGAAGAAATCATCTGAATTGCGGGAGAGGATGACGGGCTTGTTGCGAGGGAGTTGTGCGTGGAAGAGGTTCTGGGGCGTTTGTGACATGCAAGAGATCGCTTTAATGCTGAAGTGTCGTAGACTTGACAACGTCCACGCATCGAAATATTCTGTCATGAGCTCACGCCGTGTTTTGGCGGATACCCAAGTGTCCGGCATGAACTGAGCATCAGTCTTGACACCATCTACGCCGCAAGATGACAGGAAGCGATAGAAGTCGTCGTAGAATTTGAAGACGTCTTCCTTCGCAACTACTGTCATCTTGCCTCCGAGGGGAAGGTACCGCCGCACAGCATCCTCACGGACAACTTCGACAGTCTTGTATGTCTTAGCAAGCTTGCCATCAGGAGCTAGACCCGCCCAGTAGCCCAGCAGCGCATGCCATACAGCAATGTGCTGAATTTGTGGGTGCTTCTCTCGTATTTGGGATATTGTGTGCTTGAGACCCTTTGGAAACGTCTTTGGTTCCGCCTCGAAATCATTCCAGCCATGTTGGAATTGCCCAGGTCCACGGTAATCGATATTCTGCCAGTTGTCATCGATGATCAGACTGGTAATGCGAATGTTGCTTTTCTCTAGTGTGTCGACAGCCTCGAACACCTTCTCGTCGGTGAGACGTTGCCCAAGAGCATTCCAAGTGCAGAAACCAAGGCCGTCATACCAATTTTCCATCCATTCAGCCTTTACTCCATCTTGGAGAGCCTTCATCTCCGCTTCATACTCCCCAGTCGTCGTCTTATCCGCGACTACGAGATTCCTTGCGTGGTACATCACTGCGGCATTCGCACTTTCGAAATCATGTCCGACGGCAGCGATGACTGTAGCAACACCGAGCTTGTCTTGATCATTTCGGATGTGCAACATGACATGACCGGAGTCACTGCTGCGAAAGAGGGACATTACATCATTGATGCCACTGACGGCGAGGAGAACAAGGTGTTGGCCGGCCGCATTGAGAAAAGAGCAGAGAACGGCATCCTTATCGAGCTCAAATTTGGACTGACCATGCCTGGGAGCAAGCCAGGGCGACCAAATACGGACAAGAGAGAACCATCTGAGGTAACTTCCCCAAGGCACACCGAGCTTGATGTCGGCATAGGCGGAGTTGTCTCCGTCAGCAGCAGGCACTGCTCCTTCAATGACCCACAGTCTTGTATTGGGACATTGACTCATTGCTGGCTTCACTCTTAGGTTGGCGTCCAGATCCGTCAAGATGCTCCCAAAGTCTTCAGAAATGGCTTCGGTGGTTGTTCGACTGTTGATGACGATGGTGCCATCACCCATGCCAAGTTCGTCCCGGATCCATTTCCACGGCTCTTCAGGGCCAGCCCGGAATTTCACGGTGAACGTCAAAGATGATATAACTGGAACTTGAACACCAAAGTACAGACGGATAAGCGAGCTATCGACCACTTGAAGAGAAGATGGCACTTTGTCTGTTGGGGAAAGAAGAGTTTCTGTCCATTCACTGCTATCGTTCTTCGATGAGTGCCACAGCGCTACTTGCCATGGTTCTTTGGAACGACTCTCATCAGTCTCGAGGACCGCAACGAAGTTGACTGCTCCATCCCGAAGCTGGGTAACCTGACCCAGCGGTGGGTACGTCGAAACAGATGCCCCCATGTTGACACCTGCTGGAGCAGGCTTCTGCTTGGGGACGTAATACACGAACTCGAAGTCTTCTTTCTCGGAACTCATAGTGGACGCATACAAATTTGATTTGTCTAAACTTGTTTCAAAACACACAATCTACCCTCTTAGGGCAGAAACAATGAGCTGAGCTACCTACCTTAGGTATCTCACCTCTTTAAGCATGAGTTCCCCTCGTTGTCGGGCCGTTGGTCCGCCTGTAAGAGGATGGGGCATGACCTTCCACGTGATCGCTGAGTTGTCAATCCTCCACCTATCACAGCGCTCCTAATTCTCGGGAAAAATAGGACTAAGCAGAATTGGTGCCTTGCAGTTCAGGCAGATCCCTTGGAGCAGTTTTCGAAGCTTGTAGCCGAGACGTCGAAAGATTTCCTGACAAACCGCTCAATCCATCCATCCTCCCCCATCTCACCCCCAATGGCGTCCCGGAGACTCGCTTTGAACCTCACAAAAGGCCTGCGAGGCCGGACGGCCTTCTCTCCCGCACCCCTGCGGAGGAGCTTCGCGACGCCCGTGTCGGGCCAGGTCAAGACTCAGACCACAACACTCAAGAATGGACTGACCGTGAGCTCCCGTCCCCGAACCCGCGCAACACCAATTGAGCTCGAGCACTTTGATCTGACCGAGATTTCCTCCTCTAGGTCGCTACCCAGTATTCTCCCTATGCGCAGACGTCGACGGTGGGCATGTGGATCGATGCCGGCTCGCGAGCCGAGACCGATGAAACCAATGGCACCGCACATTTCCTCGAGCATCTGGCATTCAAGGTATTTGGCATACGAGGCAAACCTATCGTATATGGCATTAACAAATATGGAAGGGAACAAGCAAGCGAACTCAGCAGCAGCTGGAGCTCGAGATCGAGAACATGGGTGCTCACCTGAACGCCTACACCTCGGTTCGTGATCCTTTTTTTCTCACACCTTGATCAGGGAGCTGACTGTATATCATAGCGCGAGAACACTGTTTACTTCGCCAAGGCACTCAACGAGGATGTTCCCCAGTGCGTCGACATCATCCAAGACATTCTCCAGAACTCCAAGCTCGAGGAGTCTGCCATCGAGCGCGAGCGCGACGTCATTCTCCGGGAGTCCGAGGAGGTTGAGAAGCAGCTTGAGGAGGTTGTCTTCGACCACCTTCATGCCACCGCATACCAGCACCAGCCTCTGGGCCGCACAATCCTTGGCCCCCGCGAGAATATCCGGGATATCACAAGGACCGAGCTTTCCAGCTACATCAAGAACAACTACACTGCAGACCGCATGGTTCTGGTCGGTGCCGGCGGTGTTCCCCATGACAAGCTGGTTGAGCTTGCCGACAAGTACTTCGAGAAGCTCCCCTCCAAGAGTCCCGAGACCAGTGCCTACCTCCTGTCCAAGAAGAAGCCCGACTTCATTGGCTCCGATATCCGGGTACGCGACGACACCATCCCCACTGCCAACATCGCCATTGCCGTTGAGGGTGTCAGCTGGAACGACCCCGACTACTTCACTGCTCTGGTTACACAGGCCATTGTTGGCAACTACGATAAGGCGATGGGCAATGCTCCTCACCAAGGCAGCAAGCTCAGCGGTTTCGTTCACAAGAACCACCTCGCTAACAGCTTCATGAGCTTCTCAACAAGCTACAGCGATACCGGGTAAGTTCAAGTCGCATGTGCGATACACCTGTCTTAATATACTAACAGTGACAAAGTCTCTGGGGCATCTATCTCGTTACCGATAATTTGACTCGCGTCGATGATCTTGTTCACTTCACTCTCCGAGAATGGTCCCGTCTATCACAGAGCGTCAGCGAGGCTGAGGTTGAGCGAGCCAAGGCCCAGCTCAAGGCTTCCATCCTACTGTCTCTCGATGGCACTACCGCTGTCGCCGAGGATATCGGCCGCCAAATCGTCACCACTGGCCGACGGATGAGCCCCGGCGAGATCGAGCGTGTCATTGACGCGATCACCGAGAAGGATGTTATGGAATTTGCCAACAAGAAGCTCTGGGATCAGGACGTTGCTGTGTCGGCCGTTGGCAGCATCGAGGGCTTGTTCGACTACGCGAGAATTAGGAACGATATGAGCCGAAACTTTTAAAAAAGCGGACACCTTTGTGGGGAACTCAGTGTATAATAGCTGCGGACGCCGGCCGAGTGTACTGTAGTGGTTGGTTTGGGGTAGACATAGAGCAATCGACTGGTAATTGCAACCAGTTCTTCCCTCTGTTGAATTAGATGACCTTCAACTTTTTCTCCAGGTACTCGTGAAATCTGACTGATGCTCTTATACACCTGCTTTGGAGCTTCCATCTATACACATCTAGGCAGGGCATTAATTCATCCACTCGAGTATTCACATTGCTGCTACGCTACGAGTATAAATATGTACATTTCGAAGTCAAGAAAGACAAGGACCAGGCTTTTCAGACTCCCACTCTCCTAAGCTCTAGTACTTCGCATTGATGTCTGCAACGTGGTTTGTTACCAGGCAAGTCCAGTCACTGCTGTTGTAATAGATCGTGTTTCCATCGTTAGATGTCTGCCCCGAGCTGAGCGTGGTCCCCAGCTGCCAGAAGAGGTCCGCTGCGATGCCGGGCGTGGCCAATGCAGTGTCCTGCCATGGAGACTCGACTGTACAGTGATCGGAGGTAACACCATCTGTATCTGATTAACTCCCTGACATGACATAATACACACGTTACGATGAACACCATTGATGACTTACATTCTTCGAAGAGACACGGCTTGTTCTGCTTGACGCACTCGGCGCCATGGTTTTGTATCCAGGCATTTCCCCAGTCGTTGGTCGTGCCCCCTTTCGAGAACATGTTAGATTACTTTTGTGTGAAGGCCTGCATAAGACGTGGGAAGAGAATAGAATGACTTACAGCTGGAGGGATACAAGTGGAACGTGCCAAAGTCAAGCGTCGAGATGCCCAGATTCTTCACCCAGTCGACGCCCTCCGAGTAACCATACGGATAACTGCCGTCGCCCGGCATGCCGAAGCCCTCATCGCCCAGCGTCACCATGTGGTTGGCGTCGAGGCTCTTGATGTATGCAGAGACGGACGTCGCCCACGTGTAGATGACGTCGGTGCTACAGCCCTGGCAGCGCGGCTCGTTGGCCAGCTCCCACGCGAACACGGCGCTGCTGCTCTTGTAGCGGCTGACCACGGCCTGGATGTATTTCTTGTACTGCGTCTGCGCTGCCGTGTTGGTGTACCACGTCGTGTGGTTGCCGCCGAAGGCGTTGACGTATGCGTTGATACCGCCGTAGTCGTCCCAGTTGTTGACGAAGTTGATGATCAGCTTGATGCCCGCGCGCTCGGCTGACGAGACCACCTTGTCCAGCCGCTGGAGACCGTCGGCACCCGTGTTGATGGTGCTGCCGGAGGCGGACAGGAGCTGGTAGTACACGGTTCCGGAGGAGGGGACAGAATTAACGTCATTGAAACCCCAGACACGCAGTATCTTCAGTCCTGACTGCGCCAGCTGGTCCATCACCAGGTCAACATCGGCGTCGTTTGTCAGGAAGCCGATCCAGTAGCTGTTGGTGCCAGCATAGTACTTGGTCACTCCATCAATGTTGAACAGCGTGCCGTCTGGCTTGGCGAAGCCAGTGGATACGGGTCCGGAGGTGCTGCTTGTCTTGGACGACGTGCTGCTGGCCTTGGAGGATGTGCTACTAGCCTTGGACGTGCTCGTTGATGTTCGGACAGATGTAGTCAGGGTCGAACGAGACGTCGACGTCGACGATGCCTTGGTACTGCTGGCAACGCAATCGCCAGAGAGACATTGCGAATACCAGTCGTTCTGATACTTGCAGCAGGCTCCAGAGACACATGAAGTCGGGCCAGTCCATCCTATGCCGCCGCATTGTCCGTACAACGATTGCTGGGCCGAGACGGCACCGGCCAAGTAGAGAATGCCGGCGATGGTTGCTTTCATCTTCACATAAGATAGATCCTGTGAGGCTGTTGACAGAATGAGAGAAGAGACCTTACCTGGACTCACCTTATAGCTCAAGCATCATATGAAATTGTATATATATTTCGGACACTGATCTACTTAGATCAAGCATCTGATTTGGATCAGGCATGGCATTGCGACAACCCGTCGTATTCGTGGGTCGAGGGCGGAACGCTGGAAAGCGGACGAGCTTGCTCCTTGACGCCAGCGACTTGACCTCATCAACATGGAAAGTCCATCAATAGCAGGCCATGTTGCACTGCAAGCTCAAATGTCTCCACCTCAAAACCTACGAGCAGCCAGCTCTTTCTAGAAAGGCGCCCGGTGAACCGCTGCGAGCAGCCGTTCTCCGCAGGCCATGCCAGGCACAAAGTTCTGGGTTGGGCGGGCCGAGACTCATCTCCCCTGTATGCTTAATTTGGGGAAGTTGGAGACGACATCGCTGAACCTTGGTACTGGGTTCGGCTTTGGGAGGTTGTGAGTAGCGCTCTAGATTGAACTGTGACAACGTTTCGGCTTTTCAGATACTAGGTGTAATGTTCGTGTCGTTGTAAGTCAGTTGCTATCACCTTGATGAAAATTCAAATTCATCTTTAAAGAGTCCATCATAGAGAGACGAATGATCTGAGATGCACATCAAGGTACAAATTTGTTGAACCGGGTCGGTGGCAAGGCAAAGACAATTCATCTGAGGGAGTCGGAGGAGAGGTTTCCGCCATCCGTAAAGAGCCAAGGGTGCAGGGTTCTTCCCCGGAATCATGATATCACCAAATGACACAACTGAAGGCCTCAAAAAGCACAATCGTGGTGAGAGAGACAAATTCATCCATTTGTTCTGGGCCATACATTAGTCCGTTGCAAGATAGTTTTCATGTGCTCAATCTACATGAATATTCTGTTACTCTCACATTTCTTACTAATTAGCAACGAGATGGAATCTGAGCTCAGCGTCACTTAACAATTCAAGCACCGATTCGAGAATTGGTTGTAAACTTGAAGAGAAATGGGGACTATGAGCTAGTCAGAATCTCACACCTTTGCCGACCTTCATTCCAGAGGGTAAGGTCGTAAGATGATGATTCCAAAGACCACCCACCACGGGCTTGTTTCTCAAAATAAATGGACAGCGGCTGAACCAACCTTGGGTATATTCTCGCTACATCACTGAATCTACATGCACTTGGTAGCCAAAGTGCTGAAAAGCATAAGCAAATCCACACTTCTCATATCTACACTCTCCCAGCTCAAGACTTGTTCTCCACCGACTCAGCGTTCAGACCCCCAGCCGCCAGAGGCTCCACGCCTGTCGATCCGTCCGCGTGGATATACAGTGTCATGACCCTGGGGCCAGGGTAATTCCTAATCGCATGTGCAACCCACCACGCTCCAGTCAGAACGACAACTCCGACCAGGATGACGCTGTTGTAGTTCATAGCGTCGCTTGTAGTAGGGATGGCGAATGCTGGTCGGGCTTGTCAGTCTTCTATATCTTTCGCGACGAAGTAAGAGAGACTTACGGAAACAATAGAAGATATTGAAAAGCGAGATGAGCACAACAGCAGCAATGTTGACTGGTGTGCCGAACTTGCCCAGGTAGAAAGGGCCCCTGGGGAAGTGCCTCCGCTTGGTCAGGACATTTGCCATGAACGGGATGGCGTACGACACGGTCGTCAGGATGATGAAAGATCCTGTGAGATCCAGGAACGCGGTCGAGCTGCCCAGCGGAATGGCTCCGAGCCCGGTCGCAATGATCGCCACGAAGAGGGTCGCGGGGACGGGGCAGCTGAGGCGCTCGTCGACGATGCCGAAGAACTTGGAGAACGGCACGGCGTTGTCGCGGGCAAGCGCCCAGTAGATACGAGAGTTCTATAGTGACGTTAGAATTATCGCCCTTCTGTTCCGATTTGTTTTAACTGTCAAGTTCACTCACAGTCACAACGGTGCCGATGCAGCAGAGCAAGGTCGAGCACCAGATGATGAACAACAGCCCAAACTGTGCGCCGAGGTTCTGAGAACCATCAGATCTAACGGTCGCCTGGGCGTAAATGTTCGCCAGAGGATAAGTGTTGAGCCCGCTCTGCAGCACCTCAAGGTCCGTAATAGCGTAGCAGATCGTGATAGCGAAAAGGAAAGCATATAAGAAGCCCAACCCGATCTGGAGGCCAATTGCCTTGGGCAGGTCTTTTTTCGGGTGTGGCAGCTCTTCTGCCATGTGTGTAATGGCATCAGGAGTTCCTATCGTAAAGGAGCCATTGAGAACACCCAGCATGAAGGCGACACCACCCGAGTATCCCGTGAGGTTGTTCTCGCTGAAGGAGTTCCATACAAAGTGATTACTCGCGTGGTGTTTCGGCATCGCGGCAACGACGATGATGGTCACGATGCCGCCCACAATCACAAAGAACATGCCCGCCGTCTGCGTGTGTGGTATGACCCTGTTGACGAAGATGACCAGGGCGACCGATGCCCATAAGATCAGGAGATAGGCAATGTAGACGTGCCATGCGTGGAATACGTAGGTGTCCTGATGGTACACCAGATACAGATTTACGCTGATATTGGCGCCGATCTGAACCAGCGCTGCCAGGTCAAACATCCATCCGTAGAAGTTGATCCAACCTGTGAAGAATCCGAGTATTCGACCCCATTTGGGACCGCCTGCAATGGTGGCCCAATGATACACACCGCCGGCGGTCGGCACCGAGGATGAGAACTGTGAGCAGGATGGTCAGCCTGTCATCCACCGGAAGCATTGCCAACATTGTTCTCAATCACCTCAGCAAGCCCAAGGCCAATAAACGTGTAATAGAAAACGGCGACGATAAGCCCGAAGATAAGACCAGGGGGTCCACCGTTGGCTGCGTGATGTCACCGACATTAGCCATCGAAACTGGTCTATCTCGTTTCGAGTGTTTGTTCGTCTTACAGAGAGAAAGCGAGATTGAGGACCCCAGTGCAACCCAGGCGTTGTCCACGGTCAATGCAATGCCAGCCAGCCCGAGCAGGCTGTACTGTCGTCTCAGCTGGTCTTTGTACCCAGAGGCATTGACGACGACGCCTTCTTGAACCGCGGCGACAACCTCGTCCTCGGACTGCCCGCCCGCCTCAGGGCTGCCCTTTTCCAGGGCCGGGCCCTTCCGCTCCTCGCTCATGGTGTCGTCGTGGAGGGAATTGGGCTTTGTTCTGCGCCGTCCACGATTCCTTTGCGTAGATTTGCGTAGCTCCGCTCAGCCACTAACACGATCCGTCGCCTGCCAAGCTCCGGCAGTTGGCTTGTAAATCAGGGACGGGAAAGCTTATATCAATGGTCTGGCACAATTCTCAAGGAGCAAGATTGAATGAGCTACGAGAAAGACAACTCGTGGGACAGAGAAAAGAAAGCAGTGAGATCACGAGTCTCGATAACGAAAAAAGTGCGACAGTCCGAGCTCTTATTGCAGAAGCAGAGCTGGGACGAGCTCCCCCTACCTCATCTCGCCGTACCATACTTACATTCGCCTATCTCACCCTTGCGTGTGTGTTATCCAAGGGTTTCGCTGCAGAAACGTAAGGGGAGCTGATAAGCTCACAGCAGCTACAGTACCCAGCTATTTGCAGGCCCTTTCCCGTGTCCGCGATGCCCATCCTACGCCACAACTGCCGTGGAACGACTGGGGGTAGATAGTCGCGCAGCGTATCAGACAGCGCGCTCCAGGCCTGTGGGTAAGACGCCACGCCATGGGGCAGGGGATGCCTCCTTATCATTGAGCGCATGCTGCGATGAACCGTCGATGTCGTGGGTGTGGGGGAGCTCACCTGCATTGCTAAGGCATGGCTCGGGCTATGAGGAATATAAAGTCGTGCAGGTGGGCTAAGAGTGAGAGAGCTGGGGGTCTGGTTGGTTCCCAGCATCAAGCCGTGTAAGGCGTCCTGTGCGAAGCTGGCAATGCTGCCAATGTTGCCTCGAATGGTTTCAAGCTCCAGAGAAAAAAGGCGCCACAGCTTTATCGGAACTGCTGACCCCAAGCCGATGTTTGATAGGCCTTCCAACGGTTATGCAATGTGTTGCTGTAAAAGAAAGACGATCCTGGGAAGCACAGGCACCTCACGTTTCTGTCTACCATGCAAGCCATGCAAGCAATCGCTCTTCAGCTGTGGAGCTTCGGCAGGTCCCTATCGCTGCTCTTGGAAAACGTGCCTTGATCAGCAAGAAACCCCTCCTGCAATGTGACGCCTGTTGCTCCTCGATCGTTTCGGCTGAAAGCAACCGATAATAGATCGATGATGCTCTGATTGATGATATTCCCGGCGCTGGTGCAACGCGAGCGTTCTTCTGTGTGAGTCTAGAGAAAGACCGGTAAGCATCAGTCATCATCAATCCGGCTGAGCTGCCAAGATAGGAATAATATTCCAGGACACCAGGAAGCAATCAATGGCCGATGAGAACTTTTAATCTCGTTAGACAAACGGGAACCATCAGCCATCTCATTGGTGCGATGGGGGCAGCGGCTGAAATATCCTGTCGCTTGTGTGAAATTCTGTGCGCCATATTCGACTTTATCAGCATGAGGTACCTCATGCTGTGTAAGTTAAGTATCACCTATTAATTTCAATGCCCTGGTAGCAGCGTATTTGGTAGCCGCTTTGTGAATGTTGTTTACACAGGCAGACCGTACCGAGAGTTCGGGTCGGTTGCAAAACTGCAAGATGGCGGCCGCACAACCGAGATCTGGATATGCACAGCCAGGGGGTCGTTCCATTGCGGCTCCAGACCTTACTTGGACCTTCCATTCATATTAATGTCTCTCCGTCTACGACTTCTATTCGGCTAGGTCTCGTGTAGCCTTTGTTGAGTAATCAGGTTTAGGATACGATGCTACGACCGAGCATGGTACGCAGTGTTGATCACATCCCCTGTGCTCCTTGTGGTGACTCAGCAACCAGCAGATACGCGATACAAATCGGTCGATGGGCTGTAAATGGTCCCACCGATGAATGGCATGGCTTGTTGAAACAGCCGCCGCATGAGCCCGGTCTATCAAGTCTGTGGTATCCTTACAAAAAGCACAATCCGCCGCCGTCCTTAACCTATTGCGCTCTGGACGCAAATGCACTCTATCACATGGCCGCCAGGATCTGAAGAGACATGCTGTTGTCGATGTCAATGCCGATCATCATCATGCCTTGACCGGGTCATCCTCTTTACCCCATCTCGAGGTCTCATCGCCATCCTTCCAGTCCTTCTCGACATATCCGAGCTGCCGCTTGACATTCTCAACGGTGGCCTTGTCACCCGTGTTCTTGCCAATGTTGTCACTATATCTCGTTAGCTGTCGAACTATCATGGTGTAACATGTTGGATTTAGAGGAGAACTAGACTCACCTGATCTTCACCGCAGGCTTATCGGCAGCTGAGCTGAGTTTGATCACAATATTTAGCGGCACGGATTTCTTGCCCGTTGCCGTATTGACAAAGTCGTTTGTCAGGAAGGTCCCGATACCAAAGGTCGGCTGGAACCCGGCCTCCTCTGAGACCTGCTTGTACTCCAAACAGCGCTCGATGTTGAGCGAGTCGGAGAAGACAATGACCTTCTTCTCCTTGATCCCTTGGCTGTCGTAGAACTTGCGCATTGTCTTGACGAATTCCTTTGGGTCGCCCGAGTCCTGGCGAACACCCGTGAAGACCTGCGCGTACGTCTTGGCGTTCTGCTTTGCCCCTGAGTCGAGGGCGTCTTCCGACGCAGATGTGAATGTGTCCGCGATGGACGGCTTGCGGTCCCTGATGGGGGTCGCAGCTGCGTCAGGAAGGTGCTGTATCGGCTTGCTGAAGGCCTTCAGGAACTCGGGCGTGCCGAAAGTGTCCGTGAGCGCGATTCCGAGGACGCCCTCGCCGAACGCACCGATCCAGTGACGCAGCGCCTCCTCCGTCGCGTTCGGGTAATCGTTCTTGATTGCGGCGATGCCCATGAACCACTCGTGCGCGACCGTGCCGATGGGCGGGATGTTGAACCGCATGGCCAGGTGGACGTTGCTCGTGCCGGAAACCTTGCCCTTGAAGCCCTTCTTCTGGGCGTCCTTGCTCGCCTTGATCAGACCCCTGAACACAAGCGCCTGCGTGTGGTAGTCCCTCCGGCGCCGGCTGCCAAACTCGGAGACAATGCAGCCGCCCTCGAGTAGCGTCATGCCCTTCTCGTATGCCTTCTCCTCCTGCCCCTCGTACGTCCAGTCCTTGTCCATGAACTTGAAGTATGCCTCCGACGTCAGGGCCAGGATGGGGATCTCGTAGAGGATCGTGTCCACCCATGTTCCCTTGATCTGGATGTCAACATCGCCAATGTCGTTGTCTGCGCCGGTGTCCTCTCCGATGGGCAGGAAGTTGACTATGACTTGGTCGCGTGGGCTCAGGCGGAACTCGGACAGGAACTCAAGGTAGGCGGGGTTTAGGTACGGGCAGTGCTCTTTGAGGAATTGAAGCTCCTCAGTAAGGAGGGAGATATTTCCAAGCTCTAGAGAGCAAGTCAGCTGTGAGTGCTTTGAACATGTGCACGCAGTAGGATTTGCGCGCGCGCGTGGGGGGATTGGGTTGCTTACTGGTGATCTGCTCCGCCAACCACCTGTGGGCTGCTCGAGACAGCTTCTTCTCGGGCGTGCGGTTTGTGTAGGCGTATGTGACATGGACGTTTCGGAAGTACTTGAAGACGGCGCATTGCATCGTCAGCTTGTACAAGTCGGTGTCGAGGAAGGAGATGACGCCCTCCGGGTAGGGCGACGAGCTGTTGAAGTCCATTGCAGCGGCTCGGGAAACAGCGCTTCTTCTCGCAAACGGGAGGAGTGAGGGGAAAGCGATCGGACTGAAGAGGAAGAAGCGGATTGCTATAAGCAAAGCGGTTATAAAAGAAAGAAAGAGTGAATGTCGCACCCGAGCTGTCGCAGAAAGCGATCAAAGGATTGGATGACGTGGACAGGAGCTGGGGATGAGATAGTCACGTAGTAGTAGAGGCACTGTAGGTACTAGGTAGGTAGGATAACCACCACCAGCTACCAGTTTAGGCCGTTCTTCACCTTGCTCTCTGTTCACATGCAACTGTTCTCACAATTGCTCAATTGAGAACAAGAACAGAACAGAACAGAGCACAACTTGAAGTAGGTTGGAAGACACGAGGAATTACAAAAACAAAGATATAAATCTTAAAGCCGAAGGTTGAGCCGAGCTACCCTATGAATCAGACAGGTGAGAAGATGTTTCACTCGACTTCCGAAGACGGCCAGAGGCGCAAAGCCACGGCGAGTCAACTGAAGCAAAGACTCAGCGGGTGAGCACAGGATGAGGGGCAGTATCAGGTAATAGGAGGGGCAGTAAAACCACCCAGAAGGGGCTCTAATTGGCTCGGTTCCAGCATTTACAGGGGACCAGCGTGGGGTTCTTCAGATGCGGTAGAGGCCTGGAAGCACGGACCCCACCTTATTTTTCCGAGCCTGCCTGCATAGGCAAAGACTGCTAGCAGCATAACGTTACCGCTTTGGCAGTAAAAAAAGTTTTTGGATTCTGCCGTGTGCATTCAGATAGGCCTCTTTTTATTAGCAGCCAAGCGCATCTTCAAAGCGCTCAGGTTCGAGAGACACCACGCCCGGAAACCTTCCGGAAGTGCTTCTCCTTTCTCTCAGAACCACGCGTCTGTCAATTCACCGACACGCAATCATTTTTTACCAAGAGATCACGGTCTGCGCAAGGAGAAGGCGCCCGTCTCTCGCTCGCAATGGATATCCATCGGTGTCGATTCGTTCCCTACCCGGCGTCGCCCATCAATGCCCTCGCATTCTCCCACCCGTCGCTAAAGAAGAATTCTTGGAGCCAGCCGGTGCGCTTGGCGGTCGGTCGAGCGAATGGCGATATTGAGATCTGGAATCCTCAGAAGGGGGACTGGTTCCAAGAGACCATCATCCGTGGCGCCAGAGACCGGAGCGTTGACAGTCTGGTGTGGGTCACTGAGGAGGATGAGCTGATGGAAGATGGCAAGAAGATCCGCGGCACCTCGAGACTCTTCAGCATCGGCTACTCTAATACGGTCACCGAGTGGGACTTGGAGAAGGGCAAGGCCAAGAGACATGCAAGCGGTCAGCATGGAGATATCTGGTGCTTGGGTGTGCAGCCGCTCCCGCCCAAGGACCAGACCAACGGTGCTGTCTCAGGCCGTCCTGTTAGAAGGCTGGTCGCAGGCACTGTTGATGGCAGCCTTGCTCTGTATTCCATCGAGGAGGACGACCTTCGACTACAAAGAGTCTTGGTGAAGACGCCGTCAAAGAAAGTCAAGATGGTCAGCATTGCGTTCCAATCGCGCCAAGTCGCCATTGTTGGCTGCTCCGATAGCTCCATTCGAGTCTACGACCTACGGAATGGATCTTTGATTCGTAAGATGACTCTGGGATCAGACCTCACGGGCGGCTCGAAGGAGATCATCGTCTGGTCTGTCAAGTGCTTGAAAAATGGCGATATTGTCTCAGGAGACTCGATCGGGCAGATTATTATCTGGGATGGCAAGACATACACTCAAGCGCAGAGAATACAAGGTCACAAGCAAGACGTCCTCAGTCTGGCCGTGAGTACGGATGGCTCATCTATCGTCAGCGGCGGTATGGATCGTAGGACGGTGTTGTACAGACCCATAGCTTCCAACTCCTCGAGATGGGGCAAGGTCTGGCATAGACGATATCATAATCACGATGTCAAGGCCATGGCTTCTTTTGAGAGTAAAGATATGAGTGTTGTTGTCTCCGGAGGTCGGTATACCCATTTCTTTTCTGTTGAAGCTCATGACTAATCTTCTTTCACAGGCCCTGATGCTACACCTGTTGTGACTCCTTTACGGAAATCAGGTCAGGAAAACCACCGAACACTATCTCATCTGCCACAATCCCTTCCATTACAGAGTGCTTCCAGAGCTCGACTCATCGCCAGCTGGTGGGAGCGAGAGGTCCACATCTGGAGCCTACAAAAACCGGTTGGGGATTTACTGGATGCTGCTGATGTCGAGGACGATATGGCCAAGAATCGCAAGCTGTTAGGACGGATTTTGATCAAGGGAGACTCAAACATCAACTCAGCTACGATTAGCAGAGATGGGACATTGCTTTTTGTCTCAACCAACTTAGATGTGAAAGCATTTCACTTGACTTTGGACAACTCAAAATTAAAGGAGGAAATAAGAATACGCAAGATCGATGTGCCATCATCGCTCAGCCAAGGGGGAGGGAGTTCCGTCCTGCTGTCTCCTGATTCCCACTGGCTCGCAATTATTCAAGATGGGACAAGAGTTCTCATTGCAAAGATCATCCGACATGAGGATTCGGAGGAATCACACATCACCCTACACCCTCGGTCTTCAAAGTTGGACCGGCTGAAGCGCAAGATACCCAAAAATATTCTTCTTGGCGGGCTACGAAGTTACGACAGGAGGATTACGCATGTTGCCTTTTCGGCGGACAGTAAGATGCTAGCTACTGCAGATCTGGCCGGCTATATTGATACCTGGGTCCTTCGCGATCCTCACTTGCAGAACGGCAGCATTGCGGAGGTGGAAGATGACGCGTCGTCGTCTTCATCGTCTTCGGATGAAGGGTCAGACGACGAGACGGGCATGGTCGAGGCTGGTCCGCGATGGGTGCGCAACCCGAAAGCACGGCTCATACCGAAACTACCTGCCAGCCCAGTCGTTCTATCGTTTTCTGACGACGTGCCGGGGAAGTCAGGCGATGGTCTGACATCTCGGGATGATTACACTCTACTTGCGATTACAGTTGGCACCCGCCTTCTCCTCTTCCATCCTTTAAGCGGCTCATTGACAGATTGGGCGCGCAAGAACCCCCATTCCTCTTTGCCGGAAGAGGTCCGAAAGATGCTAGACCTGCCCAAGGGCGTGCTATGGCAAGGCTCGAGACTGTGGCTCTACGGAGTCTCGTATGTCTTCATGCTTGACCTTTCGCAAAACCTCTCGCCGGAGGAGTCCACTGCTCTCGTCCCTAGTGATCAGAAAAATGGCACCAAGCGCAAGCGAGGAACTGACTCGGGCGCCGGCGGTAGAATCCGTCAATCTGAGGCATTATATCCCCATCAGCTGCGCAAGGCAGTGATGGATGGGGACAAGAAGGACCAATGGGTGGATATCGAAATGACAGACGCGGAGGAAGATGGAGCCCTGAGCGGTGACCAGGACGAAGAGGAAGAGGAAGAAGACGAAGACGAGACCGAGGGCGGCGAGCTACAGCTGCTGCGTAACGGGCAGCAGGGGGTCGACACAGGCGACAAGTCAAAGGCAGGCCAGAGCAGAAAGTGGTGGCATACGTATAAGTTCCGGCCGATACTTGGCATAGTTCCGCTCGAGAGCAGCCATGTCGAGGAGACCACCAGCGATGGGGCCCACGAGAAAGCAGCCAACGGCGATGTGCCGCCTGCATTAGAAGTTGCCCTTGTGGAGCGGCCGATCTGGGACGTGGACCTGCCGCCACGATACTTTGGGGTGGACGAGTACGAGAGATAGACAGGCAGGACTGAATTCTCACATCTTCTGCTGCACCACGAGCGGTGTGTGCAATTCGGCTTGGTAATAGACTAGGCGAAGAAGCTTACGACGATGCCAGTGGCAATACGGGCCGTGTCTCTCTTACCTTTGTGCGAGAAAGTGACTGACTGACTACCTACCCCCCTGATGCTTACGATTACTCAGTTATCTGTTCCTATATTGGCAGCTGACTGTATGAGATTTCCAGATGAACGTTTGCGGAGACCCATGTGCAGGTGAAAATCTCTTCCTACGGCCCAACGCGCTCTGCATGAGGTACGTGAGCATTCTGTGGTGCATCGTGGACTGCTCCACTGAGATTGTCTCTCGAGCCCCATGTGCTGCAGAACCTTATTGACAGGAGCCTGGCCGGCCGTTCCACGATTTGCCTTGGTCTCTTCGATGGTTCTTCATGAGCTCAAGGCAGGTACATCTAACATACTCGACGGCAATGAAAGGGAGTCTTGGCAATATCAATGTTCTATTGTGTTGCGCCGAGAGCCATCGGAGGTTCCGTGTCTTTTAAGACGCGGCTGACATACGTATGGCCATGTCACATGAGCGAAGGCAACTCTTTTGCACTCATCCACGCTTGTGTAAGCACTTGCTTTGCGACTTCCGGATCGTCCACCAGCGGCGGAGAGGCTGGGGCGGCAAGGTCCGCAGCGAAATGACGCCGGCGTGCAGACTACGCAAGCAGGCCAGTCTAATATGGAAGATGAGTATGGACCCCTACGCTGTTACGCACGAAGCTAGACCATCCCCGGGGGACAGACAACGTGACTTGGACCACTACAGACCACCTACCTGCGACTGGAGAGACTGAACTATTTCCCCCCCTTCGTCTCTCTCCATAGTTAGGATCTGCACATATGCGCCCGAAGGAGTGGGCCGACCGGGCAGATGCTTGGCCCGCTGACATGGGGAGGAGACGCGCGTCAGGAGCGAAGCTGTCCCAATTGTACGCGAGGGTTGGTAATTGCGGCAAGCACCAGGCGGCGGTCAAGCTGCAGTGGGGGGCGTGTGCCTGTGCTGTGGTTCGTCTGGCTCTGTTTGGGTCACGATGCGGTGTGTGTCTTTTGCTCGTTGGATCTCCGCCTGTCTTCAAGCCGGTTGGTGTTGGAGGTGGAGCTGTGGTGTTTGTCTCGACTTGAGTGTCACATGCCCTAGAGACATTCTCGCTCTCGGACGGCTTGCTGGCGTGTCAGTGAGTAGTGACGGCACGCTGTTCGAGAAGAACATTCTCTGGTTAGGTTTAGTTAGTGCGAACGGCCTTGGGTATGCTTAAGTTTGTCGATCGAGCCGGCTGTCGACTATGACGAACCACCAGATACCAGTAGACGATGAACCAGGAATCAGCTTCAAGCATCCGAACCACATGTTGACATACTTATATACTAAGTTAAAGCGAGCCATACAGCAGTCTTGATCGGTAGTCGGCAGCCTGGCCATTGCGTTTGGCAATTCATGCACTCGAAGAAGGTGGTAAATGTACCCGAGAATAGGAGGAAGTCTACGTGTAAATGGGTAGGTGGTTCGGCCTATGCCGGTCGGAAGAATGAGATTTGCGCAACCTTAAAGTGCACGATGCTTGAACATGCAATATCATGCGCCTGTTCGTCCCATATGTTTACAACATCAGGGTTGTTTCTTTACACCGAAACATGTACTCAACCTGCCCCTATTTCCCGGGAACATGTCGAGTTGTTGATTGTTCTCTCAGGGATCCAGGGGTAATACACCTCATAGAAGATCAAGAGCTAGGTTAAATCTAATAACTACGAGATGATGCGTCCAAGTAAGACATCTTGTAGTTAACATTCTCAATACCCTGCTGCTTGTGCCAAGTCCCAGTACCGAGCCGGCGGGTGTTAGTAATAAGGAGGAGGTTCACGTCCTTTTTTGATAGTATGGTGCAGATGCCAAGCCTCGTAGTAGGGAAGGAGATGCGAAGTGCAGCTTGGTTGTGGGGTGGCCAATTGGCTGGAAACGCGCAAGCCATATTGAAGGGCCAAGCAGGCCGCGCAATCCTCTTGTGACATCAAACACTAGAGCCACACCCCCCTTGTGCGGATCTAGACCCAGTGCGCTCTTGTCTTTTCAACCCAAGACTCGTCCATCAAAGCAGCTTCAATTCAATGTGCACTGATATTTGGAATTGAGATTCAAGCTTTGTGCTGTGGGTCGTTCTGTTTTATACATGTCAGGTTGATGGCAGTGCGTGATGGTGAAAGATTCCGAGCTACGAAGACTGGATGTCAGTATCGCGAAACTTGGGGAGCTACTCTAGGACTCATTTGATTTGCTGACTTTTTACGTGTATTTCACTCGTCATCTGCTGCGTTTGCTGATGGCCGAGAGGCTTTATTAGTGATAACCACTACTTGGTGCATTTCATGTCTACGATAGTCTTACAGTGAAGCTAGCTGCTGGAGAAGACGCCCGCATTAGCTGTCTTAGTGAGAGCAGACAAACCACAAATTTGGCCTTGTCGCCTATTGTTGAACGACAACTTCGGGGTGTGGGGGATGCTAAATCAAAGCAATTTCCTGAGCAATAGCTCTGTCGGTTGATAAGTGCCGTAGTTGTCTCGGAGAGTGGGTTGAAAAACACAAGGTATTTAAGCATCGTGGACCTGAAGCAAATGAGCCTCCGGTTCGGTGGTGAGCCGAATGGAGTCGGTCGTCATCGTACAGTGTTTGAGATTTCCGGAAACCGATCAGCTGTAACGTTGGCCCTGGAGAAGGGAGAGAGGGGAACGAGGCTGAGTCGAGGGCACGCGGTGATGGTTGCGACCCCTGTCTTTTTGCCTGATGTGCCTGATAGTCGTTTCGGAGCACAAGCCAATTGGAGGAGCCTCGATGGAGAGCGGAAGAGACTTGAGTCGCGGCACTGGATTAAGGGTCCTTACGGTAGCCTCCGCATGCCGTCGCTCGTGACGTGAAGTAATTGAAGCCTGTATCCACGGATGGGAGAAGGCGACGACGGCTAACCGGCGGTTGAGGCAGAAGGATTGACTGGCAAGTTAGATCGGGTCTTAGTGTAGAAGGCCTCTTTGATATGGGCGCAGCAATGAGGCTGCATCGCCAAACTGCACGTCAACGAGATCTGCTTGGAGGGGATCAGCCACAGCGAGCAAAAGGCACAGTCCACGCAGTGAGTCTCACTGCGCGCGCCGGGCTAACAGCCACGCCTCGTCATCGCCGAATTCGATGGAGATTTTTAACCTCCGTAGCCCATCGGCACCCTGGACGGGACCAGGGGTCCTTCGCTCTGCCTCCACATACTGTACTGGTTAGTCCCGGTATTCTTGGCGGAGCTTCGTACGTACACCTCTTGGTAGAGCATGTACATTCTAGATCTGACCCTCATCACATAAGTCATTCGAATCTGAATCAAAGTTCTATGGAAGTGGCCAGTGGCAGAAGGAGGTGAGAAGGAACAGTGAGGAGGATGATTGATAGTCCATCAAGCAGTGCTGTATAGACATTGGATTGATGTTGAGTGAGAATAAAATCTCTCCATCTAACCATCGCCTTCTCAATTGTCAGCATGGAGAAGTGGAAGGTGCGAGGCAGGTACATGAGGTACTTTCTGCCGCCCCAGTCTGCCCAGTGTGTCCCTCCTTGTTGGTCCATTTTTGGGAGGAGCGCCCCACCCGAGAACTTGTGTCCTGACATGTCAGGCGCTCACAATCCAGCATGAGCCCTGATTGGTCGATTATTTCGAGCGACGCGCGGCCACAGACAGTGCTTCGCTTCGGCGCTCACTCCCCTGCTGCCCTAGGTGCACCCCCAGGCCAGGCCGAGCCTCCCTCTCCTCACCCGCCCAGCGTAAGTGCGGTGCAGTGCCCGCAGATTACGTGCGCTCTTCTCTGTGCTGCTTGCGAAAAGAGGGGAGACCGGGAGGGCGTGTCTCCAGGCTGCCCCAGTTACCTAGGAGCGCCCAGTATCCATCACTTACGACGGCTCGAGTACCGAGCCAGCCCACCTCCCGCGCAAATTCGCCTTCCTGGGGCCTCGCGAGTGACTTCCGCCTACTCGCTCGCTCCGTCGCTCGTGGTTTGATTGTCCTCGACTCGCTCTGTTCCTTCCCCCATTTGGTGCCCATTAGGTGGACGTCCACGCAATTCCAGGCAAATCCCAGGCGTCGCTCTTTCCCAGGTCGACTGTCGACGCAACGCAACCCAACCCACGCATCGCTCCTGCCCGTTGTACGTACACCCGCACCTGGCACCTGCACTTACACACACCCCCGACCACGTCGCCCTCGCCATCCGGTGCCTACGCCTACTCTAGTCTACGACCATCTACCACCAAACACCAACACCACTACCATCCTCTACTCTCCTACCTATCTTACGAATACGCTCTTTCGCTCTTCTTTCCCAGAGCGGCTTGCTCCTTCCATCATCCGAATCTACGTGCTTGCTGCTATTGCTGCTACTTTCGTCGCCGTCGGGACCCGCCTGGCCCCTGCCTGAGGTGACTGAAACTCGACGACCCTACATCGCACTTTCCCGTCTTTATCCCCTGCTCGCCCTCCACATCTACTGCCGCTTATTCCATCCCTCCTCCCATTCCGCATTCTTGCCTGCGTCGTCCACCCGACAACTCTTTCCCACTACATCGCAACCTCTTCAACTGCATCCGCTCTTTAAGACGGTAGCCATCGTGGCTTCACCATTGGGAGTTGAGTGAGCGAGGCGCCTAGAGTCTTTCGACCAAGGCCAGCAACAGGAGACGGCGATCGCGAAAGCAGACTTCGATCGACACCGACGCCGACAGTGACTGCCAGCAGATCTGGAGTCATCATATTTGATTAGACACGGGCAGCGACTCGACTAAAACGAGAACGACACACCAGACAATTGAGACGCCTGGATAAACTTACGCAACCCAGCTGGTGGCGATTACGACTCTCGTCATCTCAACGCTGACGACGCACCACCCGAAACCATTCTACGATTTATTAGTAACCAGTAGTCACCATTCATAACTGCGAAGGTGTCAGAGAGAGTCCTGTCGGAGACATCACCAACTTCGACGCTCTCCGCATTCAGCTTTTCCTCGGTTACGACGACACAATGGACTCGGATCGAGGCAGCGTGCCGCCTGGCGACTCTGAATATGGAGAGGAGTGGGCTCAGGATCTGCGGATACGCTTCGAACAGCTGCTAAGGACCAAGAGACTGAATGAATTGACCGAGATCTCGCGATCGAGGCAGGGCTCGCCATCACCCCGCGAACGAGCCTCTTCTAACGACCTCCGCGCCCCATCATCGCCAGGTCTAGGGCGACCATCGACATCACACGGTGGACCCTCCGGTGCGACACCCCCATCATACTCATCACTGCGCAACCTGCCTAAGATCCCTACACCACCCGCAGCGAATGATCGCGAGTCACAAAAATTCCGAAACCTACTCATCACTTTATCAACGACCCCGACAAAGTACGAAAACCCAGGCTTGCTTGACGAGGCTCTACAAGTCATTCCCTTGGATAGAATTTACGGCGAGGCCGAGGAAGAGAGTCAGGTGTTGCAAGCACAGGCTGAGAGCATGGGCGACGGCCGCAAACCTGAGTGGGGCTATCAGGATTGTGTCGTCAGAGCTCTATTGAGGTATGTCCAAATCCATTTAATCTTACTGTATAGTATTGAGAAGCATACGCTGATGGATTGATTCGTAGATGGTTCAAGCGCTCCTTCTTCACGTGGGTCAACAATCCTCCGTGTCCCGTATGCATGTCACCTACAATCGCCCAAGGCAAGACATCGCCTACCCCAGAAGAGAACGCATGCGGTGCCCTCCTGGTCGAGCTTTACCGATGCTCGAATGCTGGCTGCGGCGCCTTCGAGCGCTTTCCGCGGTACAGCGATGTTTGGCGGTTGTTGCAAACACGAAGAGGACGATGCGGTGAATGGGCAAATTGCTTCAGCATGCTTTGCAGGGCTGTCGGCGGTCGTGTACGCTGGGTTTGGAACGCCGAGGATCATGTATGGACCGAAGTCTACTCCGAACACCAGAAGCGATGGATCCACGTCGACGTATGTGAAGAAGCCTGGGATAACCCTAGGCTCTACACAGAAGGCTGGGGCAAGAAGATGTCGTACTGTGTCGCGTTTTCAATCGATGGCGCCACTGATGTTACTCGACGCTATGTGCGAAAGAGTGAGCACTCTCTGGAGAGAAGCAAATGCCCAGAGGAGGTCATGCTTTACATCATGCAAGAGATCAAGAACATCCGCCGTTCCAATATGGGCAAGGAGGAGCGCTTCCGACTAGAGAAGGAAGATTCTCGGGAGGACCGTGAACTCCGAAGCTACGTAGTGGCATCCATTGCACAAGCTGTCACTGAGCTTGTCCCTGGCGCCAGCGAAAGCGGACCGAGCACTTATCGCGGTGCGCGCAGCCCTGTCCGCGGACCGACATCGTCGTCCGAAGATACCAAGTTGCCTGCTGAGCAACCTGGACGCCAGAGTGGTAATGCGGATTGGGTTGCTGCACGCGGCGAGAACGGCCGGAGACAACAGCAGCAATATCCCCCGCCCCAGGATCCTTCACAACGACGAGGCTTCCCATAAGCCAGCATATCGATACAGATCGCATGATCTACATACACCCAATACTAGGGTATTCACGCTACAAGCTTGGATATAGAGACCCGCCGATCAGCCTACGATACCCACATATACATCTCGCGCGAAACATTCGCTACCGACTATTTCAGCCAAACGACGGCTTATAATTCCCTTGGTGTCTAATTCATACTCCTATTTCTCACCGACTGTCTCTTTGCACTGCATAGACACGGCGTTTTACAACCTTCGCACTATATATCCTCTTCATCACCATTTTCCGCTACCTCCAACTCGGAATTGCGGTGTGTATCTAAATACCGACATATGGCCACCACCACATTCTCATTTGTTTACTTCATATCTGTTTTGGGTCATCGGTGTCATGGATTTTTGGAGTTGATCTAAACATGATCTTTGGGAGCAAAGGCATTGGATAATGGATCCATGCCATGGCGTTTTGGCGATTTGCATGAGCATGCGACTAGGAGAGACATATGGGACATGTACACGAGGTGATGGATCCAGAATATGGAATGACCTCGAGGCACGACATGTATGATACCTGGGAAAAGGTCAAAGTTCTCCCCATAGGGGGACGAAAATAGACGAGACGTATTGTGCATCCAACCCCTTGACTTTCTTGATTGCCCTAAGCATGATTCACCAAATCCGCATCTAGATCTCCAGCGGGGGAGAGGACCAGCCAAGGACGAGTGGCTCCTATCCAAGAACGAATCCTTGCAGTGCCAAGACAATTTGGTTCGGGTATCGCGATGCCAAGTCGATGAGCCGGCACAGCTACCTGCGCCAGCATGAGGCTGGAATCACAGCCATATCGGGTAAGGTGAAAACAAACCATCGCGTACAGATTTTTGGGCTATCACGTCGACGATAACTATGTCAATTTGACGATTGCAGGCAAAATTACTAAAAGTTGCATCCCATCGAATTTAACACCCTGATAACCCCATGTTCCCTGCCAATGCAGCAGCGCATTGCAAGGTTCCATTTCCCGGAATCTTTTAACCGGCGTGGGCGTTAAAGAGGCCCAGCGTAGCATTCGCAGCATGTCTTGAGCTTGTGGCAACGAGCGCAGTACTCGTCGGCGGACTGACCACGCTCCATTGAGATTCAAGGTAAGCTGTTGTAATAAGTTTGTTGAAGTTTGCGGTTATGTTGTCACTGTAGGCCAAGTTCGATAGTTCTTCCTTTAGGCGCTGGGAAAGAATGGCCTTACTAAGAAACAGAGCCTCGATTTGATCTTAGTGACAGATCTGACACCTTTAAATACTTCCTGAGAGAAGCAGGAGATCATAATATGGCACGTTGACGATAAGATTTATCATGACACAGGTGATGCTTGAGCAGGACGACTCATTGAGTGTCATACGCATGCAGTGTGACGAGACATCACACGGATCTGCGAATTGCAGCATGCATGTGGACCACGAGCGTATTTGATCAGTAGATAACCACATATTATGATGCTGAACAACCGCTTTTTCATCTCATACAATGAGCTCTTATACATAGACTGACCTATAATGCATGCCCTACGTAGCTGGACATGTTGCTCACGCGGAAGCATGCATCTTCCGTAATTGACCGAAGACAAGAGCTGCAATCTAGGCTCTATTGTAGTACACCATCCTCTACAAGCATACTCTATGGGCTTCTACAAGCTCGTCGCAGCATCGCAGAAGCAGTACACCAGCGACCTCCTGGGTTCGTATAGGGCTGTCTCAAGAGACATTGGGACACCTAAATAGTACTCGAAATGAGTTTTCGGCTTGTTGTGATTGGACAGGGATGCGCCGGCAGCATGATCTCACGGTATCTTGCCCTCAAGTGGTATTGCTCAAACGGTATTTGCGTGAAAAACATGTCGCTGTGAATCATTCTAGAGGGTATTTACTCATAAGAACCATGTGTCCTGAAATGGTGGCATCGATGACCCTAGTCCTTGTAGGACATGACAACGAGCCTATGATATGATCATAAGTGTCGAGCATTCCCCCGTTATTGCTAATATAACACAGCAAGACTATCCTCATATAGTGGACAAAACACTCAGTGTTATAGACTCATTATTCACGTCCAGAGACGCTCGGCTCATTGCTCGCTTTCCTGAAACTCAGAGTTATTAACCAATGAAACCAGGCGTCTGGATCGTATATGTCAGAAATAACAGCTTGATACTATCGTATCATTTCTGTGAGGGCCAAATAGGCAAGACAGAGCTCATCGGATGGATGGGGCATGAACCACAGGATTCGCTGCTTTATAGCAAATGCCAGTAATGATATGACGTTGTCGATCTATTGTTTGCTTACATATATGGTTCCATGAAGGAAAATATGTTATGACATGCCGCTGAACGCTTGGGGGGTTCTCTATTGAGAATGGTTACAAAAAGCAATGAAATATCAGCCCTACATATGCTCGAAGGCGGCATGGAGACGAGACATCCCCATGATGATTGGCAGGGAAAACGAAATGTTGCAGGTATGTGAACTGAGTGAAACCTCTTGAACTGCGACTTATACTGCGTGGCGTCGGGAAAGTGGCTGCGATCACGAGCTCAATCTCTCCCACAGCACTGAAAGCTGACCTACCTATTTGATAACGAACAAAAGAGTCTTTCCTTGGCACCAGCCACTCTTCGGTCTAGCCTTAGCTGTGTATCGAGGGGTGCTTCACCGGTGGGTTTCTTTGGCTCTTATAGGGCTGAGAATGCAAAACTTGACGTATCAGGTGTGAAAGCGTGCCGTTCACTAATTGCCATTGGTGAATACAGGCAGCATCGCGACGAGCTGAAAGTGCGGGCGAGATGTCTTGTCGTCTTGGCATCTTGGCAGCTCGGCGAAGTCCTGTTGTGCTACCTCCCTCACCGAGAATGGGATTCGTATCTGGGAGAAGGAAAATGATAGGGTTCTCAAGAGGCATACACGAGGTATAAGAAAGGGGAATGCCCCCGAAGAGGCATTGGAGCTCGAAACGTGTGAAGTGTGGCCATTTCTGAAGGATAAAGCCTTACATTGCTCTAAGAGCTAAACTTGAGATAGAACCTCTAAATTCATTTTGCTTTGACGGATACAGATCTCAACTCAAGCTGTCATCATGTCTCATCACGATTGTTCATCCGGCCCATGCCTTTGCCCACCTAGCCCAGCAGTTATGGCTGCTCGAGCAGCGGCTGCCGCTTCAAACAGCTCTGCACCAAGTCTGGCCGCAGCTCGGCCCTCAGCCCGACCGCTTGGGGTGGTCACGAGCAAGATTCCTGGCCTTAATGATGGTATCACTCGCCCGGAGTCAAAGTTTGAACCAGGTCAACGTGCCCTGTCTGCGATGAGGAAGGTCTCGCTGGAACGTCCTGCCCCTGTTGATAGTGACGGTATACAGCATGTCCGGTGAGCCCAGTTATAACGCCATATATCTTGTGGTTTTATTGTGACGGCGAGGATTGTACTGATACTCCTCATAGCCTTCTCATTATTCTTGTAGAGTTTGAAGACCAGAAAATCGGGACTGGCAAGCATGAATACTTCAAGGATCTATTCTTCTCGGAGAACAAGATCGAGTCCGGTAGTGCTGCTGAGTACTACAAAGACGTCAGCAATGGCAAGGTCCAAATGTCAGGCGATGTTGTTGGGCCATATAAACTTCCCCGATCGCTTGTAGAGTATTGCAACGGTGACTCTGGAGCAGTCGAAGAGGAGCCTAACGCGCAGACCATGGCACGAGACGCTCTCGAGGCGATCATGACCGATCCGGTCAATCCAATCAATATCTCACAGTATGACAGCGGAGACGAGGACAGGTTTGTTGATGGCCTTGTCATCGTGCACGCTGGATCTGGCGCGGAAGCCGAACCGGACGACCGAAAGGCAAAAAATCTGATCTGGTCCCTTCAGTGGAACATTGGAACGCCTGTTGTGCAAGACGGCGTTAGCGCCTTTGCGTTTCTCACCATTCCCGAAGATGCACTGCTCGGCGTGACTGTTCACGAGCTGGGACACCTCCTGTTCCACTGGCCTGATCTGTACGATCCTGACAACTCATCCAATGGTATTGGTGACTGGTGTCTAATGGCTGCTGGGTCTTGGAATGCCCTGCCTGGAAAGCCAGCTGGCACCAAACCAGCGCACCCATCTGGCTGGTGCAAACTCAAGCAGGGTTGGGTCGAAGCAGTCAATGTAGCAGAGAATCAGTCCCTTACGCTCGAGGATGTCAAAGCGAGTTGGCAGGTGCACAGGCTTTGGGAAAACGGAGACCTTAGAAACAAGGAGTACTTCCTTCTTGAGAACCGTCAGAAGACTGGTTACGACACGGCACTTCCTGGAGATGGCTTATTTGGTATGAAAAGCATCCCATTGTTCCCTTCGTTGCTTGAGAACTAATTTATTATCCAGTTTGGCATATTGTTGACAATGTACAAGACCAGACCAATGAGCTCCACTATTTAGTTGGCCTCATGCAGGCAGATGGCAAGAAGAATCTGGAGGGGAGCCCTGGAAGCTCTCGAGCAAACCAAGGAGACTCCGGAGATCCATTTCCTGGTTCCAAGAACGTGACCACGTTCAACTCGCATACAAATCCGAGTAGCAAATCGTATGCCGGGCGGGACACCAATGTCACAATTACTAAGATTTCACCGTCAGGTCCCTCGATGACTATGGATGTTAAGGTCAAAACAATATAGTATAATATCTATTATAAATTGTTTACTACCTATTAGTCTTTGCATTGCACAGTGATTACCTACATTGTAAGCAATGTAATTACTGACCCATTCGCGGATATCAATACTCAACACGATCACAAGAGATTTGATGTGTTCATGCCCCTATGCTAAATCACTCAGAAGGCGTGGTTCATTCCCACTTTGAGGTTGAATAGCCAGTCATTAGATTAGAAACTGTACGAACGAAATTGCGGGCTTAGTCGGTCTCCAAAGCGCACCATAGATTAGAGCCGAGAACTGACGGCAGCACTAACTGATTGGCGAGTGCTATGGGCTTAGTGGTGTTAGTGGTAGAAAAAGGATTCTCCAATGATCGGTAAACTTGGTTGCGACATTCTCTCCGCAGAATCCGTCTTCGGATGCTGCAATGTCCATTCCGATGGATTTCCGGGCCGATGTTAAAAGATGCTGTCCGCCGATTTGGCTTTGACGTTCACGGAGGACCTGCCGAACAAAACTGTAAACTCATTCTTAAAAGATAATTGATTGCATCTCTAGTAAAGGGCAGTGGGAAAAGAATTTGAGAATATCTCAAGATGGATCTGTCAAAGCTCTTCACACCATTGGCAATCGCCAATGGTCGTATTATTCTCGCCCACCGCGTTGTTATGGCTCCTATGACCCGTAACCGTGGCATTCCTCTCGAGTCAAATTCAGAACATCCAAACCGCATCTGGCTGCCTGATGATGTAGTTGCTCAGTACTACGAACAGCGTGCATCTGCTGGAGGTCTTATAATCACGGAGGGCATTCCACCTTCCCTAGAAGCTAGCGGAATGCCTGGTGTTCCTGGTCTCTTCCACGGCTCGCAAATCGAGGCTTGGAAGCTAGTTGTGGACCGCGTGCACGCAAAAGGGGGGTTCATCTATGCACAATTGTGGCATGCAGGCCGGGCAACAATTCCTCAGATGACAGGATGCGAAGTCGTGAGTGCAAGCGCTACTCCCTGGGAGACGGATGAGAAATTTCCATTCAGAACAGCGGACACAAAAGAGAAGATTGCGTACCGCGACTTCCCACCTGTTGCTATGACGGAATCGCATATTTCGAAAACAACTAATGATTTTGTCAAAGCTGCTGAAGCGGCAATGAGGATAGGGTTTGATGGTATTGAGATCAATGGAGGCAACGGTAATCGTGAGCTCATGGTCCTCCAAATCCAAAGCCTCATCATCCAGCTAACCAGATATAGTTTTGGATCAGTTTTTACATTCAAACATAAACACTCGCAACGACTCTTATGGCGGCTCGCCGGAAGCTCGGTGTAAATTCCCACTAGATCTGGTAGCCGCAATTACAGCCGCTATTGGACCTTCAAATGTTGCCATTCGACTAGAACCTGCATGTTTATATAATGGCACTCGAGGTGGTGAGCGTGTGGAGACATGGACATATCTCTGTCAACAACTGGCTTCGAAATATCAAGGCTACAGGAAGCTGTCATACGTTCACTTTATTGAGCCGAGGTTCGATAGAATCAATGCGGAACTCGAAAGCTTCAATAAGACGTGGAATTTGCCAAGTGTGTCTAACGAATCATTCCGAGCGATTATCCAGGCAAGCGCAACACCATGTTTGAGCTGCGGCGGATGGGAATCCGATAACATGACTAGTGCAATTAACAGCAAATGGGATGCTGTAGTTTTCGCTAAGTGGTTTGTGAGCAACCCTGACCTCCCGGAAAGACTACGGCTAGGCAAGCTTTTACAGGCATATGATCGGAGTCGGTTCTATGGAAGTTGGGACGGAGTTAGAGAAAGAGGTTATGTAGATTATCCGACATGGCAAGAAGAAGCTGCAGAGAACACAACCAGTCAGGTCAAGGGATGAGGTAGTGGCAAAGGTGAGCAAGGCTGTCGGTCCAGCATAGATTCCCATTAGCATGAGATACTCAGAAACGAGCATGTTCCAATAAGCATACACCAAAAATAAATCACCTGAGATATGTGTAACGCTCCAGACAAGTGTGGGGATTGTTTCTCACAAAGACAATGGCCTTGTTTGAGACCCATCAAAAGATTTGCCAAACCTCGTTTCCAAACTGCCTGGAAACATATTGGAATAAATGATCTCAAGAGCTATATACCATATCAAGTGTTCTCGAGACGTACATTTTTCAGTTGGTCGAGTAGTTGTATGATTACGTTCTCACGAACATGAATGCTTTGAAGAGCAAGGTCGGGGACGATAACAAGCGACACACTACCAAGCTGTCAAATTGGCCCCTATAACCGGAATTATTTTTAGGAGATGACTACTCCTTGATAAAATCGCGTGCTTGGGTGAACATTGTTTCAAGCAAGGCGATGAGAAGTAGCCGCGAAGTGCTCGAGTTTGAAAGCACGGGTGCCCTATCAATGAGCTCCGGCACTCTCCATGAAGATGCTACGAAATAATGTGATTGACCTCCTTGAAGGCTGTCCAGTATTTGCCGAGCTATCATATCATAAATTTCAATAAATCAAACGTAAGTGGAGAAAATTGCTGCTATTTTGGGCAATTTACTTTCTGCTTGTCTACTTTCAAGCAGTTCTCCAGGCCAACAGCACCCAGTCGGGCATTTGGTTGCTCCCTACTGTCCTTGTGGAAGTGCCCGTCAGCGTCATAGGGGGCGTTATCGTCATCAAGACTGGACGCTACAAGCCTTGGAACTTTCTGGCATTCGCCCTCTTGCTCTTCGGGTTTGGCATGTTTGCGCACTTCGACCGGGATACCTTGACAGTGGAATGGGTCATCGTACAGACGATCCCCGCTGTGGGAGTAAGTTTGCTGATGTCAACGCTGATGTCAACAGCTCTCCTTGCCGTCCAAGTTGATCTGCCTGAACAGGATGTCGCTGCTGCGACAGCTGCATTCGCCTTCATGCGCGCATACGGTTCTATCTGGGGTGTTGCAATTCCTTCTGCCAGTTTCAACAGTCGATTCGCTGCCGAAGCGTATCGGATCACAGATGAAAGGACTCGACAGCAGCTGAATAGTGGCCGCGCATATAGGTTCGTCACTGCAAGCATATTAGGCAGCCTTGATAGCCAGTCACGCAATCAAGTTGTTGGCGTCTTTACTCAGACTCTCAAGACAATATGGCTTGTCAGCATAGCATTTTCAGGTGCAGCATTATTGCTTGTTTTCGTCGAGAAGGAAGTTGTTCTTCGCACGGACCTCCAAACAGAGTACGGCTTGAAGATCCCACCAAAGGGGGGAACATCCAGGAGAAGGCAAATGGCGAGACCGGTGGTGTTATTACTGGGCAAACAGGCTCAATATTGAAGACCGAAGCCGGGCCAGGTGCCTGACCAAATGATAGTCCCACCTTCCAATTTAAATGCACTGACGAGGCTCGACAAGAACATTGACTGTTCAGACCTATAGGACAGCTGTACATTTAATCTCAACATCTGTATTACCCGGTAAAGTCTTTACTGCTACACATCTGTGTATCATGGTCAGCATAGACGAGATAAAGCACATGTTGGCTTAAGCTACTTACGTTCGTGCTGGCATTGGTTCGCCCCAGTACTCCCCATAAACTTCATTGACTTTCGCAAAGTCATCCATATCTGCAAGAAACACTTTTGAAGTCATAAGCACGTTTTCTAGAGTGTTTATGTAACTCATAAATTTTGATTACTCACCGTTGACCTCAACGACCTTGTCGAAGCTGGAGCCCGCAGCTTCAAGAACTGCACCGAGGTTTTCAATGCATTGACGCTACAAGAATTATCTTGTCAGGGATCATGCTCATCTGAGATCTCATACACGTTAGATCCATGTTTTTATAAACTTACTGCGCGGTCCTGAACAGTGCCTTCCGTATTAATCTTTCCATTAACATCCTTTGGAGTTTGGCCAGAACAGAAGACAAAGCCGTTGGCGATAATGGCTTGGCTATAGACAGGCCGTGGCGCAGGCGCCTTGTCTGTGAAAACGGCTTGCTTCGACATTACTCCTTGTCTAATTACTCTTTACCAGGACGGCTTCAAAGTATAGAGACGAGATGACTATTGAGTGTAGATTGTCCTGAAGGACTCACGATGTCATAGAGCAATCGAAGCTATTGGTGCGATAATGAACAGATGGCTTGTCATTGGTCAGGTTGTGATAATAGACTTGATACGAAGTAACCTAGGGTATGGCGGCAGCGGATGTCCATGGCCGCTCACTACGGAGGCCGAAACCCGAATAGTTGCAAACCGCTTACAACTACGCACTTCGACTGATTCATGCCTCTATATCTCCAAGTCCGTTATAGGTTCTGCAATCAACTGAGCGAGACGACTAGTATTCTTCGAATAGGCAAAACTTAAAATGACTGCCATATGCGCCACAACTTTAGAGCCGGCATCTATCGCGGATGCACACGAGAGAATCGTCGGTTATATCAAACGAACACCGGTAGTCTCATCAAATCTAGTGGATCAAATAGCATCCAGTAGTGATCCATACAGATTGCTCCCAAAACACCTTGGCCCGTGTAATGAAGCCTCCTCAGATGAAAGGGCCCCAAAGTTTCGCCTTGTCTTCAAATGCGAGAATCTCCAACGGACTGGCGCCTTCAAAGCTCGTGGAGCCTTCCATGCTCTCACTCGCTTGGTGGAAGAGCATGGCTCGGATAGTTTGCGAGAGACCGGCGTGACCACTGTATCGTCAGGCAATCATGCTCAGGGGTTGGCACTGGCCGCAGCTTCCATGGATATACCCGCGACTATCGTTATGCCCAAGACAAGCACCAAGAGCAAGATTTTAGGCGTTGCACGCATCTTGGGCATCGCGTCAACGAATGGCGATATTAACAAAGGAATCCATGGCCGAATTATCTTTTGCGGCAGCTCCAATGAGGAGAAAAGGAATGCAGTCCAAGAGGTGGTAGCAAACACGGGTGCCATATTCATTCCACCTTATGATCAGGCCGACGTGATTCTGGGCCAAGGTACTTGCGCTAAAGAACTAGAGGAACAGTTCGCTGAATTGCAGGCCACGGGAGAGAAAAAGCCCCTTGATGCCGTCATTGCGCCTATCGGTGGAGGGGGCCTGCTAGGAGGCGTTGCTACATGGTTTAGTAACAAGCCTGAGACGCTGATCTTCGGAGCCGAACCCTCATTTCAAGGAGCTGATGATGCAAGGAGGGGCCTGGAACAAGGTGCGAGAATCAGCCATGTAGCTTCTGCCACCATTGCGGATGGGCTGAGAACACCTGTCGGCATACTGAACTGGGATATTGTGAGTGACAAGACAAGAGTCAACAACATCTACTCAGTCGGCGAGGAAGAAATCAAAACAGCAATGAAGCTATTTCTGGAAGAATTGAAGATAGTCGTTGAGCCTAGTGGTTGTGTGCCACTTGCTGTCGTTCTGTTCGACCCTGAATTTCGAAAGATGGTTGCAGAGCGACAGGCTGGAAAAGACCCAGAGCCATGGGATATAGCAATTGTCATCAGCGGAGGAAACACAACTGTTGAGGCAATCGTTAAGCTCTGTGGTGAAGGTAAATCATAAGTATTTATCCCAGGCAATTTCGCCGTTCAAGAATTCGTCCGTTACGAGAAAGCCGAGATCACCAGCCTCGTCATACTCCTCCAGGTTCCAATTACTTGATAGCCCGCCAACTCTATTCTCAAACATATCCACCAAGCCGAGGTTGAAAGCCTGGTTCTCTCTTTGAGGAGTACTGGAGCTTTCTGACGAAATTGCATCCAAGATGCCTTTTCGGATCTCTATGACGCAGGGCCATACCCGTTGTATGGCTTTCATAGCATCCAGCAAAACTTCCAAGGGCTTGGAAATGTCTTTGTCTTCCCAGCACGACTTTTCTAGGTAGTGCTTCATCATGACGACGCCCGAAGCTGCCGACAATGTGTGGACAAAGCTCAGGGGTAGCCACTCCAGTCGATAATATCGAGTGTAGCTGCGTATCAATCGCAAGATCGCCGCAAGAGACTCATAGCACACTTCGATATCTTCACCATTAGCGACAACCTCATTATCTAGGTATTTCTTTGGAGGCCTGTGCAAGATGATCATCCCAGTGTGGAATAGCATATGAAGGTTCAGTACGTACGGCGGCACTTGCCCTACCGTCCATTGACTCCACTGTAGCTTTTGCGGCAACATGCTCAGCCATTTGACCAAAGATATATGTATCTTTTGTGCTGTCGCTGCCGCAGACAGATCATCTGTTTGATTTCGTCGATTCTCAAAGATGTCAACAACCATGGCGTGGAAGATCTTCGCAAGTTCGGCCTGGTGTATAAAGGACCCAATGGTAGAGATACCGTCTTCAAAAGCGGTAGCTGAGGTACCCCTGGAGATATATGTATCCAAGAGATTCTCCCATTCAGGAGGGTAGGGTATACGAATGGTATTGCGCACGTCGGCCTCGTGTGGGTATAAAGCGGGCGGTCTTCCAAAGAATAGGCTTAACTGTTTATCGATGATAAATACCGCCCAGTATACGCGCCGTAGGATCTCGCGATCTATTGATGACTCGTTTCTACTGCTCCAATTGCCGGGGTCCAGATGCAGACCCATCTCGTGCGTGAGGCGACAAGCCATCCCACAGAAAAGCCAACCCTTGGTCCCCCTTCCCTGACCGATCTCTAGGAGTGACAGAATGAGCATGGACTGCAATGTAGTAAGATCAGGGAGATCCAAAGAACTTAGTAGCAAGTCCTCGGCGTATTTCATGAAGTCCATTGCAATGGCTTGATGTGATTCTTGTGGTGAGACCAAAGCCCCGACGGCGCAGATAGAGTACATGAGCATGTCCGAATAATATGGACCGCCCTTCGCAGCATAGTCTCGTAGGAAGTATTCGCGATAGACACAAAAGTTGTATTGATACAGATGTTGAAAAAAGATAGCCATCAGTTGCCGGCAGGTCTCGTTATATGGGTCAACCGGCAGGTTGCTGCTCACATTTGGCACATGGATGGACCTGGCTGTTGCGGCTTCTTCATCAGCATGAGGTGAAGGAACTTTCTCCGATAGCTGGATCTGAAAGAGACTCGTGCCTCCATAGAATTGGGTTGCTTTTCGGGAGACCAATTTCCTCATCCTGCCCTCTCGAGCCCGTGCCACAACCAACCCACCCGTGGTGGAACATGAGGTAGGCGTATCAGACGTAGGGGATACAATTGTAGGCGAAGCTGCTGTAGGCAATGGTAGACTAGGAGCTGGACTGTTATCTTCTGCAGCGTGAGTATTAACTTCCACGCCCGAGGTGCGAGGTCGTTCTGGTGCGGGGGCCGGGGGTAAAGGAAGAAATCGGGCAAGAAGTTCGCGTCTAGATGTATCATCGGTCGCTGCCAGCTTGTGGATGAAGGTCTCAAGCGAGCCGATCTGACCCTCCAACGCTTGTACATACTGCCTAGAAGCCGGCCTTGAAAATCATGCTTCGTCAGCCTTGGCTCAGTGTCTATAACAGACAAAAAGATGGTGTTCACCTCTGTCGTTCACCACCACCCGGAAAGACACACTCTTCACCGGCCTTGACGCATCTAAAGCATGGGCTCTGTTTGTCACACTTGATCTTACGCTTACGGCATCTTTCGCAACTACAAAACCCGGTACCGGTCAATCTAGCTGCTGTTGATAAGAAAGAAGCTGGGTCGTCGTTATCTTACGAGACGCTATTGATTTCCCCAGTTGGTATCAGTGAACCAGAATGGTTGTTGTTGTTGTTGTTGTTGTTGTTGTCGACAGAGGGCGGAGGCATGTTTCGCGCTTCGATGCCCGCACAACGGGCAAGCAGGTCCGTCAGCCGTGTTGAAGGTTAGAGCTTTTTGGCAGGAGAGTTAGGGGACCGAGATATACACAGCGTAATGCGGAGAAATGGGGCGAGTAATGGAGATAAGCCTGGTGAGGCACGCGGCGTAGTCCTATATTATTTCCCGAGCCAGTTGCATGGCCTTATATCTCCACCATGTTATTAACTTAGACTCTAGAAAATGTTCTGGATTCTTTGTGAACTGTTTAAAATCGAAAGGCTTGATTTGTACGAAGTGAAATTGTCTTAACAGAATTTACTAGTGTAGTCTTGTAAAATCGTTAAGAGATAGGCTCGTCAATAATTAACTCAATACCTTGTGAACAACGCATGCCTAATGACTCGCGTAAAAGAGCAAGTCGGCATCAAATCGTTCCACCTAGCTGCACTAGTACCTGAAAATTCTCTCCACACCCGTTGCCCTCCCTTATCCTTATCATTGACACAAAAGATACGAAATGGACAGAGCGGTGGTCAGAGTCCGTTTATCGACCCCACTGAGGTACGGGGAAAGCGACCTGGACTGATTGTCTGGGAACTTCACCCTGGATTAGACTGTTCGTCTCAGGTAACGTCCACTAGCTAAATCAATCTAATCATTGACCTAGATGTAGCGGATGGGTGTTCAATTCACTTGTCTGGCTTGATCCTCCGGGCCTAGTCTGCTTGCTTTGTTACTTGCGATCTTGTCTATAAGATTCAGGGGCTGCTCTTAACTTCGTTAGAACCTCGACTTGGGATCTACAACTAAGTCGATTACCTGTTTTTTTCTCTTTCACACCATTAAGATCTGTCCTTGCTTTACAATGACTATCGAAGACAGGATTGAAGGCAAAGAAAGCCCCATCGTCATGGAGCCTAAGCCAGCTCAGACAGACAAGACTTCGGTGACCGAAGAGGCAGCACAAGAGATGTCCGAGATATACGTCGACCCTGTCAAGGAGAAGAAGATTCTCCGTAGGCTTGATTTACGTCTCGCACCGATCTTCATGTCCCTCTACTTCCTCTCATACCTCAACCGAAGCAACATCGGCAATGCCGCTATTGCGGGTATGAAAACCCAGTTAAATCTCTCGGCTGGCGAGTACAGTACATCAGTCAGTGTTTTCTATGCAACCTACGTGGGGCTCATCTTTCCGCTGGTTCTGGCGCTGCGAAAGCTAAAGACACATCGTGCCATGACCGTCATGTCTTTTGCATGGGCCATTGTCACTATCGGGACTGCCTTCGCTCGATCTTATGGTGGCCTTGTGGCATGTCGACTGATGCTGGGTGTCTGCGAAGCCGGGTTTTTCCCTTGCATTAGTCTATACATGACTATGGTCTACAATCGCCGGGAGCAAGGTCTTCGATTTGCCTACCTCTTCAGTGCTATGGCTCTTTCGGGGATGTTTGGTGGTCTCATTGCTACCGGTATTACCTACATCGGACACGTTGGCGACCTGCAGGCTTGGTCCTGGCTCTACATCATCGAAGGTCTCATCTCACTGCTGGTGGTACCATGGGTTTGGTTTGGCCTTCCGGAAAATCCCGTCAAGGCAAAGTGGTGGAGTGCGGATGAACTTGAGACCATTGAGAAGCGAGAACTGAAGCGTCAGGAGTACATGGGTCGGGAGGCATTCGACTGGGCACAAGTCCGCTCCGCCTTGTCAGATTGGCGTGTGTACACTGGTGCCCTGATTCAATTCTTTCAGGATATCGTTCTGTATGGGTTCAGCACTTTCCTTCCGTCCATTCTCAAGAACGGCCTGCACTTTGATTCCCTACAAGCTCAGTATCTGAGCGTGCCAGTCTATCTATTGGGTGGTATTAGCTTCTTTACGGCGGCCCTGGCGGGCGATCGCTTTGGTCTCCGTGGTTCTATCTTATTTTTCCAGGATATCTGCGCCGTTATCGGTTATGTCCTCATTATTAAGGTTGAAAGCAACGCTGTCAAGTACTTTGCTTGCTACCTTATTGCCATCCCTCTATACTGCGGCGCCGGTCTCAACGAAATGTGGATTGTCAACAACACTGCGCCACACTACCGCCGTGCTACAGCCCTAGGAATCTCCCAGGCAGTGGGTAATATTGCTGGCGTGGTATCAGGCCAAATTTACCGCACGTCGCCCTACATGCTGGGTCATTGGTGCTCTCTTGGCGCTACTTTGTGCTCCATGACCTTAATTGCGGTGCAATTCTTCTACTTCCGCTCGAAAAATCACAAGAAGGATCAAATAATTCGAGGCGAGATCCCGGATGATAGGAAGAATAAAACTGGAGAAGACAACCTCGAGTTTAGATACGTCTACTAGAACCCGATTCTTGACACGTTATCTCCTCTGGACTATCTCCTCAAGCATCTCTCCATGAGTCCGGCAGCAGGAGAGTGGATTTTTGTCGGCCTCTAATTGATTAAGCTGTACTGATAGTAGGGTGTCAGGAGGAAGCCGGGTTGTAGATGGATTAACCATTGCCATAACTGTGAGACAGATGCTCAAGCAATTGATATGATTCATTTGAATGTTTAGCTTGACCTCAAATAAATTCTCCTCAACTAGCCACTTCTTCGGGCTATGTTTTTGTTTCCTAGTTGTTGGAGATTTGGTAATAGTCCTTATAGGTGTTTCTAGAGGAAATAGTACAATTACACCCGTTTTGGGCACCGTATTTGAATGCTAGTGATGAAACTAAAAGTTGAATTACATATCGAGAGCCTCAAGTCATAGGACATCATCCTCTCGGCAGTCTAGCATCAACATCATCCCTGGAGCATGTGCCATGATAGTTCCTTCCAGAGGAGCCTTCATCACTGCTTCTTGGGGCGTGACTCCACAACCCCAGAACACAGGTACATTATCCTCATCCCCAAATACATCTCCTAGCGGACGGCCGTCTCGAGTCAAAGGTGCGTGTCCCCACTGCACTTTGTTGATGTCACTAATACCTAGCCGAGCCACGCTATCCCATCCCCAAGCTATCGGCTCGCCGTGGGTAGGCAGGTAGTGTTTGGTAATCTCTCGAACTGTCGCAATGTCTGCCTTTCGGAATGGTCGCATCGAAACGACATAAGTCGAACCTGAGAAGACACCCGCGGCATTGAGAGGCACATTGGTACGGTACATCGGGACCGTGCGGTCCTGAATGATGTGGCGGATCTCGAGCCCTGAGCGCACGAGGGCCGACTCGAAGCTCTGGCTGCAACCGATAACGAAGGCAACGTGGTCCTTCGTCCACTGAGATTTGATATCGGACACGCTTTCGCCTACCAACCGCGGCCCATTGTACACATTGAACCGTGGGCAGTCTGTTCGAAGGTCTAGCTCTGTGGCAATCTCGGTACCCGAAACGCGTGGAAGGTATGACTTGAGCTGGGTGAAACTGCCCGTCTCAGCGGACTCTGCAATCAAGGGACAGGGCACAGGGTTGCGTGCGCAGAGGTTACGAAAGTCGGCGGCATATTTCGAGGGCAGGACGACGAGGTTGGCTTGTAGATAGGTCGGTGCAAGGCCTGATGTCGACTTCGTGTATTCATTGTTGCGGCATGCAATCCGTGTTTCGGCTCCCGTTATATACAAAGGAGTTTCTAGAGTCACCTGCGCAAGGTTTATGGTCTGAGTGCTGGACATGATAACTATTTTGGAATTACTGATGCAGAACAAAGTACCAAAACAAAGCTCCCGGCAATGCCAACACTTCCTAGGACAGTATTTGCCTATATCACTACGTAGTTTTCATTACCTTGCGGCATTCGGAAGCTGGCGACTTTTCAGGACTGGTAATCCCAGTGACCCAGCTTCGGCTTCTGGCAAGAAAGTGGGCCGCCTATGATAACGGGACTTGGTGCCCGTGATGTGCGGTGCGAGCGGCAACGGACATCCGTAGCCGTAGACCCACCCGCCTTGGTTTCGAGATAGTCGCCGACAACATGGCGGACCTCGGACTTCCATGTCCATGCCCTAACTTACCCAAACTAGATATCATCTGGATGGGCTACGAGTGCAGGCGTAGCACTAAGAGTTCCGCGACAATCTTCATTGAAGCACTGAATAATAATGTTAGACCCTCCAGCGGGAAGATGACTGGGAGGTCATATAATACATACATCTGTTCCTGTCTTACAAAGGCCGTCGCGCTCAATGTATACTAGCACATTTGACTAATTCCTCCATACTTCCTTCGGAATGGCTGCTCCAAGTTCTCACAACTCAGGCATCCAGATCTCTATCGACAGGGGTGGCACCTTCACAGACATTCATGCCTCCATCCCTGGTCAAGATGATATAATTCTCAAGGTGCTGTCTGTAGATCCTGCTAACTACAATGATGCACCTACAGAAGGCGTCCGGCGTATTCTGGAAATGGTCACAGGGAAACCACACCCCCGAGGCCGGCCACTCGACACCTCTCTTATCGATAGGATACGGATGGGGACTACCGTGGGCACAAATGCATTACTAGAACGTAAAGGCGCACGTTCAGCATTGCTCATTACCAAGGGTTTCCGTGACTTGTTGCGGATTGGCAACCAGTCTCGCCCAAATATTTTCGACCTCACAGTCTCAACCCCTGAGCTCCTTTACCAGAGTGTCGTGGAGGTTGATGAACGAATCACATTAGAGGGCTTTGTAGAAAATCCGCACTATGCAGCCACTGAAGCTGCCCGCGACATCTCCCGTGACCCGAATCTGATATTCGGGTCGACTGGAGAGGTAGTTCGCATCCTAAAAACACCTGATCTGAGCGAGGTTCGTGTCTCGTTAGAGAGGTTGTGGCGGGAGGGTTACCGGTCTCTTGCTATAGTCTTACTACATTCCTACATCTACCCAGATCATGAAAGGCTCGTCGGATCCTTAGCACGAGAAATAGGCTTCTCGGTTGTAGAATCTGCAACACTACAGCCAATGATCAAAGCAGTTCCACGTGGCATGTCTGCTACAGCGGATGCTTATTTGACTCCAATCATTAAGAATTATATCGAGTCTATCTCGGCCAACTTCCAGGGCGGGCTAGCAGCACCAGGTCTTCGCTGTGAGTTTATGCAGTCTGACGGAGGTCTCGTCGACTTCAGGAGCTTCGGTGGCCTTGCCAGTGTCTTGTCTGGCCCTGCTGGAGGTGTTGTGGGCTATGCTCAGACTGCATGGGATGCAAAGCAGGGAAAGCCTGTCATTGGCTTCGACATGGGTGGCACATCAACGGACTGCTCCCGCTTCGCTGGCAGTTATGAACATACTTTTGAGTCGAAGACTGCTGGTATCTCGATTCAATCGCCTCAGTTGGACATCATCACGTAAGTTCCAAGCACAAGGAAACAATTGATGAAGAATCTTCGCTAACATTTCACTATTTACTAGTGTCGCAGCAGGCGGAGGCTCAATGCTTTTCTGGCGAAACGGACTATTTGCTGTTGGTCCAGAGTCCGCTGGTGCCCACCCTGGCCCAGCTTGCTACCGTAAAGGAGGCCCATTGACAATCACCGATGCAAACCTACTTCTAGGTCGCATTGTCCCTGAATACTTTCCCAATATCTTTGGGCCTAACGAGAATCAGCCGCTAGGCACCGAGGTCGTTAGAGAGCAGTTCGAGAAGCTCACGGCGCAGATCAATGCCGACAATATTGCGGCCGGCCGCGATGAGCTTACAGCCGAGGAGGTTGCACTTGGATTTCTGCGAGTTGCTTCAGAGGTCATGGCGAGACCGATTAGATCCCTTACAGAGACTCGTGGTCACGATACGTCTGACCACATACTGTCATGTTTCGGCGGTGCAGGTGGCCAGCATGCCTGTGACGTAGCCAACGCCCTATCTATCTCTCAGGTGGCTATTCACAAGTATTCTTCCATCCTTTCCGCCTATGGCTTGTCTCTGGCAGACCTAGTGCATGAAGCTCAAAAGCCTGCAGCCATGGCTTTTGAGAAACCCAACTTTACCGATATTGAACAAGCTTTGGCGCAGTTGTCTACATCTGCCACTGAGCATTTGCTACACCAAGGCATCAACAAGTCGCAGATACGGGTGGAGCGATATCTCAACATGCGCTATGAGGGATCCAACTCGGCCTCCATGATCATGCAAGACCAAGCTGATCAGAATATTTCCGACTTTCAGCGCTTGTTCGACGAGAAGCACACACGAGAATTTGGCTTCGTGTTCCCGGACAAGAAAATTCTGATCGACGACTTCAGGGTCCGCGCTATTGGTACCACAGCCAAACACGCCGAAAAGAGCCCCTACGAACAGTTACAGGAGATCATGAAAAAGCCTGTAGTATCAACTCCTGTTCCAGAATCAAAAATCGAGGTCTATTTTGACTCGGTAGCCGGCCACGTTCAAACCAAACTCTATCTCCTCGGCAAACTACCTTCGGGCGTTAGGATCCCAGGTCCAGCTCTGATTCTAGACAACACACAAAGTATCCTAGTTGTTCCAGGAGCAGAAGCCATAATCCTCGATAATACGGTCATGATTGAGCTCAAGAGTCACTCGTCTACCTCTTCAGTCATAAAAGCAATCGAAGAGCAAGTCAATCCCATCCAACTTTCTATTATGGGTCATCGATTTATGTCCATAGCGGAACAGATGGGGCATACTTTGCAAAAGACATCTGTATCAACAAATATTAAGGAGAGACTGGATTTCTCGTGTGCTATCTTCTCGCCTGACGGTGGTCTGGTCGCCAATGCCCCTCACGTTCCTGTCCACTTGGGTAGTATGCAATTCTGCGTAAAGCACTGTAAGTGAAACCTTTGTTTTGTATTTTGGCGTGTCTATTTTCCTTTCTCAGTTTTCTTCCTCTTTTTATTTTCTGTCAAGGCGAGCCTTTCAGCCTCTTACTTATCCCATCATTCATATCAGGCTGACTCTTCCCTGAAATAGTGCATAATGCCTGGAAAGGAAGGTTAGAAGAGGGAGACGTGTTAATATCAAACCACCCCTCTAGCGGTGGCACACATCTGCCAGACATCACAGTAGTCACACCCGTTTTTGATGAGGGTGCGATTGTTTTCTACGTCGCATCGCGTGGCCATCATGCAGATATCGGCGGGACGCGCCCTGGCTCCATGCCGCCAGATTCTCGCTGGTTGTATGAAGAAGGTGCAGCGATTCTCGGGGAGAAGCTGGTCAGCAACGGTCGCTTTAATGAAGAGCGTATCATTGAGCTGCTTCTACATGAGCCTGCTAAGCACCCTGGTTCATCAGGCACTCGAACCCTGGGTGACAATCTGTCTGACCTCAAGGCACAGGTGGCTGCAAATAAGCAAGGAATAACCCTAATACAAAGCCTCATCAAAGAGCATACTCTCCCGAAGGTTCACAAATACATGTTTGCCATCCAAGATAACGCCGAACAAGCCGTACGAGCCCTACTCAAAAAGATGCACACGACAGTTGGTGGTACTCAGCTGAATGCTATTGATTATATGGACGATGGCACTCCGATCAAGCTGTCGGTGACTATTGATCGCAATACGGGTTCCGCTGTCTTCGACTTCTCGGGTACCGGACCCCAGGTCTATGCCAACACCAATGCGCCGATCGCTATCACACACTCCGCGATCATCTACTGCCTACGTTCCCTTATTGCGTCTGAGGTACCTCTCAATCAAGGCTGTCTCAACCCCATCGACATCCGCATTCCCCCTTCATCCATTCTCTCGCCAGCTGCTGGCGCCTCAGTCGTGGGTGGCAATGTGCTGACCTCCCAACGGATCACCGATGTAATCTTGAAGGCTTTCCGGGCCTGTGCTGACAGTCAAGGCTGTATGAACAACCTGACTTTCGGCATGGGTGGGACAAAAGTCAACGCCGATGGCTCCACAACTGTAGAGGAGGGTTTCGGCTATTATGAGACCATCGGTGGAGGAGCAGGGGCTGGACCAACCTGGGATGGAACCAGCGGCGTTCACACACACATGACCAACACGCGCATCACGGACCCTGAGGTATTTGAGAAGCGTTACCCTGTCCTGCTACACGAGTTCTCCGTTCGCAAGGACTCAGGGGGCCGTGGAGAACGCCGTGGAGGCGACGGTATCGTGCGCGACATCGAGTTCCGAGTTCCCGGCGTGCAGGTTTCGATCTTATCAGAGCGCCGCACACGTGCACCACAGGGTTGTGCTGGTGGAGAGAATGGAGCGATGGGCCAGAACCTTTGGGTCAGGAAAAGCGATGGTCTTGTTGTCAGTCTGGGAGGTAAGGCTACAGCTCGGTTTGACGAAGGCGACAGAATTGTTCTGAAGACGCCTGGCGGTGGTGGGTGGGGAAAAGCAGTCGCTCAGAAGCGTCGATGAAATATGCCCTCGAGACGAGCAATGGACTGACCTTCACTCAACATCCCGCAACCTAACGGAAAAAGTTATTACGTAGATGAGCATCAGTCGATATCGTAAAATTTCGATTTCACATTTGCTTCAGTTGGTGGACAAAAACATCAACAAGAATTACGTTCTACACGAAATTAATTCTTGACCTGCCACTTAAGCAATCTCTGCCTTCCGCAGTATGGGTTCTGGTAATTGGAAGGCGACAAATCGCCATCTCCAGATCCTCAAAGCCGCCGAGGAAGGTAAATATGGTGTCCTAGCTGCTATTGCTTATAACATAGAGCACATCCTGGGCTTGATCCGCGCCGCTGAGAAAGCTCGATCTCCTCTTATCCTTCAGTTCTTCCCTTGGGCGATAGAATTCTCCGATGGGCTTATCATTCGCACCGCTGCTGATGCCGCCCAGCGGGCGACCGTGCCCGTTTCTATTCATCTTGACCACGCTCAGGAAGAGGAGATTATCAAACGGGCAGCCGACACATTGCCATTTGATAGTATCATGGTTGATATGTCACATCATGAGAAGGAAGAAAACCTCGCCAAGACAGCAAAGTGGGTGAAGTATTGCAACGATCGACAGATTGCGACCGAGGCAGAACCGGGACGTATTGAAGGCGGCGAGGATGGCGTGATGGATACCGGAGGGCTTGAAGCAAGCAAGACAACGACAGAAGAGGTCGACCAGTTCATCGCGACAGGAGTGGACGTGTTAGCTCCTGCTTTTGGTAATGTCCATGGCGAGTATGGACCACAAGGACCGCAGCTTGACTTCGAGAGGTTAGTGGCTTTGATGATTGTTGTCTGGAGAACCATCTTACACGAACAATTAGATTTGATATGATCAGAAAGCATTTGAATAGTCGAGCGCGGATTGCCCTGCATGGCACCAACGGATTTCCGCCAGACCTCATGCGCGAATGCATAAAGGCGGGAGCTACTAAGATCAACGTCAACAGAATCGTCCTTGACGATTATTATAACCATTTCCGATCCGAATCAACCAAGAAGAAGTCACATACAACTATAATCGAGGAAGGGGTGGAACTAGTGGTGCGCCAGACTGCGGAATGGATGGACATCATCGGGTCTGCTGGGAAGGCACCGCTGCAGTAGTTTTGTACGTCATCTATACCGAACATGATGACCCAGGTCCTTAGTCACCCCAAACGTCTTGCAGCTCATGGGCCAGTGAGCATCTTGGCCACCCTGTCCGTTGGCAGCATTTGTCGAGAAGCTCCAGGATTGCGGAGCGCTGTTTCCGGTCCTCTATCACCATACCAGCTACTCGGTCATTTGGTCAGCCATTTATTGAAAGCAGCAGAATGACGAAAGAGAAGGAAAAACAAGAGACACACCAATAAAGACACACTGTGAAGATAAGATACTTGATGCATAATCACATGAGGTCTTTGCGATGCCGCATACGGTACCTGCCCATAGCTTGAGTGATCGCTGCTTCTCCAGATATTCCTCGTAACCTCCAGAACAGGGTCGATGCAATTGAAGTAGTATCAGTGAGCAATAGTATATCTGCATGGATACCGCTATTCAAATTAGCCGGCTGTCCTTGTGACTTGTCATCAGAGGAAGCATCTTGCTCACTAACCAAAGGCCTGTGGCTGAATCCAGACATGAGGAAACGGGTTATCTTCAGCATCAGTCGCGACAATAGGAAGAGGGTAGAACTCCAAGGTTAGGTATGAGACCCATTGTTCCAGTTGCTGGGAAAGTAGATCAGCCTCGTGGGATTTGATAGCAATGTAATCAGAGCCCTTCGGCGCTTCGTCTTTAGCGCAGAAGCCAACTACGTGAGCAAAATTGTAGACCGCCCGGGCAGCAAGTTCGCTAGGATTTAAGTCGGCGAGTGGACGGCCTGGTCTCCAGAAGGTGAATGGTTTTCGTTTCTCACGAAACGATGCCCAAACGTCTTGGCATAGCCATGCCCACCAGACAGCTTGTCTTAAGCCACCCGAATGACCATGAATAAGTTGCGAGCGTTGAATCCAAAAGACGCCCTTGAGATGTTTCTCCCAATCTGTATTCGGGCCATTGAGCATTTCATATGATGATATAATGACTGCGCTTGACAATAGTTCGAGACTCGTCTTATAGTTATCATACTGCATGGCTTCTTGACAGTAATGGAGTGTCTTGTAGTAGTATCCGATTGATTCTTTTGGACCAGGTCGAAACCCTGTTGCATAAGTTGCCGTGTCTTTGTTAATGATGTCGAGATGGCGAGCCGACAGGGCTAGAATGGCATTCATAAGCCCAACGTTATGTAACTGCTTTCAATTCAGCTCGGAATCGACACTCAGGGCATCAAATTTACAGCGAGATGCGGAACCAAGGTTCCAAACGGGGTTTGCGGCTCAAAGAGATCCAGCTTTGAGGGAGAACGTCAGTCAACACACAATTGACTTGAAAAAGGTGTCATCTGCTATGTCGAGAGGGTCACTCACCCATCGACTAATATGGTCAATGAAATGCCGGAAAAGTACTCGTTCTTGCATTTGTAAGTTGATTGGCTCTAACGCTTGCCAAACATGATTCTTCTCCTGGGATTGGTCTTTCACACAAGGAACGCGTTCTAGTAAGTATGCATTGTGTGTCTGTACTCTTCCCCCTTCCATGTGAGCGCGAAGCCGTCTAGGTGGATTATCACCAATATGCGACGTTATTGGTGTCTGGGCCACAGAATTGCCGAATATATTTGTACCCTCCAGTTCAAATTGAGCCTCCGGCAAAGGTCCGTAATTCAGGGTCGCGTCTCCAATAAGCAGGTCCAACCATTTTGAAGTCAGGGAGATGCTGTAACTGTTTCCAGAGTCGGATGTGGTCTCGAACGGAATAGATATGGATTGAAATGGAACCTGATTAGGTGATGGTAGGCCATACACCATGGATTGAAATTGATGGAAGTCGCTGGTCCCATAGTTGACTGCTGATTCCAGGTTTGTTCTTGGCGATTTTGTAATAGCAGGGCTTATATTTTGATCCGTCTCATCTTCCTCGTTCGAACTGGTAGTATGACATTGAGGTAAACCATCATTCAGTTGGTCACGCAAGGTCATATCTCCCTCTTGGGAAGCCATTGTTGTGCCGTGCTGTTCTGCTTCAGACGTCTGGATTTGCTGCCCGAGATATGGAGGAGAACCTGTCTCGGTGCTCTGGAAAATGCCTTCTTCAGCCTGTTCATTCACATCCCCATGGCATGATCCCGGAATGAAATTACCGGCATCGGATTGTTGGTGAGAACTCTTATTGCAGTCTTGAGACTTCGCGTACTCGCACCGGGTTTTGTTACGGATACAACCACCGCAGCGGGGCTTGACCTCGTCGCATTTGACATGCCGTCGGCGACATGTTAGACTATTGAGAGAACTCTGTCAATTCTATCCCTATCCCCTGTGCTGCCAGGTGCTCTGATCACAACCGTGAGCTATGCTTACCATCCAGTTGTCTTGCGCAAGCCTTTGCCACGTGAGAGTCGCCCTCGAGTGAACCGACGGGGTTCCTCTGTAGCACGCAGGAACATTTTCGACGTCATTTCCCAGTCGGCAACTTTGAAACTAGACACGGTTGACGCTCTAGGGATTTTACATTGTGCTACAATGATGAGGTCTACCAATGGCAACAGAGACAGTTCAAATTGACAGTAAATGGGCCCTGCTTGAGTTGGCGCATGCAAGATTGTTATGGAGGCATAGCTTGTAATCGTGCGTGGATAGTGAGGTAAGCACTCTCGATCTTCCCGCTAATCCACACGCAAATAGTATCTTAGGTGCACTAATCTGCGGGGATAGTCCAGGAATACAAGGAGATAGACGGCATCATAGCTTGCTTCTCTTTCGCCAATAGCCTATCAAATGTCTATTGAAGATGCACATACATTCCTCCATCAACGAGAAGTTGAGCTCCAGTGACAAAGCCACTCATCTGGTCTGCCGCAAGGAAGACAGCCGGCCCCGCTAGGTCCTCAGGCTTGCCTACTCGACCCCAGGGAATGCGATGTTCTAAATATTTACGCTTCTCCTCATTGGCCATATCTTCGTCTGCCAGTTGGGTATGGACTGTCCCGGGTAAGAGAGCGTTCACCCTAATCTTATCCTTGGCCAGTGCAATCGCCATGGACTGTGTCATAGAAAGCAGAGCCGCCTTGGTGGGAGTGTAATGAACTTGTAGACCACCTCCGACCAGCGCGCTTATGGACGAGATGCCAATAATTGAGCCTCCCTTACCCTGCCTCACCATTTCCCTGGCGGCAGCCTGGCAAGCATAGAACGCTCCATTTACGTTGACATGCATTGATGTGTCGAACATGTCCTTGTCAATGCTGAGAGCACGGTTAGTTTTGTGTTACCAGAACAACAAGGAAAGCAAGACCTACTCAAGGAATTTGGACGCTTTGAAGATACCTGCATTCGCAACAAATATGTCCAAAGCCCCCCATCTCTTAACAGTCTCAGCAACGAGTGCCGTGCCCGTCTTCGGATCCGTCACATCTCCTGCAATCTCCAGGAGCTCTCCAGTGGGTGCTGTCCGAGACGCCTCTTTTTTCAATCGCTTAGCCTCCTCGAGCAAACTTTGCCGCAAAGGTTCATCTTTCGACAGCCCCAAATGATTGACGACCACATTTGCACCCTGACGAAGATACTCGAGCGTGATGGCTCGACCGATGCCCGTCACGCCACCGGTGATAGCAGCCGTCTTGCCTGCAAGCAACCTGACTGCTGCACTCATGTTCGTTGTTGCAATAGCGTGTACGGCCTGGGTACCTTGGAGATCAGCACATTGCTACGATTATCTATTGACATAACTTAAGTTACCGCTTGCCCCAACTCTGAACGTACTAGGGACCGGGAGCGCCTGAATCATTGCCTCTCGACGCTTGATTCCAAACCAAACCATGGCTTGGACTTCTGTGGAGAGTCCTCGCCTAGAGGGAATGTGAGTGGAGAGTCTGTGGGGAAGAGGGGTTTAAAGGTGGTCTAAAAGGGGCTCCCAATTGCCTAGGGCATGTCGATCAGCCCTCGAGGCGAGGGCAATACCCCTAGACCAGACTGATATTATCATTTGTCTCAACATGATAGACTTATTCTGGTCGGTGCAGTTCGGATGACAGGAGAGTTGTCACCTATTTTAAGATGATCGAGAAATTGCCTAAGCTTTATAACAATGTTAGGCGAGCACTCAAGAGGTCTCTTCTACAACTTTCACCTCTTGTCAAGTAGGGTTTAGCACGTACACACTCCGTTGAGAATGAGTCCATCAGCCACAGAAGCCGTAAACGCTGGGGTGCCGGCAACTACACCCACCCAGCAACACGAGACAAAAGTCACACTGAACGGAAAGGTCATTGCAGGTAAACATATGGGAGTTCTTGTCACTATCATGCTGTCTCTTAACAATACTCCGAATGGCAGTTACCGGAGCCAACCGTGGGATTGGTCTCGGGGTAGCTGAGGCCTGCCTAGATAATGGTGCTCGAATTGTTTATTCGATCGATTACGCCGAGCCAGCTGAAGATTTCGCTGCTGCGCAGAAGAGATGGCCTGGTAAGCTCAAGGCTATTCGAGCCGATGTGACCAAGGAGCCTACCATCACGGCTGCGGTTGACCAGATTGTGGGCGAGAACGGCGCCATACATGGCATGGTAGTCAACGCCGGCAGAACAAACCATAAAGCTGCGCTGGATTTTACAGAGGAGGAAATCCATGCCCTGTTCAACATCAATGTACGTGAATACTCAGCAACGATTTCAAGCGTCTTAATAATGCTCATGCTGGAAAAATAGCTTTTTGGATCCTTTTACTGCGCTCGCGCAGCTGCACGCGCCTTCATCAAACTCGGCATCAAGGGAGCTGTTGTCTTTACCGCGTCAATGGCTTCATACCGCCCAAATAAGGTCTGTACTTCATTTCACTTGGCTGAGTAGATAGGGAGATGTTGACCAGGCATATAGCGTGTACCCTCGGCTCCATACGGTGCTAGCAAAGCTGGTGTTCGCAATATGACTCATACGCTTGCGATGGAATGGGCCAAGTATGGCATTCGAGTGAACTCTGTCTCTCCTGGCCTTGTTGAGACTGCTATGACATACTGGGTGCCACAGCAGCCCGATTGGGAGCAGCAGCTCAAATACTATGGCGGCATGCCGCGGCTTGCACAAATCCAGGAACTTGGAGGCGCTTATGTCTATCTTCTAAGTGACGCCGCCAGCTACACCACCTCGATCGACATTCCGGTCAATGGTGTTATTGGAAGTATGTTGTTGTGCATCATTCTACTCGCCGCCATATGATAGCTAATATCACATCTAGTTTGTTGAGCGTTGTCAACGAATGCACGCAGTAGTGCTGAATGTCAAGTGGGCTTTGATATATATTAACCATGGAGGATAGTATCATCCGTGTGACAACGTGGTAGTATAAATTAGAATCAAAGCAGTCGCAAGCATATATAAGTTGACTTACCACTTAATCAGACAGATGTCTGTGGCCCATGACTGACCCTGACTCAAAGGGACATTAGAACATCAAGCCCACTGGAAGCTCTTGTCAGCCTTCGCTGAGTACCAACCATGTATATGCATCCACAATAAACCATGCCACCAGGATATCGAAAAAGATCCGAACTCCAAGTTGGAGTTTCCACTATTGGCCAATACTATTGACCTTCTTGCTACTGAAAAGCCCTCGATCATTCAAGTATCATGCGCGCAATGTGGCCGAGACTGCCGAGATGTGATCGGTATCTCCATCCAGTAGGTATTCATAAACACTTATGGTGGATCGGCAGCCAACATCGCCGCATCTAGCAGGTCGGATGACATTCTCACCCTCCTGGCTCTTGGCAGCTTATTAGGCATCAGTGCGAGAACATGGTTCGAAGGAGCGATGAAACGTCGGACCCCGAATTTTACGAGGTGACAGCGGGAGTGACCTAGCTACAAATAACGGATTGAACTCGGTTGTCTCCGCGCGCACGCCGCATTTTGCTACGGCTTTCTGCATAATCGTTGTCGGCAATTCGCAGCGAAAGATCACCAGGCGCATCGCAATTGACTTTGTGACGTGATCAACGAACACCAGACAATGGTCTCAGGCACTTCGGCCGAGAAACTGCGCGTTTCCGCTCCGGCCGAGTCTCTCCCAGTCTCCGCGGCTCCTCATTCCGAGACCGTGACTGCGGCTGACGCCGTGAACGAGACCGGGTCGGCCGGAGAGAAGATCACGCCCGAGCAGGTCGATGGCGCTGAGGTAGTTGGCCGGATCGTCCAGTCGGACATTCTTCGCGGCCCAAATGGCGAGATCTACCCAACAGCTGAGGAGCTGCTCACCCTTCGTCCCGTCAGAGGAAAGATCGGTTGGGTGATTTATACTATTGCAATCGTGGAAATGGTGGAGCGATTTTCCTACTACGGAACTACGACTATCTGTAGGTCGAGCCCTGCCCCATCATCGTCGATAACATTTCTCTGTACCTCAGGCCTACTAAGAACAGCCAATCTCGGCAGTCACCAACTTCATCCAGTTTCCTCGACCTGAGGGCTCTCCTAGCGGAGCAGGCTATGAAGGGCAGTCCGGCGCCATGGGAATGGGACAGCAAGCCTCAACGGGTCTGACCCTCTTCCACTCCTTCTGGGCCTATCTCATGCCGTTACTGGGAGGTTACCTTTCCGATACTTACTGGGGCAAATACAAGACGATCAATGTTGGCATCCTCTCCGCCACCTTTGGCCACGTTCTCATCGTCATTTCGGCCATTCCAGCCGTCTTAGACAACCAGAGAGGTTCGCTCGGCACTTTCATAATTGGCCTCTTGTTCTTCGGCGTCGGCGTCGGATTTTTCAAAAGCAACATATCCCCCCTAATCGCCGAGCAGTATGAGGCAAAAGCTCCTCGCGCCACCGTCGAGACGCTTCCTAGCGGCGAACGCGTTATTGTCGATCCTCACAAGACCTATGCCATTATCTATATGCGTTATTACTTCTTCATCAACGTTGGCGTCTTGTTCGGCCAGGTCACTATGGTCTATGCCGAAAAGTACGTCGGGTTTTGGCTTGCCTTCCTGCTCCCCACGATTCTCTTCTTCCTGTGCCCTATTGTTATGGTTATATGTAGAAATAAGTACATCAGAAACCCGCCGACCGGGTCAGTTGCCAGCAAGGCTACTGGTCTCTGGGCCCTGGCGATGAAGAAGCACTGGTCTTGGAGCCCTGTTAGGACCGTCCGGAACATGCGATCAGGTGATTTTTGGGAAGCTGTTAAGCCCAGCCGCCTTGGTGACAGCAAGCCGAAATGGATGACATTCGACGATAACTGGGTTGATGAGGTTCGACGTGGGTTCAAGGCATGCACAGTTTTCATTTTCTATCCCATCTTCTGGCTGGTAGGTCCCCCACATCCCCTTTGGATGCTACTCCAAGCGTCTAACCTCATGTTGCAGCCATACAACCAGCTGTACAATAACCTGACTTCTCAAGCTGCCACGTTGAGGCTTGATGGCTTTCCGAACGACCTCGTCAATAACCTCGATCCCATTGCCTTGATTGTTTTCATTCCCCTGTTTGATAAGTTTTTCTACCCCTGGATGGACCGTGCCCGCATACGTGTTACTCCTATCCGCAAGATCGCCGTTGGTTTCATCATGGCCGTTCTAGCCATGATTGTCGCCGCCCTGATTCAGCATTACATATATGTCCAATCCCCATGTGGCAAAAATGCCAGTAGCTGCGACACCCCTCCCGATATTTCCGTCTGGGTCCAGACCCCGGCGTACGTGCTTATCGCCTTCTCCGAGATCGGTGCCTCCATCACTGGTCTCGAGTACGCCTTCACCAAGGCCCCAAAGAACATGAGAGGTCTTGTCACGGGGATGTTTTGGTTTGCTCAGGCCTTCAGTGCTGCTGTTGCCCAGGCCTTTGTTCCATTCGCCGAAGATCCTCTGCTGGTCTGGCTGTACACCACTATTGCCATCATTACGACAATAGGCGGCATTGGATTTTGGTTCACGTTCCGCAATCTCGACAGGGAGGAGGAAGAGCTCAATGCCTTACCCGACAGCGTCTTCGTGGGTAAACAGAATATGGACATCATCGACGTCGAAGCTGCCAGAGCGGCAGAAATGGAACAGCAGAAACTTCGACACATACAGGGCCTAGATAAACGTCTCCAAGGCGTGAGCGCCTAGTAACATCCGCTCCGAAGTAACTAAATCCTATCAAGCTATCAACACTCATGGTGCGCTGACACTACTGCCCATGAAGGAATTTCAGTCATCTTGCCTATATTGTGCTCGTGCAGTGGGTTTCAAGAGTATCGGGATCTTTTCTTATAATCCTATGATGCGAGGGTTTGAATTATTGGATAGAATATCATCAAATCTATCCTAAGCGTATGTCTTAGCCTCTCATATCACTAACTCATCAGGAAGAGATAGCAGGTTTTTAGACAAAGACCTGATTATCAGGGTTAGGTAGCATTAGTAATCAGAGGCACGTATCTAGCTAGCTGCTAAGGTACCCCGATCTGTTGTAATTGAATGTTGAAATCTCGCGTCCGCCAGAAGCAGCAGTACAGGCCACCGCACATGTAGTTGAGTTGAATCCACTGGGTGAAATTCCAATTCTATGGCAACGTGAACCCCCCCATCAACAATTACGTTCGATCCCGTCATATAAGTAGACGCGTCACTGGCTAGGAATATATAGATCTATCATCAAGAGGTTAGAGAAGTATTACAATGAATGCCAATACAGATTACGTACGCCCTTCAGCTCTTGAGGCTGGCAAGTCCGGCCACCTGGTATCGAAGCGAGCCACTTCGCCATTAACTCTTTGGGTTGCGTGGTTATCACTGCGCCCATGTCAACTCATTTATTCGTGACATACCAATAAAAGATTGCGTATAGACATACTCTCAGTGTGAACATATCCCGGAGAAACGCAATTCACTCGAGCGAAGTCCGCCCATTCAACAGCCAAAGATTTCGCAAGCAGCAAAACTCCAGCCTTGGATGCATTGTAAGCTGCTTGCGTCTGTGGGACATTCACCAAACCTGCGCTAACAGATGCAGTAATGATGAGAGATCCCTTTCCTTGCTTTTTGAAGATTTTTCCAACCGGTATCGCAGTCCACATGACACCATCATAGTTGACCTTTGTTGATGAAATTCCACGTATCCTCGGTATACTCAAGAGACTTCACGTTCTGGCACACCCCAGCATTGGCTACCATGATGCCAAAATGGCCATTCCCGAAACTAGTCACAATTTCGTCGATGGTTTTCGCGATAGCCACCCGATCAGTTACATCGGACTGGAAAGCTTTGATTTTCGACCAGTCTTTTTCGCTATGTCTGCCGCCACAGCATCGACAGTGGCGCTTTTGAGGTAAATGAAAGCCACGTCTGCCCCAGCTTCTGCGAGGGCTGTGACAACTTGCAAACCGATGCCTCGAGATCCTCCTGTGATAGCAATCTTTCCAACAAGGGAAAAGAGAGACAGCACGGGGGCGTCTAAGTTTTCTGGAACATAAAGAGGCATGCTATATTAACATGGGAAGGACTGTACTCGATAGCGAAGTATTTAATTTTTCGTCTCATAGTTGGGTCCGGGTATTGTTTTATATACCTATTGCGTGAGCGAGACCTTAAGAAGGACGGCATTCGGACAAGTGGAGTTCATTTCATCTTCTGCTGGATGGCGAGGCTCTCGTGAGCGAACGTTTTTGGCAGGTATGTAGACTAGAATCATTCGACCTTCACTGTGTAGAGGCCATTCTTTCACGGAAGCGCCAATTTTAATATCATAGGTTGTTTTGGAAGTGTAGTCTTCATCAAACCCTTGAGTCTCTGAAAGCTGTGAACGCTGCTTCCGGTCTAAGGATTGTGAAGGTTCAGTCCTCGTCTCGAGGGGCCATTTACACTGACGCCTGGTTACCTTGAAGATGTGGAGAAGACGACTACTAGATGCCGAGCTAGCCAGTCGTCGTCCTGGGGTAGGGAGTCTGATTTATCAACAGGGACTATTGACTCTGAAACATCACACATGCAGCTACAACTACGAATCCATTTCATCGTTGTTTTTTTTTTTAGTTCTTATTTTCTTGTTTTTTGGATCCGACTATATTAACATTGACTCTTTACTATTATTGACACTAGCCAAGAAAGTAGAGGTCATCTCTTGGAAAATACTCATAACTTTCTATGTGGCAAGTCTGGTTCTTGAAACTACAGCAATAAAGCCATTGATAACATGGTCTCAGGGTTAACTCAGGAGTCTATCACATTAAATATTTTCAGATTGTGAGAGCGTGCTCCTCATATCATCATTAATACTTCCATTTGCTCCGGAAGCAAGACCGTCAAGTCCACTTGGCTACTGGAGCAAATATGTCCTCAATGCGTTTTCCCCTCCACGGTTCCTTCGGTTCCTTCAAGGTCGCTATAAAGCCTCCACTGATAGTCGAGGCTAGGGTCGTTGAATCTTGCTTTCATATCCAGGGTTTCAATGGCCTTGATGTCTTCTGCCTCCAACTCGAAGTCGGCTTCGACATTCTCTTTGATCTGCCAATCGATAGTGCTTTTAGGTATGACAGAGCGTCCATTATTGATACCCCATGCAAGAACAATTTGCACAGCGCTCTTCCCATACTTGCGGCCAATTTCTTGAAGTAGCGGCTGATCAATCACCCGCATCATGTGCGACACTTCCTTGCTCCACCCTGTCGACCGATAGAAGTCGTTCATATTCCCAAGAGGACTGAACTGGATTACGTGAATTCCTTGAGACCGCAGCCATTGATTGAATGACTTCTGCTGCAGATAGGGGTGCACCTCCATTTGATGAATGGCGGGAATCTGAATACGTCAGCTAAGATGCTCTATTACATCCATTAGTCTTCATCTATACTGACCACACTACACTCCTCTATGAGTCTTTCCAGTTCGCCTTTGCTGAAGTTCGAGACCCCAATCGCCTTCGTCTTCCCGGTCTCTAGTAGTTTTTCCATGGCCTTCCAGGTATCCACGAAAGTCGTTTCCCCCAGAATCATCTTGCCGTTAGAATCTCTTGGGAAGCGGTCGTCGCCCCTGGCAAAGGTACATGGGTAATGCATCATGAGGAGATCCACATATGATGTATCGAGATCCGTAAGGGATTCATCCAGAGCCTTCTCAACATCCTCTGGGTGAAAGGAATTGCACCATAATTTTGTTCCAAGAAAAATCTCCTCTCGGTGAATGCCACTCCTCTTAATGCCCTTTCCCACTTGTTTCTCGACGTCGTATACTCTTGCCGTGTCGATCAGACGCAGTCCCGCTTTCAGAGCGCGGGAAACAGCATCTTCCTGAGCGTCTGGGTCTTGAAAGGTGCCAAATCCAATAGCGGGAATGCTGGCGCCGGTGTTGAGTTGGAAGCGGCTTTGACGAGTTGCGATACCTCGAATCTGCTCGTGAAGCCGAATCGCGCCAACACCAAGAAGCTGTGAATCCACGCCTCTGCTCTTTGGAGGCATCCGGAATTTATGTCTAAGAGCATTCATCTTGACGACTAATTGAGGGAGGGTAAAGCGTCGTAAGACTAGAGTGATTTTCGTGCTCTTCGTCTATATAATTATTCTGTGAACTCAATGCGATCTCTTCAACACCTTGTCGAGCGGTTGCAGAGGGTCCCTTGATACTATGAGCCATGAACCCTAGTATGACCAATCCGACATGTGTAGCAAGGATTCAACAGAGAGGGGTATTGACCCTCCAGGATTATCTGCGGAGACGGGCACATAGAATAATGGAGATGCATGTACGATCCGCTAGACTTGCCCTAGTGACGAGCTCTGATGATTCCCTCGTGCCGGTGGGAAGCGGGTCCACAACCCGGAGCAAGAGGGTGTGACCTGTACACTTCCATTCAAGTTTAATGTCAAGCTTCTCGAGCACTCTACAAACCCAGCACTGCTATTACACATACGGTTCACATTCCTATTCTCTTAGTATCATCGTAGGAAGTAGAATGCGTAGATATCGTCAAGAGGATCGCTTCGATTGAAGGCAGTAGTGTAAGTCAATGCTCTGTGTTAGGTGCCAATCCCAGAACAGTGCTTAGCAATTTCCGCTCGGCTCTCGTCTTAGCTTTTGATCATTCTTAGATCCCCTAAAACATAATGTCATATCGACTCAGTCACTGTGCCAGCGCAGTCGCTTATCGGAATGAATCGGTGATAGACAATCCCGAGTTTCTCAAACTTAGAGACAGAATTCTTCAAGTACAAGGGTTTATTGGACCACCGTGCCTTTATTCACCCCATGTCTCTAATCACTCATTCTCATGCCACCATTAGCGCAGATAACTTGGCCCGTACACCATGCGCTCTCTGCCGAGCAGAGCATGCCAATGATTCCGGCAATCTCGCGGGCCTCGGCCGGCCGACCCCCAAGCGTCTTGCCAACCTCCTTTGTCTCGTCGTCGTCGTCATCACGCACCGCCATGGTTGGAGCAAGCTTGATGTAGGGATTCATCATCTTGTAGAACGAATCCTCAAGCCCTCCCCACATCTCCGTCTTGACCGGTCCCGGATTGATAGCATTGACGGTGCAGCGCTCGACCAACTGCCGCGCCCAGGATCGAGTGCAAGACTCAAGCGCTGCCTTAGAGCCGCCATAGATGCTCTGGTCGGTAAAGCCTGTCTGCGAAGATACGGATGAGACATTAACGATACGCCCACTGCGATCTGTTGGTAAATAAGGCATGACTGCCTGTGTAAGCATCAGTGGTGCTAGCGCGTTGATTCTGTACACCTTCAAGAAGTCGGCGACTGTGACCTCGCCCAAGTCGGCATTATGGACCATGCCTGCATTGTTGATGAGAATATCGACCATGAAACTCCCATTAACATCCTGTAACCTTGCCTTGATGTCCTCAACAAACGACTCGGGCGCGCCATCGACACTCAGATCTGCTTTGACTATTTCACAGCGAACAGAATAGCTTTGGCTCAGTCTAGCGGCCAGCTCTGTAGCATCGTTCTCCGACTTGGTCGAATTATAGTGTATTATCACATTGCACCCTTTTGATGCCAGGTTTTCCGCTGTAGCCCCTCCAATACCTAAATTTCGAGGTCAGTATAATTCATATAGAATCGACGATAGGCAGCGTATGTATGTCTGTATTGTGAGTGTCTGGGAAGAACAACGCACCTCGTGAAGCACCAGTAATTACAGCCAATTTGCCTTCCAAAGGTCTTGCAGAGACCATGATGTGGCAATGTTTAACAAGTCAAATTTGCCCAAATGGAAGGACCTGCTTGACTCACGCCAACTTCTTTTGATTCTGAATTTGATGTTCAACTTAGATAAAAGAAATCAAAGTACCTAAAAATGCATTGGATGTATTCTTCCCATTCTAGATCCGTCACCGATACCTTGAGACACGAACTTCTCTCCAATTATTAAGAGTCATAACGGGTCGTCTCCGTGTTCAAGCCATCGCCAGTTAATTAATGCCTAGCGTTACACTATCAGACTTAGATGAATCCTTGTCCTGCTTTTCTCCTGCCCGAAGCTTGTGAAGCCATCTATGCGGCTAGATTAGACTAATAATGAAAACTTGCATTCAACAAATCGAGGAGACAAGTAGCTCTGCGCGTGACTTCTCGACTAAACTTGTCTCCGCAGTGATCGGCGAGTTAGCACACCTCGTCTCGGGGGCAGACCCACGTGATACCCCTAGCATGCTACATCTCTTCCACTCTTCAACCTTTAGGTCTGTATCTAGCAGTCTCAAGGTGTCGGTCGCTCGCACTTAGATGGTACGAAACGATAGCGTAAAGGTCTGCGCCCTTGTATCGGTGATCATAGTACTGTAATGATATTATTGAACCAGCGCGGTCTTAAAACGGTCGTAAATTCCTAGCTGTAAGAGGCGGAGTTGCCAAGCCCCCCGCCCGGGAAACCGGCTCGGTGACTTGGAGAGAATGGGGAGCCCTTATTGCCGTTACATCTTCCATGCCCTCGTGACGAATATCATACTAAACTCAACCCCGTCTTCCCAACTAAGTCGATATTTAGAATCTGGCGTCAAGGATAAGACCCCATGGGGAAACCCATTCTAATGACGTAACTTTGGAATCAGTCCTTGAACCGGACTCGGTTGTTATATGTATATCATATCGACTCTACCCGCCCTCATCGCGAAAGATAGCAAATCTTCGAATTGATTCACACAAAAACCTCTGTCACCATGTCTGAGAAGGCTGAGGAAATATTCGCGCCTGAGGACATCTCCCACAATGAAAGTCCTCCGGCCCATCACGGCATGAGCCGTATTGTCGAGAACCAGATCTCAGAGGAGGTCGACACCTTCATTGATCAGATGGAACACGATCTCGCGTCCAATCCAAGACGCGCAAGCTTCTTTCGACCGTCTATCGACCCTCGATACTTCACATGGGTCATGGTCATATTCGCATCGATGGGAGGCATGCTTTTTGGTCTTGACCAGTCCCTCATTAGCGGTGCTAATCTGACCATGCCCGAGGACCTGAACTTGTCTTCTAACCAGCAAAGCCTTGTCAACTCTTTCATGCCACTTGGCGCTGTGTTCGGCTCAATCATACTTGGTCCCGCCAATGAATATTTTGGCCGTAGGGGGGCTCTTATCCTATCCATCGTATTCTATACTGTGGGGGCTGCATTGGAGGCCGGCTCGATCAACTTTGATATGATGATTGCAGGCCGCCTAGTTCTGGGACTGGGCATTGGTATCGAGGTCGGAACCTGTCCTGTTTATGTTGCAGAGAGTGTCAACAGACGTGTTCGAGGAAATCTTGTTTCGCTTTACCAATTTAACATCGCCCTTGGAGAAGTCCTTGGATTCGTCGTCGCCGCCATTTTCATCAAGCTTGACAGTAGCTGGAGGTATATCCTCGGATCTTCTCTGCTTTTCTCAACGATTATGTTCATTGGGTAGGTAGCCACCATTGCCCATCTTAACCCTTTAGACTTGTCCACTAATCGATCGTACGATATAGTGTACTGTTTCTCCCCGAAAGTCCTCGATTTAAGATGCACAAAGGGAAGTCATTGGAGGCTTTTGAAATTTGGAAGCGTATACGCGGTATCGATACTCCCGAAGCGCGATCTGAGTTCTTCATCATGGCGGAAACGGTCAAGGGAGAGCTCAAGCATGCAGAAGCACGGAAGGCATCTGGCCGCCCCGCGTGGATGGACTTCTACTAGTAAGTGAAAGCCAACATCAATAGGCAGAAAGAGAATATTTCTGCTCACAACAACACACAGTAACCCACGCGCCCGGCGTGCCTTCGTCTACTCTAATACTATGATGCTCTTAGGCCAATTCGTAGGGATTAACGGCATTATGTATTATATGGGCGTTCTCATGAAGCAAATAGGTTTCGGTACAACTGACGCAACCTACATGTCTATGGTTGGCGGCGGCTCTCTCTTCCTCGGAACAATTCCCGCTATTATGTTTATGGAGAAGTTTGGCAGACGTTTCTGGGCCAACACTATGCTGCCCGGCTTCTTTGTTGGACTTGTTATTATTTCCGTCAGCTATATGGTCTCTCTCGACAAGTATCCGCAGACTGTCGAGGGCCTGTACATCACAGGCCTGATTCTGTACATGGGTTTCTACGGACCATATGCCTGTCTTACGTGGGTAATACCTGCGGAAGTGTATCCTACCTACCTCCGCAGCTACGGCATGATGTCCTCAGACGCGGCTGTCAATCTGGGCAACTTCATCATCACTTACACCTTCACCGACATGCAGACAGCAATGACCAAGCAGGGCCTTACGCTTGGCTTCTTCGGCGGCATTGCTGTATTGGGATTCATCTATCAAATTGCCTTCATGCCTGAGACGAAGAATATGACGCTCGAGGAGATTGATATAGTGTTCTCTAAGCCCACTAGACAGCTCGTGCGGGAGAATCTGTCTAGTACGGGCAAAACAGTCAAGAACCTGTGTATGTTCCGCTTCCGCGAGGCTTTTCACAACGTGGGTACGCAGAGGGCGCGGCTGGAGGATGAAGTGCAAGTCCAGCCTGGTCTATCGATCAACCGATAATTCTTCCGATCAAAAGTCTTTGACATCAGATTGACCCCCACTCAAATCAATATAACACTAAAGGCTTCAGGCAAAGAGGATGGTTTATTTTATGACTTCCGGCAGGCAAATCGGACAGGCGTCGGGTACAAGCAACCAAGCTGAGATGATCAGAAAAGAAAATGCGATTGACTGAGCATAGATCAGGGAGGAGGAACCATGAGGATCTCCTACTCACTACGGAGCTAAGTTACTCTCCGGGGCATTTTTTGCCAACACCAAATGTTCGTGAATTAGACCTGTGTTGGAAAGGCGAGACATGAATAGATGGCTTTATCACTGATTACTGCGCGCACGCTCCCTTGTGCTTGTGACATATCTTCATTGACCTCCAGAGCCCCGAATCCTCTACAAACTCAAGCATGCCCTATACATCCCTACGCGAAGAATCAAACAATTTTCGTGTATGATCCAAGTTCAATGACACGAACCCATCCTCATCTGCCGTGGCGGGAAAATGGAAGTTAAGCGATGCCCCGGGATTACTTGACAACTTCATCATGGCATTAGCGAGAAAATTGGCGTCAGTAGGCGCTGTGGTATTCTTGGTCCTTCTGGTGAAGCCATCTTCATCTGGCTCCAATCCTAAGAGGTTCACAAAATAATCTTGTTGTTCATCATCGGAACCACCGACAATTGGTCGAGTGATGACAATGCCATAGGTTTCGAGCCAGTTGACAAAGCCCGGGAAACGTGGATGGCACAACCCATGATAATATGGCAGAGCCCGAATCGGGATCTTCTCACAGACTCTGTGGAAATGAGTCGTCCAAGACTGTGCTGCATACTGGAGAAACGCCGCGGTCTTCTCACTAGGCTCGCCCAAACCCAATCCAGGGATGCGAGATTGCTTCCCCAGGAGGTAAATGTAAGATACACAGATTTCGAGGAGCAGCGCATGGGCATCCAATAGAGAAAACGAGTGTTGCCAAGCTGAATCATGGACTTCGACAAGTGTAGTTACATCGTCCTCAAAATCCTTGTGGAAGTAGGGACCAGACACTAGCCTATCCTCCATCCCGTCTCCTTCCATTGCCCAGAACACGTCGTCATCGCCTGTGTTAAATTGCGCTACGTCGGTGATCTCGACTAAAGACGCCTGGTCGAGGAGAAACTCTCTTGCTGTCTGATGCGCAAGATATACTTTCCCATGTATTATGCGAATAAAATGTCCACAAAGGCTTTTGATATGATTCTCGAAAGGATACACAAGTTCATATTCGAGATGGTCGAAAGTCCGCAGACTAGGTCGACGTGGTTGGGTTCCTTGCTGAAAAGTCTGATTATCAGGCTTCACTGCGAGCGCGATACTCAATTCTTCGACGGTCAGCGGCTGAAGTGCGGCAAGAATGATACTCAGCATTTTTCTGGCTTTAGCATGGTTTGGTCTGGAGTCGAGCAATGCTGAATATATTGCATCCACCGATCGACTTTTCAGAATCTCATCGAGCTCGCGTCTTGAAGCACCCTCCTCGGCTCGCTCCCGCAGAAGCTGGATGATTAATGTGACCCATAAGAAGGTTCTATCTGCACGAGCAATGAGCTGCTTTTCAATGCTTTCTAACAGTTCTTGGGGCAGTCCTCGATCAATAAGATCTTCCATCGCGTCTTTGATTACCAACTCGATATCGTTGCTGATCGCGTCTATTTCATCCTCTCCTCTCAAACGCATCATAGCAAATTGCGGTCTTTTCAATGCCATTGCCTTGTCTTCCAGCAATACTGGTTTTCTGTCGAACGAGTTTTTGATAGAGTTGTCAGGACGGCTTGTGATAAGAAGTCTCAGGTGCTTTTCAACCTTTTCGTTATCATTTCCGTCAGCAACTATTGCAGTATAATATTTAGTGATGCATTTCATGAGTTGTTTCAATGTAGCCTCTTCGCATTCATCCAATCCGTCAATAATACATATGGTGGCTCGAGCATCTGGACTTGGTGTCACTTTCCCTGTGCTCCTATCCGTTCGCTTTTCGGTCGACTTGGTCAGAATTTCCCAAAGGGTTGATAAGTTCTTCAAATTCTGACCAGGCACTCGCAGCTGAGCTTGGGCAACTTTGATCAAGCTCGACTGTGAGGAATACAGCTGGTGAAGAATTGCAGATAGACCGGATACAGCATCTCGCTGCTCACTGCTGTCAGCTTTGAAAAAGAAGTAGCAAATGTTATGATCAGGCAAGGTTCGCTTAAGATGGTCAACGAGGAATGATGCAAGTACTGATTTGCCGCAGCCAGCGTCTGCTGAGATCCAAAGCAGATAGGCTCCTGTCGACAACAGCCACTGCTGGTATTTGCTGTGATTCACGATCCAGGTACAGGTACCGATGACCGCTGTGGGATTTCGCTCCTTGTGAGCTTTGTAGTCGGTCGTGTATAGATCTGACATGATACGACTAGGAGAAAGGAAAATCTCTTCCCAATCTAATGTATTGTCAGTCTGCTGCAAAAATAATTGAGGTTCTCGGATCTAATACCTCTCAGGGTGGAAAACTGTGCTCGGGCGACCATCTCATTGATGTTTTGCCAGATTGGCTGATATCTAGGCTCATCCTTATGTGTGAACCAACACATCGATCGGTGATTGCCATCAATTCCATGGCATATTTCCTCAGGCCATCCGAGAGTCGCAGATTCTCTTTCTACAACCTAGAGATCAAGCCAACAAGGTTAGACAGTAGTTTGCGTTCAATGTGGCACTACTATTTACCAGGCAGTTCATGAAATCCAACTTTTGCGTCTCGAAGAAGCTGAGAATTCTCAAATTTTTACCGCGCTCGACGAATGAGTTGGAGATGTTCGTTAGTGCCCTCGACTTGTGATCAAGATCTTTTGTGAGCTGGGAGTTCGTGCTGATCCCCATTGAAGCAGCTTTGAGCATGCTACTAAGGATATTCCCCCATTGTGCGAGACTTGATCCTCTATGGGGGACCCCGAAGAATGCAACTCCTACTATGTATTTCAAGATGAACGACCGGTATCGGTCAGTTTCAAAAGCTTTGTTGACTGCCTTGAGACAATTTTGTTACATATAATCTTAAAGGCGAAGTGATAGCCAGTAACATACTTGTTTGAAGACGATACCTCCAAGGCTATGGCAAATAAACACAATCGGACGAGACTCCTCTCCGGCTCTCTGTCGAGCAGCGAGGAGATGTTCCAGCAGTTGATCAGCAAAAGTGAAGATATCTGAGGTAGATTTGCTGAATTGCACTGTTGAATCGTAAGAAAAGGACATGATTCTTGTATTACGAACCTGCTGTGGCAGCAAATCTCTCAACCAGTTGACTTGTGAGCCGTTCCTCAATGTAGCTGTCCAGGTCTTCTCATAATGGCCGTTTAGACCGTGAACAGCGACGATATCGACTACATTCTCAGCTTCTGGGTCCTTGTCAATCAGTGTATGCATGCCATAGCCTCCTTGGTTCTCAGCCCTTGCCCCTTTCCAGAAGGAGGACTGCATGTTGATATGTCGCAAGCTACGCCGAACCAACCCCGCTTTGATCAAGACACCATGGAGGGTTTAGGCGAGCAACATATGATCTTGCATCGTTCTTCAAATCGGCTGTAAACGGCCGTCATGGAATAGAAAGGAGTCAATCGGTCTCAATCCAAGATAAATGACTTGCTTGAGAGATAGTTGTCGATTTTCAAAGATGATCAAGCTAGAATGTTGTGCATGTGCATTTCGCGCCTGAGGCAGTGTTGCATAGCTGATAAGCACTACAGCAGGCTTGGCCAGTGAGCAGTCACTCGTACAAGTAGTGGATACACACAAAACACATGCCGGCACTCGCCTCTAACTTTTGACAGCGCACACACTCTCTCTATGCCATGCAATACGTTAACTTGAGTAACCAACAATGCTTTAGACCTGCCCAGAAAGTTATATACAAAAATCAAGTCCCCAAGTCCTTACCACATCTAGCCTATTAGCGCATTTTAAACAGGGCAGGTCTGCAATGAAGGAATAACGCTCGCTCCAAGCAATACTCTTTTCATCCACATGTAATACTGTTGTCCATAGTACAAGTTGGCGTCGGCGTACGTTGCCTCCCAGATAGCGACGCCGCCAAAGTCTGATTTGCAATAGTAGGCCTGCGCTAGCTTTTGTGAAGACGTCTGGTTGATGTATTGGCCTGACGACGCGGCTGAAGGGCCACCAGCCAGGCCGAGGTACAGCTTTGCGCCGGCGCTCGGAGTGCCCTTCAGGGACGCCGACCAGGCATCGTATGTGAAGCCTGCGGTGTTCGCTCTTGAGCCTGTGGTATACGATGGGTTACCTGCCACCCAGTTCGCGGCTGAGCAGGAAGGTGTGTTATAGAATTGGATGTATAACGCGTCGAACTTGACTGATCGAATTGTAGCGGATAATGATGCATCAGGGACGACACATTGGGGTGCAGCAGTCAAGTAGTACCTTTTCGTAGCTGTGTTGTAGAGCCCTCGTAGCCGATTCGCAAGAGCTTTGTAACCCTGACTGCTGTCTGGTCCTGGTGTTAGTCGATGGCAACCCCGGCAAGCAAATTGGATAAGGCAAAACTCACCTGTAGGGGCATGCTCAATATCAAGAGTGAAACCATCCACCTCCGTAGCAACACCATTCACATCAAATGGCCGCGGCAATCCTTTGGCCACCCACTGCAACATCGGGAGTCAGTAATTGCCTTTTGAGGACAGTGAAAGAGTAGGGAAAGGCTTGAAAGGGCTTGAAAAGGGATGTTCCGGGAGTGGCCGCCCACATTAGGACGGTGGCTTTGTCTCCATTACACCAAACATGGCTAAAAGAGGTGAAAATAAACTCCAAAAGTTGCTTACTGCCTTGCTTCTTGGTCCGAACATTCCCCATAGCATATTGGCGAAGATCGTACCGTCCGTAGCTCCGGTTAGCTGGTATCCATCTGTGCCACCACCCAAGCCAAGCAAGATCTTCTTTCCGTACGTCTTCTGGCAGATGGGAATTTGAG